AGGCTCTGTTGGGTTCGGGTTCAGAGTTTAACTACAATTACGGGTTTGTTTTGGTGTGTAGGGTCACTCTCAAGTCCCTTCCAGGGCAGTTAGGAAAGCAGAGGGCACTGTTCTCGCTAGTACGAAGGATCGTAAACCTTTGGATCTTCTTTTGAGGATCAGCAGGATGAGATTTGGGGAGTAAGATTGTTCATGGCTTTTTTGGGCTTTGATTCTTCCCTGAAGCGAGGATCCAAAGCGCTATTCTTTAAAACCTAAAGGACTCCATGCACCGGAGTACGTCGCAGCGGTCTACCACCAGATCCGCTGGGGCGAGGTGGACGAGGCATCCTGTGGATTTTGGGATTCCGGCGCCGAGGGTTCCATGAAGGTTCGGGGTTTAGGGGAAAGGTTCTGACAGGGCTTTCACAAGGCCTCTTTGCGGGCGTTGTAAGGGTTGAGGGGTCACGATTGAAGACTCGGGTGTGCAGTAGGAATTGCAAGACTTCGGATCTAGCAACAATGGCCCCAAGTCTTGAAGAGCAAGGGCCTCAGGGGTTAAGGGTTTCAGGGTTTTAGGGTTTTGAGGTTTGGTCTAGTGTTTAGGGTTTAGGGTTTACTTAGGGTGGAGGTTGTAGTGCCGGTGGGGTCGTGCATGTACATAAGCTATAGCTGACGAATGAGCGCATGCTGCAACGAGGGTGGCATCGTAGCGTCTTGCAGTACATAGCGAGTGTCGCGTCTCGCTTCGATTGCCTCCGTGATGCTGATGGTGCTGGTGATGATGAGCGGCACCGGCAGCGCTGCTGACGATGATAAGACTGAATAATGGAGGACAGGGAGCAGCAGAGAGAAGAGGATATCTTCGTAGTTGTCGCCGTGGCTTTCGTTGCTGCTGCAATGGACGCGGTCGGACGGCGACGGTTAAGGATCATGTCTGCAGCTCTTGTTGTAAGTGCCAGTAAACCCTAATGTAGGAACCTGATTAAGAAACCCTGGGCCTATGACCCCAAAACACTACGACTCACATAAGGAACCCCACTAAAGGCCCAAAGTTTCTTAATCAGGTTCCTACATCAAATCCTAAACCCTAAACCCCAAACCCTAGACCCTAAACTCTGGACCCTAAACCGACCCTTGGCAGGTCAAACTGCCCTTGAACTCAAGCTTCCTCATCAAGTATGACGACGTCCTGCGCGGAGTGGAGGCACGTGTTCTTACAAGCACCTTTGCGGGGAGATGTTTCTCCAAGGGGAAAAGGAGGGACCCTTAGTAAGGACCCCTAGGTATATACCCTCAATATAGCTATTATATACCCATTATATAGCCCATTATAGGGTGGGGGTCCCCATTAAGGGTCCCTCCTTTTCCTCTTTGAGTTTCGGCTCTTCAACCCCTCGTTTGGTCGGCCACTGCTACAGCTACTGCTACTGCTCCTAGTTAGGAGTATGGGTGTTACAGATGTTACATGATGCCATGTGAGTAAACCCTAAACCCTACAACCCTAAACCCTAAACCCTACAACCCTACAACCCTAAACCCTAAACCTAAACCCTAAACCCTAAACCCTACAACCCTAAACCCTAAACCCTAAACCCTAAAACCCTAAGCCCTAAACCCTAAACCCTAAAACGCACGTTAAGCTAAGCTCCAGAAGTTCCCCTATGCACGCAAACAGGCGGATATTGCACACCACACAAAAACGCCCTGTGAACCCAAGACATCTCGTAAGCTCCTAACCAGCCGAAGACCCTAAGGGCCCTGAACCCTGAGACTTGATTGAGGCCATCCGGAAGAATGGCGATCCTTTCCGCGGCGGCGTGAACTTTGACGATCCTCAGTGGCGTTCGGAGTGAGCTACCGTTTAGGGTTTAGGTTTCAGGGTTTAGGGTGGGCACTATCCTGGGATCTTTTTTGGAGGACGGCGATTTACCACAGGTGCTTCTTGGGCTTGCCCTGCGAATCCTGTGTTTCTGGGCGATTGGTGGGGGGTTCGCAAGTCTTTTGCGTTTGTTCTTTACTTAAAGGACCATGGGACTCAGTAACTAGGGTTATAATCAGGGTAAGTGTACTTACAACCCCCAATTAAGGTACTTATAGCCCTACTTACTAAGTCCCATGACCCTCCACTATAGAAGCCTTATAGATCCCTTCAAGGATCCCTTTAAGGATCCCTGTAAGGAGCCCTATAGGTACCCTTAAAGGTGCTACTAAGTCCCATGATCCTCCAAGTAGGGTCTTGGTGAGTTCCAGGCCGCAAGATGGTACTAAAGGGATCCTTAAAGGGATCCTTAAAGGGATCCTTAAAGGGATCCTTAAAGGGATCCTTTAAAGGGATCCTTAAAGGGATCCTTAAAGGGATCCTTAAAGGGATCCTTTAAAGGGATCCTTAAAGGGATCCTTGAAGGGATCCTTAACGGGATCCTTAAAGGGATCTATAATGGAGGATCACGGGACTTAGTAAATGAGGTTGTAAGTACCTTCATTGGGGTTATAAGTACACTTCCCCGAATTATAACCCTAGTTACTACGTCCCATGATCCTTTACGTACAACACCTCAAACTCGCTTAACCCAAAACCCCTAAACCCCACACCCGGAAACCCTACAACCCTAGAACCCTTAACCCGTAAGCCCTAAGCCCAAAGCTTACACCCCGTGGCTTTAGCTTCCTGCAGCCCAAACCATGAAGCCTACAAGGCCCGGGAAAGCCTTTAATCCTACACCTTGTACCTGGGTTCTGGAGTACCATCCTTCAAGCGGTTCGCTCCTTTCGTTATGAACTACAAGTCGACACTTTGCCCCTTCCTGGTGACATCAAAGTCCAGTTGTAGAACCCTATCTTATAGCCCGTAACATGAAAACCATATAGACCCTATAAACCCTATGAACCCTATGAACCCTAAACCCTAAAACTCTAAACCCTAAACCCTCAAACCCTGAAGCCCTAACTCTAAAGAACCGCAGCCCTTGACCCTGTCAATCCTATACCTGGAACCTTTGTAGCAGGCCTTAAAGTCACCGTTGTCGCAAGCCTTATAGGACCTTCGATTCGAGTGCAACGCTAAACCCCGTTGCCACCGAGGATGTGAACGAGCTCGGGCTGGAGGGGAGTTGCAGACTCAGAGGTTAAGGGTTGAGGGTTTAGGGTTTAAGGTACCCTAAACCCTAAACCCTTTTAGGGTTGCGGCTGTTGTAGGTTTGAGGGCTGCAGGGCTCAGTCTCCACGGGTGAGGGGTTTTATCCAGAAGCTTTGGTACAGGTTCCTTATAGGAGGAGATTTCCACGGGTTTAAAAGGAATTGTGATTGGTTTGTAGGGCTTGTTTAATGCTAAGTTGAGCTTGTCATGATCATATCGGGATTGAGGCCCAGAGGGCTTGTTGGGTTTGGGGTTGAGGGTTTCGGTTCGGTTATAATGTTGCGGGGTGTATTTACGGTGTTGTGTCCAGTGCATAATCAGAGATACTTGGAGGTTCATGGGCAGTTATAAGTGGGGTTCTAAGTAGGGTAACCATAATTATAACCCATCGTAGGGGACTTATAACCCCACTTATCACAACCCATGAACCTCCAAGTATACCCTAAACCCTAAACCCTAGCCCCTAAACCCCACACCCCTTCAAAGGAGCCCTGATAGAACCCTTAAGGGAGCCCTTGAAGGAATGAACGAGACTGCTCCGAACTCTAGCCCTTCGTTTGCAAATCCGGCAAGGTCTGGACCAGATCTCGAAGACTTACCGGGAGGCCTGACCCCTCCCCCCAAAAGACCTACACCCATGGGGACCCGCCTGCATGCCCACAAAAGGGACCTAATAAGGCCTATTCAAGGAGGTATAGTAGTTCCCTACCCCCATACCCCCGTAAGGGTCCCTATGATACACCCTGGACTCCACAACCCGAAACCCTAAGCCCCAACTCGAGGCAAATCCTAAACCCGAAGCGCAACTCCAAGCCCTTGAACCCAAAACTAACTTCCGAACCCTAAACACCCCCTGAACTTCCCTGTCCTCAAGCCCTAAACTACACAGTTCCTGAATACTTCTAGCTCCAAACCGAGTCATAGTGGTTTATAGGTAAAGATTTCGGGTCGTACGTCGCCGTGCGCAAATAATATACATTCCACCATCCTTGGAGTGGGGAATCTCTGAAGCGTGGCCGACAGGTCTGAGGCCGCCCCGTCTTGCCAGAATTGGGCTCGACGGGTCAGCTTGTGTTGTTGGAAGACGTCATCTTCAAGTGTGAAGTGTCTTTGGCCGCGCAGATTTTGCGGTTCACAGATTACAGACGAAGACCCGCCATGATTCGCATTCGCTCCGGACACGCAAATTACCAGGGGTGGTTGTTCCAGGCAGCTGGGCCCATGACGGATTGCAGCCTCCTGTCCGGCGGTTGCAACCTGATAGGACGACCCAGCCAACCAGCTCATCATTGTTCAGCAATGCATGAGGCAGCGCCATGCGTATTGTGCTGATTCGGTTGCCCTTACGTGCATTTCTTTGCAGAGTGTATCCTCAAGAGACCTGGGGCGCCACATTTTTAACATGCCTTAGCTGCGATGGCAGCCGGAAAGCTTCTGAGCATTCTGAACAGTAAAGGTCGTGCCGTTCGAAGATGGATGCGGCCGGTCCTGCGCGGTATTTTGTGCATTAACGAGCAACGAGCCTTTCCCATTCGTTCCTTGTTCGGCCTAGAGCCGCATGAAGCTCTGAAACAGTCACTTTTGCTTCAACGGGCGAAGGCTTAATGTACTTGCATGCACGTTCAGAACCACGGCACTGTTTACGGCCCGAGCGGACACGCACTTTAGTAACCAATTCGAGGGGGTCCGCATCCTCTTAGGGTTATCCTTACGGTGAAGGCGAACGTGACGGCAACATCAGACAGTAAAAACAAAATAGGTGTACAGATAGCGTGCATGCCTATGATTGGACCCTCAACACAGATACTTTACATGGGAGCATAGTGGAAACCCGTAGCCCGAAACCCCTTTTCAACGCACCGGTGTTTTGCAGGCCTCTTCCATGTGGGTGGTTCTGGACTTGCTGCCCCGGCCTCAGTTTCTATGTTCAGGGTTTAGCTTCGAGTTGCCGCTTGTTTTAGATGGGACAAGGTGGGTTAATCCCACATCTTAAACCTACCCATTAAGGAGGACACATCTGCAGAAACTTTCGATGTTGAAGTTTGGGGAAATAATTTCCAAGTTCTAAGGACTGATGACCTCAGGGGTTTGGGGGTCTTCGGGATTTAGGCACTCTTTTTCGAAGCTTGGTGCAGGCGCCGTTGCGAGCTTCAAGATTCAGAACCGGCTTCCCTTAAGACCAGAGGTACGCATTAGGCTTTAGGGTTCAGGGTATCGGGTTTTTGGTTCAGGATGTAGGCTTTGGGGGCACAGGGTTTAGCTGTTGAGCGAAAGCTCAAAGTCAGCAAAGCTGCCCAGATCATTTTAGGCTCATACTTCCAGGGTCATGATCCCTAATTAAATTTGGGGTTTAGTTAATTAAGTAGCCAGGGGGAGCACTTTAGGCTTCTTGATTTGGTCTGTCTTAGAAAGTTTGAGGCTGTTTGGGGCCGGATGTCGAAGAAGAGAGTTTAAGCTGGATGTGACAAGGGTTTTGGGTTTAAGGGTGGTCCGCATTCGCAGGGGTGTCTCTGCAAACCTTCTGTGCGAGAGCTTTTGCGTGCAAATAGGGTGTTCCAGGCTGCTAAACCTCAGCAAAAGCCATATATCAGACCGACGAACAACCCTGCAAACGCTCACAATGCCCTTCAAACCCCTCAAAATCCATGCGAAGACTCTTGCAGCCCTTCTTGTAACGTCCCTCAGACAGAACCCTTAAACCCTAAACCCTAAACCCTAAATCCTACACCCTAAACCCTACACCCTTAAACCCTAAATCCTAAACCCTAAACCGAAGCCTGGCGAGGTCGAACTTCCAGCCGGTCCTGATCGTGAAAGCCTGGATCTTCGTCTTGGCGTGGTACTGCTTCCTGTCAGAGGAGGGGGTAGTTCAGGGTTTTCGGATACTTTAAGGGTACTCTAAGGGTATTTTAAGGGTACTTTAAGGGTACTATAAGGGTACTATAAGGGTACTACAAGGGTACTATGTCAGATTTGGCGGTAGTTTAGGGTTTTCGGGCACTTTAAGGGTACCGTAAAGGGTACCGTGGTACCATGAGGGTACAAAAAGGGTGCTGCAAGCAAGGGTATTGTAAGGGTCTAACAAGGGGTTTAGGGTTTAGGGTTTTAGGGCTCAGGGTGTAGGCTTCCCGGGTTTAGGGTTTTTGGCTTTCTAAGGTGCGGGGCTTGTAGGATTTTGCCCGAAGCCCGACTTCAACCCTAAAGCCCTAAACCCTAAACCCCTGAACCCTAGGCCTGAACCCTAAAGCTTAAACCCCGCAGGGTGCAACCGTCACCTGGTCTTGAGACCTTCCGGAGGTTTGCTGACGGAAAAAGGTGCTTAAAAAAAAAAAAACCCCACAAACCCTAAACCAGAAAGCCGGTCGACGGACTTGAGGATGGTTTAGGGTTTGAGACTTTCGGGTTTTGGGTTTCGGGATTCGGTGCAGCAGCGGGGACTTAGGGCTACTTAGAAATAATTTTTACTCTTTGGTTATTCTAATCCCTAAGAAACAGCAAAAATTATAAATTCTTGCTAGGGTTCTAAGTTCAGTATAGTCTGATGTGTTTGTGGGGAGTTGAAAGCGCTAGGTTTCAGATGCCACAGTCGTGGAACGCAGAGGAGTGGCATCGGTGAGCCGGTTTAGGGTTTCGGGGTTCCGGGTTTAAGAGTTTGGGGTTTATTTAGGGTTTACGGTTTGTAGGGGTTCAGGGGTTTAGGGGTTTAGGGTTTAGGGGTTTGGGGTTTGGGGGGTTTCGGGTTTCAGGGTTTAAGAGTTTGGAGTTTATTTAGGGTTTAGGGGCGTGCATGCAGGACAGCCGTAATGGCTACATCTGGTATCCCACCTTCAAGCGTGCCGGTGCCCTAGACGCGGATGCCTTGCTTGCGACCCTGTGCGGCATGTTCCGGGTTTCTAGGAGTAGCTTTCAGGGTGTGAAGGAGAGCTTTGGGATTTACAAATCAGGGTTTGGGGGTGCAGCAGTTAAGTGCTGGAGCTCGGAGATTGCTTTTGCTCCTTTGCGCCTGTCTTTTGCCTGATGACCTTCGGAAAAACCCAGCATGGTACAGCTCGGAGTACGGTACACGTATATCAGGTGAACGCCAGTCCTAAACCCTAAACCCTAAACCCCCCCCTAAACCCTAAACCCTAAACCCTAAAACCCTAATCCCTGAAGCATTGATTAAGCCCTCAACCATGAGCCTGCAGCGATCCGTGGCAGTCCCCTTCATTACCGCGTGGTGGCCACTCCTTAACAGAGCTCTGGGTTTCGGCATACCTAAGCCTGAAACCCTAAACCTTATATGGGTAGTTGTCAAAATTATGGTCCCTTTTTGGGTACCCTAAATATTAGGTGCCGTATGATAATAGGGACCCAGAAAGGGACCCGAATTTTGACAAACACCTATATGGTTTAGGACTTACGGCTTCGGGTTGCGCGGGCTTAGGGTGCGGGGATGATGAGGCAAACGCGCTGCAGTACATCGCCATGTGCGACTGCAGCGGAGCGGCGGTGCGGGTCTCAGCAAAGCATGAATTTAGGGTTTAGGGTTTAGGGTTTAACTACAACCGAAAGCCCTAAATCCTAGACCCTAAACCCTAAACACTAGACCCTAAACCCTAGACCCTAATCTCAAAGCATCTAGAATCGTTTCGACGGAAACCCACGCCGAAGCTTCGGAATGCTACGCCCTAAACCCCAAACGACTACGGCACATCCAAGGACTAGGACCTAAAGTAGGCTATTTTCCCTTTTAGCGTTCAGGTTCCCTTACAAGCCCCTTTAAGCCGAAAAGGGGACCCTGTTTATTCCTACGTTAAAATAGAGGACGGATTCAGGATGGGCCTCGACGAGCTGGATGCATTGATGGAGGAAGCGTGTAAGACTTCATCTAGGTTGCTGACTAGTACCCTTTTGCCCGTTTTGGTTTGGGGTCCCCTAAAAGGAAAAGGGTACCCTTGTTATTGAAGGGAACCTAAACCCTAAACCCTGAACCCTAAACCCTATAAAGACGACCCCTGCCCTCCCTACAAAAAAAGGCAGAGCAACGGCAGCACAGATCCCCAAACCCCCAAACCCGAAATCGTCAACCCTACATGGGACTTAGTAGTCCTTCAAGGGTACCCATAGGGGTCTATAATAAAGGGCTCCTGCAAGGGATCCTTAACGGGATCTATAAGGGTTCTATAATGAAGGATCATGGGACTTAGTAAGTAAGGTTATAAGTACCTGATTTGGGGTTATAAGTATAGTCACCTGAATAATAGCCCTAGTTACTAAGTCTCATGATCCTTTAAGCAAGCCTCTAATGTAGGAACCTGATTAAGAAACCTTGGGCATTTATTAGGGTTCCTTGATATGAATCCGATTTTTTGGGTAATAGGCCCAGGGTTTCGTAATCAGGTTCCTACATTGCACAAAACCCCAAAACCCTGAACCTCTACATAAACCTCCAAACACCAAAACCCTAAAGCTCTGTCTAAACCTCTATCTAAACCTGTAAACGCCTCAACCCTAAAGCTCTGTACGAATACCAAAACCTTAAATCCTAAAACTCTTAAGCGCTTAAGCCCTAAACCTTCCATTTTCGTTTTACAAAACACCCTAAAACACTTACAACCCTAAAACCCGAAGCTACGACCTTTAAACCCTACACCCGAAAGTTACGGGCCTTGGGGGGGCTCAGGTACTGGAGATCCTGAACCTCTTCCACGGCCTGGGCCAGAGGTCGGAGCTTCCAGGGGAAGGGTCCTGCAATGGGCCCTTGAAAGGGTTCCTCTAAGGGTTCCTCTGAGGGTTCCTTTAAGGGTTCCTTAAAGGGGTCCTTTCAGGGTAGTATGTGGGCTTGAGAGGGGTCCTTGACAGGGCCCTTGAAAGGGTTCCATGAGGAGTCGAATGAGTAGACTAAGGGGTGGTAGAAGGTTCTATAAAGCTTCTTTCTGAAGCATCCTTTAAACGGTTTTAGGTAACAAGGGTTCTATGTGGGGTAGTATACGGGGTCCTAGAAGGAAAAGCCCGCGTGCAGGCGCCTCCGCTCCTTCTGCGCCGCCTGCGCCGGAAGCCTCGGATTCCAACAGCCTTTGCAGGGTTTAGGGTTGAGGGCTTTAAGGGTTAGAATTAGGGTCCAGGGTTCTACCTGCTAACTACAGTAAGGGGTCATAAACCTACTATTTTGTGCAGTTTCCGGTGTTCTTTTTGGAAAAGAAAAAGTTTGGGGTTTAGAGTATTGGTCGCCAGGGTTTAGGGTTTAGGGCTTTAACGGTTCGGATGATTGTTGAAAAGTTCAGGATTGAGGGTTTCAAACAAAACGGCTTAGGCTATTATTGAAGACGTTTCGGGTTTAAGGTTTACGCTACTTTTTTGCTTTTACATGTAAGTGCTGCAGGTGGGTCTAAAAGGGGCGCTTGTTTGGGATTCTATACGGCGTTGCAAGGGTTGGGTTATCGCTTTAGTCTGAGGCTCCAGGTTGCGAGTTTGGGGTTTTCCGAGCTGTTGCAGAAGGATCTCAGGTTTCAGGGTTCAGGGTTTAGGAGGGTTTAGGGTTTAGGGTTTAGGGGTTTAGGGTTTAGGGTTTAGGGTTCAGGGTTTAGGGGTTGAGGGTTTAGGGTTTAGGGTGTCTCAGGAGGGGATTCAGAAATGCCATGGGTCATAAGGGTTCTATCCGTGGTTGGGGATTCCAGGGTTTTGGAGTCGCGGGCTTTTTTGGGGTTCAGTGGACTTCTTACCAGTCAATAATACAAGGCATAAGTATCATAAGTTGGGCTATAAATTATAAACATTGGTAGAAAGAGTCACGTTATTAATTATCCCGTTTACCTGCAGCAACGCGTCTTGAAGGGAGCACCTGCGCACCCGGCAGCCAAGAAGAGGCACTCGGCCATCATATGCGGAAGCCCTACTGTTCGATCCTAGCAGCCAAATAAAGAGGGCTGACAGATGCCACTCTCATTCTCATTAAAGCTCTATTTCACAATGGGCCCCCCAAACCCTAGACCCTAAGCCCTAATTATTACTACAACCCTGAACCCTAAACCTTAACTACAACCCTGAATCCTAAACCCTAAACCCTAATTACTACTACCCCTCTATGAAGCGCAACTGCAAGGTCGGGAAGGGTGGCCGTGTCCAGAAAAATCTGGTTCGCTGGCTGATTCGGCGATTGCGGCCTGGCTAAACCCAACCCGGAATTAAAGGATCGTGGGACTTAGTAATTAGGGCTATAATTAGGGTAACTATACTTATAACTTATATAACCCCAGTTAGGGTACTTATAAACTTACTTACTAAGTCCCATGATCCTCCAAGTAAGGACAAAGAAAGCACTAACTCCAGAACCCGTTGAGACCGAGCGAGTCTCTTTTGCGCACACGCGACACCCAAGCATCGACCCAGACCCCCAGGAGGATCTAGAAAGCAGATCCCCTAATTTGGGGCCCTAAAATACTAAGGGTACTGGAAAGGAACCCCCATTAAGGGATCTGCTTTTTGGATTCTCCTGGGGGGTCTGGGGACCAGGTTCACCCTCGTGGTCGCCACCTGCCTCGCCGCCCTGTTTCACGACGTGTTTTCTCGGTCGTCGCTCGGCTAGCGCGTACTCTAGTGCTACTACTGCTCGGTGGCATGCTAGGGATGGCGGTGGGTTGCACTTCTATATGATTCTGATGGCATGCCTGAGCTTCGCTTGCGCAGAACAAAGGTTTGCACAACTTATCTGCGGCCTTGGCAGCGCAGTATGCTCAGCCTGAGCATGGCTGCCCAATGTCGGTTGATCAAAGTATCTTCCGAAACTAGGGGCTCGTACGGGCAGGTGCTTTGAAGATGTGCAGAAGGGGCACTGTCAGACTTCAGCGGGGCTTCCTGATGCCGTGCAGTGGCTCCCGCATGTGCAGGCGATCCAGGATGCAGTAGGCGTAGGCCCGGGCGTGGGATGGTGCGGAGATTGGAGTCCGGAATCTACCCTTTGCCGGGCTTCAGACGCACCAGAAGTCCCGGTGCACCGCGCTCGTACGGCATGGCTACATGGCATGGCCCCCACTCCGGGTATCGGGCTCTAGACCCCAAACCCTAATACCCTAAACCCTAACGCTGATGCATCCTTAGCCCGAATACCCTAATTAGTACTAATCTAATCTAATATATCCGTAGCCCCAATACCCTTATACCCTAAACTCTAAACCCTAGCACCCTAAAGCCTTGATCTTTGGTATGGAGCGTAGGGTTCCCTCCATGGCGACAGGGATGAGGATCTACTGCGGTACTTCAAGGATCATGGGACTTCGTAACTAGGGTTATAATTAGGGTAACTATACTTACAACCCCAATTAAGGTACTTACAACCTTCTAAGTCCCATGATCCTCCAAGTAGGTGGGCATTTTTTGGCTCCCTTGCTGAAGCAGGGGCCTGTGGAGTCTTACATCAAGTGGATCTAAACCCTCAATCCTGAACCCTAAACCCTAACCCCTAAACCCTGAAGCCTGAACCCTAAACCCTAACCCCTAAACCCTCAATCCTAAACCCTGAACCCTAACCCCTAAACCCTAAAGCCTGAACCCTAAACCCTAACCCCTAAACCCTAAATCCTAAACCCTGAACCCTAACCCCTAAACCCTAAAGCCTAAACCCTAACCCCTAAACCCTAAATCCTAAACCCTGAACCCTAACCCCTAAACCCTAAAGCCTAAACCCTAACCCCTCGACCTTATACCGCCTTCGACCATGGGTCTGTTTCTCAAGGGTTTAGGCCCCTCTAGGAGGCGTCTGGTCGGTTGGTGTGAGGTGGGGAGTACTCGTTCAGGGTTTAGGTTTTGTCGTTCATGGGAAAAAGCAACTCAGGTTATAACTAAAGTAGCTATATTTCTAACTACTCGTAACCCCAATTAAGGCCCCAAGAACCCTGCTGACTAAGTATCATGATCCTCAGGGGAAGTTTTGGCAATCAGGAGAAGAGTAACAAAGATCATGAACATAATCATAGACATGGCGTTCATCGTGAACAATACTAATAATCATCATAATGCTAGCAGCGACAATCATAATGGCAGTGCTCGAGGGGTCGAGGGTCTGGAAGATGGTCTGGGTGTCAGGTTTAAAGCTGTAGGGGTTTAGGGATTCGGGTTTTAGGGGTTGAGGAGTCTAGAGTTTAGAGGTTGAGGGGTTTGGGGTTCAGTGTTTAGGGCTTGGGGCTTAGGGCTTAGTGGTTTTGGGTTCGGGGTGCATGGCAGGTGGCGCCGTGACGGTCTTCACCTACAGGCACATCGAGGCGCTTTCCCCTCAGCCCAGAAAACCCAAAGCTCGAAACTACAGTTCGGTCCCACCATAAACTAAACCCTTAACCTTCAGCCAAAACCGTGAAAGCTACTTCCGAAGATCGAGCTCGAAATGTCTTTCTGGTTTGGGAGGTATATTCGGGACCCGAAGAAGGGTTGCTTTAAGGGAAAGTGCCCCTGAACATGGGTTTCTCGGGTTCGCGCCCGCGATCGATTAAGATAAACCTGAAAGTTTGGCAACCTACAACGTCCTATCATTCTCTAGACGGGGCATCCGTGCGGCGTTTACAGGCACCTGACTAAGAAGCCCCTTCCTCTATTGAGTGTTTCTCAACATGGGTCCTACGTTTCGAGGGTTCACCACCCCTAAACCCTACTAAACCCTACTAAACCCTACTAAACCCTACTAAACCCTACTAAACCCTAAACCCTAAACCGACCTCGAGCCTGGATTGTCTGGACGGCTGTCGGACTCCGACTTGTCCCGTTCGGAGAGCAGGACTCCGGAAAGACGTCGGGTCATTTCCTGCATGCATCCCCCCCACTACTTAAAGGATCATGGGACTTAGTAACTAGGTTTATAATTAGGGTAACTATACTTATAACCCCAATTACGGTACTTATAACCTTACTTACTAAGTCCCATGATCCTCCAAGTACACGTCGGGGCGCCTGGGGGAGACAGCCGAGAGAGCCAGTCGTGCAGGCTCTGTCATCGAATGCGTAGAAAATTCCCCAAGCAAATGGCAAACCCGCATGCCAGGGTTTTGCAGGTTCGGATTTGTGGATTAGTCGTTTCGGGCTTTGGGTATAGTTCACCTACACCCACATCCGAGTGATCCACCAAGTTGCAAGACCCCAAAGCACGGCCAAGAGTTCCAAGCTGAATGGGATAATGCTCACCGGCAAGGCCACCAGCAGCACAGGAACTGAAAGACCGTAAGCCTTGAGCGGTAAAGCAAAGTTTTCAACCCTATACCCCAAGCTCGAAAGCCTTTGACCCCAGCGTAATGTTTCAAGCCACGAAGCCTTAAACCCTAAATCCCAAAACCCTAAAGGCCTGAACCCCTCAAACCTAAAACCCCCAACTCTAAGACTTGAGTTTGCCTGTGCCTGGAGCCAGGACATCGACCTCAACAAGACCACGGAGGATTCGTGCTGATGTGCTTTCTGGGGTCGTTTTTGCAGGGCTTGGTGTTTGGGTTATCAAGAAGGTTGCAAAGAATTCCAGAAGGTTTCTGAAGGCTTTTAGGGCTTAGAATGAGGACCCTAAACCCTAAACCCTAGACCTAAGTTTGGGGTTTAGTGGGTCTCGTTGCTATCAGCTGCAGGGATGAGCGGCTTGTGATGTTCTTTCTTTTAAGCTTCGTCTTTGCTTGCGCAGGTCTTGTTAGCATGCAATGGGCTTTGATAGGGTTGAAGCCAGGCCTTCTACTTAAAGGATTGTGGGACTTAGTGATTAGGGTCATAATTAGGGTAACTATACTTATAACCCCATCTTAAGGTGCTTATAACCTTACTTACCAAGTCCCATGATCCTCCAAGTAAGCCTTGCACCCGAATCCCCAATTGGGAGTTTCCGAAAAGTAGAGGACCCTAAAAAAGGTACCCTAAGTAGTAGGATCCTTATTGTAAGGACCCCCAAAGTCAGGAGTTTCACTGATTCTCGGAAGCTCCCAAATCGTGACCCTAAACCCTGAATGGCTTCGCAGCCTGGCGTCAGGATATCAAGGAGCTGACGCATGGTTATTCAGAGGAGCAGCGCCAGGCGATAGCTGGGGTTCGGTGCTTGAGGTTTCGGGTTTAGCAGGTATAAGGGTTCAGAGTTTGGGAGGTTCAGGATTTAGAGATTCAGCGTTTAGGAGTTAGGATTGAGGCGGTTTAGGGTATGGGTCCAGAGTTCGAAATCAGTTTAGGCGAGTTCTTCGATTTATCACGGGTTCAAGTTTTCGGAAGTGGGCTTCAGGTGCATGGCCCCTTTCTCCGTCAGTTGCTTTAATAAGTATATATAACAAATTGGCCTGAATACTTGCCTATCATGTACCCCAAAGTCTTTGTCGAATAAAAACGACCTTAACATTGATTCATTCACGGGGTCTTGATCCAAGTTGTGGGAGATGGCTCAACAAGCTTCATCCTAAACCCTGACACTGCAAGCCCTGAGCCTTAATCCCGAGTTACGTCTCCTTCAACCCTACTTCAAGGATCATGGGACTTAGTAACTAGGGTTATATTTAGGGTAACTATACCTATAACCCCAATCAAGGTACTTGTAACCTTGTTTACTAAGTCCCATGATTCTCCAAGTACTCCCTGAAACAGAGCAAATTCAAACCCGTCTCTCCCATACGGCCGCAAAACCTGCCAAAGCACGATCTTGGTTGTTCAAAGCCCAGGGGTTAAAATAAGTCTAAGCCCTAGAGCTTTGAATTTAGCACCTGAAGACTGGTGAGTCTACCAAATATACTAGCTTAGCCAATGGGAGTACTTTAAACTTTGTGGCCTGTAAATTTAGTCGATCTTATAACGTTTAAACTTTCTTGAGCAAGGTGATGGAAGAAGAGAGTATAGGGGTAGCTACTGGGTTCCTGAGTAGTACCGTTTTGCCTTTTGTTTGGGCAGTCTCCTTATTCACACAGAAACAGAATATGTATTGCGAAGCAAGATACCCTTGTTATTAAGGGGCGACTCAGGCACCTTGACTACTTGGAGGGTCGGGGGATTTAGTAAGTAGGTAATAAGTAGACTTATCAGTACCCTAACAGGGACCCTAATTGGGATTATGGTAGGTATAAGTCCCTAAAAAAGTAACCATTACTAAGTCCCCCGACCCTCCAAGTACAGTATGCAACGCTGTGCCTTCGGTTTAAGGGGTTTAGGGTTTATGGTGCCTTGATCGACTTGTAGCATAACCGACCCCAACAGCCCTAGTCTAATCGTTCCCGAGGGACCCTTAATGGGGACCCCTACCCTATAATGGGTATATACTGGCTATATTATGGGTATATACCTAGGCCCCTCAACGGAAGCCTACAACACCCTCGTCGAATCATCAATGCCCCGCGGCTGTCCCAAGCCTCCGAAACCCCGGCCCTTGAAGCTAAGCACTAGTTCGAGCATCAGGGCAAGTAGTAAGCAGGTTTTAAGTAACCTAACTATAGCCGAACTTGTTTTTATGACCGATCGTAATGATGAGAAAGAGGTGTTGGTATCATACTATCAGTACAGTAAGGAGCCCCCCCCAATCCAGTATTGCAAAGCTTCAACATGTCCAAGCCGCTACCTTTTCGTACGCCTTGTCTCCTGCAGGCGCTCACAGCCGCGGCTCTCGCTACTTGGTTGCAGACTGCTGCGGAAACCTCGAGTAGCGAACACTGCATTATAGAAGCTTCAATTACGAAAAGTCTTCTTGTTTTTTATTTGTACTAACAGGGAACCCCAAACCCCCTAATCAGCTATCCAGGCTCCTACAGTATCTTGCACAGAGTTGCAGCGAGGTAGTAGAAAGTCATGTTCAGAGTAGCAGAGGCTTATGATCATATTTATAAGCAAGTCTTCGAGTGCCTGAGTACGTACATAGAGATATGCATCCTCATGTAGCGTAATGTGCTGTCATGTCAAGCTATGTAATGTAATGTCATGTCAGGGTTTAGGGCGCCAGCTGGGGCTGTCAGTTCACGGGCAGTTTGTGCTATAGTCATGTTGTGAACTCAGTGCCGTGCAGGTCATCCTCGTGCGCTTCATTGCTTTCGCGCTGGTGACCAGGCTCGCAGACCGGGGGGTCGACCACGACGGTCCAAGGTGTGATGCGGGGGCCTTAATAGTTACCTATGCTGTTTTGGTGGTTCCTTGTCATATTATAGTTTCATGGGACCCACAACCCTAGTCTAATCATTTTGGCCCTATATTAGGAGGCGGCTTTTCCTTAAAGGAGCCATTATGAAATGAACGTCTATACGTTTTGCTCACTTTTTTGAGGTCGTTTTCTACAAGGAGCCACTATGAGATGAAAGTCTATACTTTTTGCTCCCTGGTCATTTCAAAGTCCAGAATCCCCAAACCCCAAATAACCCTCAACCCTTAACCCCAAATAAGCCTTAACTACCCCTTGACCCAACGCCCTAAGAACATCTAAAGCATTAACCTCTCAAGCCCTGCTTCGGTGGAGGCCCTACGCGATTCCCTTCATTGACGGCCGGCCGCAGGCCTTCGGGGGCTTCAGAAATGGAGGGACCAGTTGCTTTAATTCAGGGTTTAATGGAGAGCCTCGTTACTCCATAGTTTGGGCTAGGTTAGGGTCGAACTTAGGCGTCTTAACGATCCAGAGTCTCACAGTATGATGATGTAGAGACCACATGGAAACCCTGAACCCAAAACCCTATGAGCCCTAAACACTGCACCCTAAACCCTATAAGCCGTAAAAACCCCTAAACCCTACACCCGAAACCCTATACGCCCAAAACCCTAAACCCCTAAACCTTATCAGCCCTAAACCCTAAACCCTAAACCCTAAACCCTAAACCTTATAATTAAGCCCAAAACCCTAAACCCTAAACCCTAAACCTTATAATTATAAAACCTATAAGCCCTAAACCCTAAACCCTAAACCTTATAATTATAAAACCTATAAGCCCTAAACCCTAAACCCTAAACCTTATAATTATAAAACCTATAAGCCCTAAACCCTAAACCCTAAACCTTATAGTTATAAAACCTATAAGCCCTAAACCCTAAACCCTAAACCTTATAATTATAAAACCTATAAGCCCTAAACCCTAAACCCTAAACCTTATAGTTATAAAACCTATAAGCCCTAAACCCTAAACCCTAAACCTTATAGTTATAAAACCTATAAGCCCTAAACCCTAAACCCTAAACGTTATAACTATAAAACCTATAAGCCCTAAACCCTAAACCCTAAACCTTATAACTATAAAACCTATAAGCCCTAAACCCTAAACCCTAAACCTTATAATTATAAAACCTATAAGCCCTAAACCCTACTATGTAATTGCTGTGGGAGGGGCCTCGGAGGGCCTGCGGGGGCTTTGAAACTCCAGCTTAGGGTTTCTTAGTAAGTACGGTTATAACTACGTGAATTGCCCTTTAAGGGTACTATAGGGTTCTAGAGGGATCCTTAAAGGGATCTATAAGGGTTCTATAATGGAGGATCGTGGGACTTAGTAAGTACGGTTCTAACTACCTGAATTGCGGTTATAGGCATAGTTACCTGATTTATAACCCCAGATACTAAGTCCCATGAACCTCCTAGTAGGGTTTGGGGGTTCAGGGTTGGGGAGTTTGGGGCTGGAAGAGTTTTGGGCTTTAGGGTTTAGCGGTTAAGGTCTCGGGGTTTAGGGCTTTATGCAAGCAGTCACCGTGCTTTAGGTCTTTAGGGCTTCAGGGTCTTGTGGGTTCAGGCATTGAGGGCTTTAGGGTTTTCATCCATGGCAGGGGGACTTGGCATGCAGACTTACGGCTTGGGCTCTTGAGGGTGGCTGAAGTGGCCCCCAGCCCCAGAGAAGTCGAAGAGTTTAGGGCGGTTTAGGGCTGCGGGGTCTTTTAGTCGAAGTCTTTAGGCCCCGGACACTGAATCCCTGAGCCCTACCTGTAGCCGAAAAGACCTACCTTTTTAAGGAACTATATGCAGAAACCATAATAAGGAGCCCTAAAAGGGTAGGCCCTTTCGGCTACAGGTAAACCTGAATTTAGGGTTTAGGGCTCAGGGTTTCAGTGTCCAGGGCTTGAAGGTTGTGGGGCTTGGGATTTTTTGGAGGATTGAGATGCAGGGTGTACGGTACCCAGAGACTCCAATATCCCTTAATGAAGGAATACTCCTTAAATCAGATTAGGGTTACTACTATAATTTAAGGTCTATTCCTCAAGTAAGGGATATTGGAGTCTCTGGGTATTCAATGCGTGCCAAGCTCACAAACCTAACAGCCTGCCTGCCACCCAGAGCCACCCAAACCGCCGTGTCTGATTGGCGTTTATGGTTTCGAGGTTTAAGCCAGGTTTAAGGCTCTATGGCTCCATAATCACATTTGGGTTGAGGGTGCAGGACGCAGTTGTAAATCCAAAGCCTGGAACTGCAGCGCCCTGAACAGAAGAAAGCCACGGCGACTACTCCGCAGCCTGGCTCTCAGTGTTTGGAGTACCTGGCGGAGGAACTTGGAGTGGGCCTCGAGCCTATAGTACTTGAAGGTTCATGGGTAGTTCTAAGTGGGGATATAAGTCCCCTATAATTTGGCTACCCTCATTATAACCCCACTTCTAACTACCCATGAACCTCCAACTAAGATCATCTAAGCAGTTGGCCTGATACTTGAGACTGGATTTCAGTGTGTGCTTTGAAGGGGGTCTGCTTGTGGTTTTCGTGTTGAGATTTCAGGGACACGGTTTTGGATTTACACTCGTGGGGCTATAAGAGCAGGTGTTGCCATACTCCAGTACGTGTAGTACGTGATGATCCTTTTTAGGCAGCAGGGACCTTATATGCAGCAGACGGTGCTTCCGTGATGTGAGCAATCCTAAGAGCCGACGACACCGAAAAGCGAGCATTGAGGGTTCCGGGTTTTTTGGGTTCAAGGGTTTATTGTTGGGGGTTTAGGGTTGAGGGTGTTCTCGATTTTCCCTTCTCTCGCTGGCTGCAGTCTCCAAAGAATCATCTGTCCCAGGGAGGTCAAGACCACTAAGTTAAGGCTCGAGCCATTGAAAGAAATACCTCGTGATCGCGACGGTGATGTGATTGAAGAAGACGATGAGGTGGCGATGATGATGGTTGATGATGATGGTGATGATGATTTTGACGGTGAAGGTTCCGAGGGTGATGCAGATCATGGTCATCATCGTGGTGGTGATGACTGCGATGTCTTGGATTTTGATGTTGATGCTGGATCCTGATGATCATGATGACGATGGTGAAATTTGCCCAGCTTCCGCCCGCAATTGCAAATCATACCGCCTCTACAGCTTCCACTGGATCCGACGTGAAGGGCACGCATGCTCGACCACCCCCGATGATGTCCATGTTCACAGAGGTTGCAATGCGACGAGAACAAATGCTCGAACCCCTAATGATGTCCGTCGGACCCCTATAATGTGGTCTATGTTCACAGCGCGTGAGCCGACTACTCAGTTCCAGAAGGGGTCGTCAACATGTGTGGTACGTTCTTGCTTGCTTTCTGCGACCTCTGCGTGTGGTCTCAAAGCATGCATCTCTTGCCATGTTTTTTTCCACTTCTGTACTCTAGCAGCATTCTCCGACGTTTCGATTTTGGGATTCCTCCTGCTGCTGCTGCTGCTGCCCACTGCCACTGCCACTACCACTCCCCCTTGTCGCTGCCACTACCACTTCCGCTGCCGGTATGACTACAAGCATCGAGTGTGATGTGCTACTACGGACGCGTTCCAGGGCCCTCCGCCCGCTGAACGCATCGGCGCCCCTGCTCCGCAGTGCAATCAACTCAGAGATGTCTGGGGCACGGAGGCGCGGCGCAGGTTGAGGTATTCGTGTTTCTCGGGCTTGAAAGGTTATTTAAAACTTGTACGCACAGCTAGCACGGACAGATGCCACATCCTACTGATGTGGTGCATGTGCTCTTGCTTGAAGTTTCCTTGGTGATTACAGGGAGGTTGGATGAGAACAGACGGAAACCGCGTAACAGTCCGAAACCCGCTTTAGGACAGAACCTTCAGGATGTCTCATCTGCGCAGCCGTACCCGACTCCTACATGAACTGTAGCACACGACCCTCAGCTCTATCTAGCAAGCCCTCAACCCAAAACACACTGAGCGCTAAACGCTAAACGAACAGAGAATAGCTATACGACTGTGGGTTACTCTTTTCGGTTTTTCTTTTTCGGACGATGGTGTCTTTTATAGGAATCGCTCAATACATATCTTGCTTACCTTCTAGGGGGGAAAGCGGTAGGGAGCCGTCATATAGATCCCAAGTAGTAGCATCCCTTGGTTATAAGGGAAGCGTGAAACTCTAAGTCACAAACCCTAAACCCGAAATCGTCGAAACAAGGGACCCCGATCTTTTCAAGAAGCCCGCACATCTGTCAGGAGTATGGAAAGAGATGCAGAGGCCCTGCCGCTGACTAGTACTGGAGTTGTTGTGGTTTTCGTAGAGTTCAGGGCGTAAAGGGTTTTAGGGTGTAGGGTTTAGTAGGGCTGAGGATTCAGCCCTAATTTCAGAGTTCGGCCTTGTGTTGAGGCATAAGGATTGGGTTTAGGGCTGTTTAGGGTTGAGGGTTGGCAGTTGGCACTCTGGAGAGCTGTGGAAAAGAAACGAAAAAGCAGCAAAGCTGTGGGAACCGCGCAGAAAATCCAGAAAGAGGAAGTTATACAAGTACCGTAGAGGCAATTACGTAGAAGCAACTCCAAGTTATGCAATTAAGTACTGTAGGGGGAGGTTAGAAGCAAATCCGGGTTACAGGCAGCTTTTCACCCGAAACGCCAAGCCAAAAACTGAAGATCCCTCTTACCAAGCTCCGGACCGAGAAGAGAACCGCCAGGAGAGAGCCCACAGGCCATGGTGACACTTTTGCTTAAAGGATCATGGGACTTAGTAACTAGGGTTATACTTTAAAGGGCTCCTTTAAAGGGATCTATAGGGGGTTCTATTATAAGAGGGGGTTTATAGGGTCTACTGAAAGGATCATGGGACTTAGTAACTAGGGTTATAATTAGGGTAACTATACTTATAACCCCAAGTAGGGTACTTATAACCTTACTTACTAAGTCCCATGAACCTCCAAGTGGGGATAGGAATGCAGAGGACTTCGGACTTAGGCTTTGGGGTTGAGTGTTCAAGGGTTGAAGCTTTCGGATTTAGGGTTTCATGCCTTCCTTGTAGATTTATGCTGCCTTTTTACAGCACCTGAGAAGCCAATCAACTTGTAAACCCGACAGTGCGCATGGAAGGAGCAGGGTGCTGCAGTACAGGATCAGGACAGCGCCGGATTGAAGCAAGAAGAGGCCGGCTCAGGAAAAGAGTCTTTCCGTAAGGGTTGGGTTTAGGGTTTAGGGTTTAGGGGTTTAGGGTTGCAGGTTCATAGATCATGTGCCGTTTCATCGTTTCTGGGGTTGCCACCGGTCGCTCCAGGGTGTCTCGGGAAGGTTTGTAGCATTTGAAGCCCTAAACTGACCCTAAACCCTGAACCCTGAACCCTAATCCTAAGCCCCCCTCCACGAGATTTTGCAAGATTTCAACAGTCGGTCTTGTTCCGCTAAGATTTGGGCCGAGGCCGTGGTGGCTTCACGCTACCCCTACACTAAAGTGCATATCCCTGAACCTAAACCTTGGACCTTCGAGCTCAAATCCGAATTCCCGAAGCCCTTATCTTTTAGTCCTACTTAACCCCTCGTCGGGCACCCCTAAATCATCCAGAAAGCCGACACCATGGTAGAACCCTTCACGCAATCCTATCAAGCCGTAAAGCCTACTATAGGGGCCTTAGCAATTAGAATAGGGTTTTGGGGCCCATTATACTATGATTATGAGCAGGACGTACCAAAATAGTATAGGTGATTATTAAGGCCCCTAGTAGACCCTAAACCCTAAGTCCTAAACCCTCTCACGCAATCCTATCAAGCCGTAAGGCCTAGAACCAAAGATTCAACTGACAGGTCCGGTTGCTGCGGGAGTTTGCCTGGATCGTGATGCAGCTTGCCTAGAACTACAGAGAGAGGGCGGACATTCAGGGTTTAGTTCGGGTCCAGGATTAAGTGTTTAAATCTTCGGGCCTGTGGAGGTTTGAGGGTGGAGGGTTTTGGTCCCTTTAAGGTTTGGTGGGATTTCCCAGAGATCATTTCCGTGTACCTCTAGCACAGTGGCGCCCCCGAATTCGCCTTCAACCTACTTGCATTACATCAGGGGAGCTCCGTTCCCGCGATACCAACCGACTGCCCAAGCAGTTCTCCGAACGATAGTGTTGAAGGACACGCTCTTGAAGGCCAGAGTTTGAATCCCTGAATTCTTGAACACAACAAAACGATGGCCGGTCGGCTTGTGGTATGGGTTAAGGGTTGGCTTGCGTGCTTGAAGACGGACATTGAAGTTCTGCAGGCCGAAATGGACACTCCAAACCCTAAACCCCAAATGGACAGCCTAAAACACTAAACCCGCAACCCTGGGCTGGTCTTGACGGCCCCAAGTTACCCTAAACCCCTGGGTTTAGGGTTTGGGTTTGGGTTTAGTATTTAGCTAGAGAAAGCTCAAGCAAACAAGGAAGCATGTTGAATAGCCGCTCCTCTTCCAGGCTTCTTGCCTGCTTCCTCTTCGAGATGCGATTTATCGTGTCCCTGGGCTTTGCTATTGGGGGCTATGCAAAAAAGCCCTGAACCCTCGAAGCTACGTGTGAACAGCCTATGAGATGTCAGAAGCATTTACCAGACAGACGTAGTTTGTAAAGTCGTAAGCACCTTATCAATGGGGTTTGAAGTCTACATAGCCATACGTACAGCTGTTTTGTCAAAAAGTCCTACCTGGAACCTGCACAGCCCATGATCCATCAATTAATGTCCTCGACACCGGGATATTTGTTCAACGGGACGCGTTCCTCGGAGCCATTTATCCTCGGCACTGCGCAGTACCCAAATGTGCCGAGTGAAAACCACGAAATCCTAAACGATCCTAAGCTCTAAGCCGTCCGTGTCCACCCGAAACTCAGAATCCAAAGGCCTAAAAACCTCACAAACTTTAAAGTCTGCATCTTGACCCTGGACCCAAACACCCTAAATCCAGGGTCCATTTGCTTTGAGTTTGTACAGGGTTTAAGCTATAACAGAGAAGCTTGAATAAGTATCGACAGCATTAGTTAGGGTTCCTGATTAGAACTATGCTATAATGTCCCCCAAAACCCCTCTTCGAATTAGTAAGGCCCCTGTATGAGGCCCTAGAAGCCCACCGCTGTAGAACCCCCCAAACCTAGATGCTGCAGCCTTCAACCCTATACCACAAAACCCTACACTCTCCAAGGATTCCCTCATTAGGGTTTAGGGTCTTGGGGTCTTAGGGTTTAGGGTGCAGGGTCCCTTTACTGGGTGCCGGGGGTCTCTGCTTGTGGGACGTAGTAAAGTTCTTCATTGTCATTGATAGTAACCATCATGCCTAAACTGTGGCGTAAATCCTCCGAGCGAGCCCCGAACATGAAGAATATACCATGTGTTTGTAATTTGTAATATTTGCCTATTGTAAAAACTGAGTACTTGCAACAAGGCTGGCAGGTTGCGACCTAGTGGGAGAGATCTCTCCCAGTCCCCTCTCCCGACCTTTGCCAATGTGCCCCGGAGAACACCCCAGATGCTTCCCAGCTCAATCCCTCTACTATAGGGGCCTTAATCATTACCAACACTATTTTGGGGGCTCCTTCTTACAATTACAGCATAATGGGCCCCTAATTATTAAGGCCCCTATATTGCCTCAACAAGAGCCCTGCGAAGGAAACCCTGTTAGGACCTGTTCGACCTTCCTCCACGAAGCCCTGAAAAGCCCTAAACCTCAAAGCCGACACTTCAAACCCTTAACATTCACCCTATATCAGCCCCAGACATAGACCTTAAGCCCTAAACCCAAAACTCTTTTATTTAAAGCTTAAACCCTGGAAAGCGCTTTCCGTTTCTGTTGGCGTGATTTTTGAGCTCACTGGGTCTCCGGCCAGGCCGCTGATCGCTGACTTCGAGTTCGGTTGCTTGGCTTTCAAGAGAATGCTGGTTCGGGGCATAGGAATTTGAGAGTTTTCAGTTTAGAGTTTAGGGATCAGGAGAGGAAATTAGGGTTTTGGAATTTAGAGTTTTCAGTGTAGAGTGTAGAGTTTAAGGAACAGGGGTTCAGAGTTCAGGTTTTGGGGGTTTTGGGAGCTGGCTTCGAACACTACGTTTGGGAGTTCTCTAACAGGGTGTCCGCAAGTTTTTGTTTCGCTCAGGTTGAGGATGGCTTCATTGCACAGTTTTAGATGAGTTCTTAAAGGCGAAGGCGCTGTCCTGGGGCGCTTGTGGTTAAGGCTTTTGCGTGATACGGGGTTTCCTTTGAAGGAGGACTGAGCTGGAATTGGATTTGAATGTGCCTAGCCACTAAGATGCCTTCTGTGGAGACACCTGCGCCTTACGCTGCTTGGCTGCGTTGACGTCAACTTTGAGCATTCCGGGCCATGAGAACGTTGGTTTCGGTAGCATTTCGCACTGCCTGCAGTCGTGGAAGTCCGGTGGTGTGACGCAGCATCCATCTAGATTACAGGTATGGGCAGCTCTCAAATTCGTGTCCCTTTTCAGGTATCCAAAATAGGGTGGCACCCTTATAAAAAGGACCTAAAAAGGACCCTACCCATATGGGCGTGCTCCGAAGCCAGGCAGAACGAAGTACTTCACCTTCGTTTCCAGTGACTGCTACTCCTGCATTGGTGGCCTCGGATTGGTCTGGAGCCTCGTGATCCTCACGGCGTTCTTCGAGACATGGCAAACAGGAATACGTATATAGAGGCTCAGATGCTCAACATTATGACAAATTGGGGAGAATCGCAGGGAGGCACAATCCGAAGGACCAGAGAGCTCACTGACACCTGGTGGTCCTGTTCTCAACTTAGTGGCGTAGTTCACAACGGCAGCACTATACTGGCAAGCGCATCAGCAGCACTGCGAGCAGGGACTACGCCAAAGACAGACGCATTGGCGATGGCAGCGGCAGCAGTAGCAGCAGTGGCAGCAGAACCTCAGTAGCAGCTGTAGCATTAGTATTGGCAGCGGCTGCAGCACCGGGAAGAGGAGCTGGAGGAGGAATAGGAGCAGGAGGAGTCGTAGCCATAGAGGTACGAGGAGAAGTTGGTTGCAGTAGCAGCAGGAGCAGGAGAAGCAAGAGCCGGTTATTACCGGCAGCAGGAGCAGTAGCATATTCATTGCAGCAGCAGTAGCAGCAGCAGTTGCTGCAGAAGTAGCAGCAAGTAGCAGTAGCAGCAGCCGTCGCGGTAGCACTAGTAGCAGCCGGCTGCAGCAGCATTAGCAGTAGCAGTCGTGGTCGTGGTGGCAGTAGCAGAGGTCGTCGTCGTCATCGTAGTTGTTGCAGGCGTAGTCGGAGTGGCTTTCGCGGTCACAGCCCCAGTCGATCGCCGGACATTTCCTAGTGCTCTTCCGAAGCATCATGCCGTTCCTTCGGTGCACGCTCAAACTCCAAAGCCTTACATGTTTATATCTCTATCTCTAGAGGTTTGGGCTCTGAGGTTTCGGATTCAAACATGTAGGGTTGAGGGATTAGCCGCAGAAGTGTGCCACATCGTGGCTGCAGCCGAGGACATCTACTACATCTTCTATGTCTCTCGCTCGCCTGGTTGGACGTAACGACAGCCCGAACCAACCCTCTAAGCCAACTCTGCGAAGCGGAAACAATCTGCAAACTCCATACTGAACAACAAAACCTGAAGTAAAGCACTGCATGCGGGGCTTGAGTGATCAAGCTTGGCAGTCTGGGATAGATCAGAGGTTTTAGGATGTCGGATGGCCAGTCTAAGTTTCCTCTTCCGGGGCAGGTGGATGTTCTCTTCCATATTGCCGGTCATTCCCGGATGCCCGAACTAGGGTTTAGGGTTTAGCCCCTTTGTTACCACCTTCCCTTCAAGAGCCACACAGCCCTGAACTTTCACCCCAGCCTTCACCTGGCCATATGTCACCAAAATGAGCTGTTCTGAGCCAGGGCACAGTTTACAGTGGCTGCAGTTGCAAAGGGTCGCGGCAACGGATCCCAATTGACAGTAAAAACTGATGTTAATTTTTACACCTGAAGCGAGAAATCACGATCGAACACCAAGAAGAGGCTTGCGGATCTATGTCGGGCAGTGATGTCCCTAGGTAGGGCAGCGGTTTGAGGTCTCTGCAGGTTTGCTGGACGGTGGAGGAACACTCAGTTTTGAAGTGTAGAAGTCTGCCTTAACGTTTTGGGCTCAAGCTGCCGCTGCTACTGCCCGAGACGTTAGATAGACTGTTCGACCAGTCACAGTGATGCGAGAAGTGGAGTATGCGAGAAGGAAGAGGGGACAGCCGAGCTGGTGGAACGGCCTAGTTATGTGTCTCATACTGGTATGTTGTGTTTGGCCCGGCATCAGCATAGAAGGTTTCGCAACTGCTGCGGCCAGGACACACTTCACCCTGTCTGCAAATCCTTGTGACACATTGGAGGAAGTCCGATTAGCAAAACAAGACTTGCCAAAGTACCTCAGCTTGTCTGTACATCTGGACGACACATTGCCGGAAATCCGAAGAAAGAACATAGACCTCCGAAAGTTGTTGAAACAGTGCCAATGGCCGAAGCTGAAGTATTTCTGGGCAAGCGGACGCACCTACAGCCTGCCTCTGCGAGCCGAGAGCAGAGAGCCGTCACATCGACCAGCCAAAGCCACGCTGGAGTACTTGGCCGGCTTCTTCGACGGGGATGGCTGCGTTAGATGTGTGACGGGTCTGTCAGGATGCGAGTTGGTGGTGTCCCAGTCTTGTGACCAGGCGGAAGTTCTCATGCTCTTCCGGGACACACTTGGTGGGAGCATCACACGGCACTCAGGGGGCAAAGGTTTGGGAAAACCAGTGCTTCAGTGGCGAATTTGCGGCGACTCCGCCCGACGGGCAGCCAGGCTCCTGGCACCACGCAGCATCACGAAGCAGAAGCAGCTCTTGCTTTGTTCACGATGGCCAAAGACAAAAGCGCGAAGAGAGGACCGCAAGGCGAAGCTGTGCGCTCTGAAGAAGTACGATTCAGCGGTTGCTGGGCCGTGCAGCTGGGAGTACTGTGCTGGGTTCTTCGATGCAGAGGGCTGCATCTCGCTGTGCAAAGGAGGAGCCTCGTTGCAACTGCGAGTGTCGCAAAAGCATCCCCGAGTTCTGCGGAGCCTTCATGATTTTTGGGCCACCACATCATGCAACATTTCGGCATTGCAGAGAGCATGAGCATGTACTTTCGGTTTGCGGCATGTGCAACTGCAAGGAGATACTACAACACCTGTTGGATGGCGAATTGATCTGCAAAATGAAGCAGGCGCAGCTCGCTTTGAGCCTCACGGCGGAGAACGCGGCTGAAGTCAGCTCTGAGCTTGCAGGACTCACTGGCAACCAAATGTTTGGAAAGAGGTTGGACCCGGCAGGCCAAGACCGGGCGAGGAATATAGCTGCAGAAAGCAAGCTAGCTGCTCGTTTGAAGAGCCGACGACGACTGGACACGGACGCTGAAGCCAAGCTGCCCGAGGTGCAGCGCAACCTTGCGAAGCTCAAGAAGGATCACGAGCTCCTCAAAGCCCGTTCTGAGAATCACCAGTTGCTTGAGTACATAGAGTACTTATGCAAGCTGCACGAGAATTCGTGGAAAGGACCTCTTCTTCCCGGCATGTGGCGAAATCGCCAAAAGAGGTTATCGCGTGCAGCAGGGCAGAACAACACCCACCGCAGGACAGTTGAAGAGGCTTGTCGGCGCGACGAGGTTGTAGGGCATGTCAAACTAGACATATAAATATCTAAGTATTTCTACACACACATCTGTCATTACAAAGGTGCATACCGATGCACAGCCAAAAGAGCACGCCACTCAGAACCCATACGCGAACTCCCCATGCTTTTGAAATCCTCTGTTGTCAACGACATTTACGTACACACGACGCTTCTTAGAATATGTATGTGCATATATGCCTGTCTTTCTGTCTGCCTCTCGATCCGTCTGTTTTTCTGCCTGTACGTATGCATGTATGTATGTATGTAAGTAGGTGAAGCCTGGTCGATCCTATTGAAACCTGTTGAACAATTATGAAACTGGTCTAAGATCTTGTAATCGCAGATGATCCGAGGCCGGGACGGCGGTGTTCGGCTATGGCAACTTGCAGTTCCGTCCAGGGTTCTATAATGCATCTATAACGGTTCCACAAGGTTGCGTAAGTGTTCGGCAAGGTTTCTATGAAGGCGGCTAAAACGTTTCGAGCAGCATTATCAGGTTTCTACACGTGTTCTTTAAAGTTCGTTTAAGGGATTTCCAGGGTTCAGGCTTCGGTGAGTTTAATTAAGTCTAGGATTAGGATTGAGGGCAGATAGGGGTTTCAGGTTCAGTGCCTTTTGTGATTTGAGGGGCTTCAGGGCTGTAGGGCATTTGCGTGTAGGGTTTATGATTCAGGGTTGTAGGGTCCAGACCTCAGGGTTTCGTCGGTCTAGGTTCGGGGGTCTTTTGAAGGTGCTCTGGCATTTGAGGGGTTGAGAAGGATCTGAGTTTAGGGTGTAGGTCTTGTAGGATTTTGCGACAGTTTTTTTCAGGGTTTCGCCGCGCGGTGCTGTAAGGTTAATCCAGGGTGTTGTAGGGTTTTTGTGGGTGGCAGAAGGCGTGCAGGGATTTGAAAGGCATTCACGGTTTAAGGGATTCTTGATCTTGGCCAATAGAGCTTGACATTTGAAGTGTGGGTTTTTCTTTCCAGAAGTTTGTTGCAGATTTTGCTTGTGGTTCTGAGTTCCTACACACCCTGAACTCTTGTTTAATTTAAGACTGTGCGCAGGAGATCCTGTACAGTGGTTTTCATGCCAAATGGGCACGGGTGTCTGTCCGACTAGTTCACCTAAACAGTTCTATCAAACCCATCATTCTAAACCCCGAGGAGGCCTATATCGTCAAATTTCGGTAGATCTCGCTAGTAAGCCTCTCTATGCCCTAAAGCCTCGAATTCCCCGTTGCCACAGGCATGGGTGAATGGCGTGGCTTGCGAAATGCCCCCCGGCTCAAAGGTGCAGAAGCCCTGCTTGGACTAGGTCGTGTCGTGACATACTGATGACTTGTTGCTTTTGGGTTCCTATTATAAGATGAACGCCCTGATCATAATCCTAAACCCGAAGCCTCGTCTCGTCAAATCCTCGGTTCTACACCGCCAGCCCTAATCCCACACACCTGAAGCGTCAAACCCTGATCTGTCAGCCCTAGCCCGAAGCCCTAGGAAGCACGAAGGGATATTCCCGAAGCCCAAACTTAGTCCTAAACCGTAAGCCCTAAAAAGCACGAAGGAATCTTTCCTCTAGTGGTTCCTGCTTAAAGCCAGCGTTTAGGTCCTCTCGACGGCTTTGCGCCATCTGGACGGGGATGCTAAGAAATGGATGCACTTCGTGTTTCCGGCTTGGGGTTTGAGGTTCAAGGTTGCATGGCTTGGCGGGTTTCGTAATTTTGTATTTGAGTTTCGTGGCTTAGGTTTAAAGTGTAGGGTTCAGAGTTTAGGGCTTGAGAGTTTCGGGTTTTGGGAGGGCAGACTCTGGACTCTGGACGTGGCTAAGCACCCCATACGCTGAGCCCGCAATCCCAAACTCGCTCTCGGAGAATATTATACTTCCAAAACCCTGAACCACTGCCTGAAGCCCCAGCCCCACCGACCGCAGGCAGGCTTCGAACATGTCGGAAGAAGCTGCACAGTGTCGAAGATGGTTCTGCAGGTAACCGCCTGTCGAACTAAACTTAAAAATCCTTCAGCTCAAACCGAAAGCCTGAACTCCAGACGCCCTAGCCCGGAAAATGGTCGTTTCTGAGTTCCTACGGTCATACATGTAGGGTTCAGAGCCGTGGGGTTTCGCCCTTAAACCTCATGATCACTACACCGTTTGCCTTCAATCCGAAACCCTAAACCCTAAACCCTAACCCCTAAACCCTAAACCCCAGACCCTAAACCCTAAACCCTAGACCCTAAACCCCAAACCCTAGACCCTAAACCCCAAACCCTAGACCCTAAACCCTAAGCCCTAGACCCTAAACCCTAGACCCTAGACCCTAAACCCTGAAGCAGGACCTGGACTCTGGCACCACGGGCCGTGTTCCGGAAGTGGCCACGCCGCGGCGGCACGCGCATCGCCTTCGGAGCCTTGGGACGAAGTGTTGGGCTCCTTCAAGCGATCCTTGAAGGGATCTGTAGGGTTTAGGGGTTTCGGGTTTAGGGGCTTTGGGGTTTAGGGTTGAGGGACGAAGTCGAGGATTCACGGTGTAGGGTTTAGGGTTCCAGGGTTTTGGGTGTAGGGTTTAGCATTTAGGGTTTATGGTGGCTTTACGGTTCAAGGGTTGAGGGTTGAGGGTTCAGGATCAAGGTTTTAGAGTATAAGGGTTCAGCATTCAGAGTGTAGGGTTGAGTGCGTCGGGTTTTAGTGCATTGCTGCTCCTGCGGTTTCTGGCACTGTGGTGGTGTGGTAGTGGTGGTGGTGCTGCTCCTCCTGCTCGTGCAGCTTCTTCTGTTTGAGTCATGTGAGCAAACGGGTCAACGTCCAAACCCTAAACGGTTCCTTCTAGATGCCTTTTACCAGTCTGGGCATCATGGTCCGCTTCTGGAATCCGCCCCGTCAAAACCCTTAGCCCCAAAACCGTAAACCCTACCCCTCCCCCCTGCGGCCCTAAACCACTCCAGGCTGACAGACGGTGAAGCCATGCAGCAGGTCTTCGGCGTTTCCTGGCGCATGGTGTGGGCCTCAGATTTCCGAGGGCTTCCGCAAAGCTGTAAAGATTCTACTCGTGACAAGAACAAAGCCCTTTACAGTTAGCTGCCTTGGCGGAACCTTACAGCCGTCCGAAGCACCATCACCTGTACGAAGCCCGTCGGTGAGTCTCAGCTTCCATGGACCTCTACAGCAGCCTCAACTTCTTGAGAAAGTAGCCCTGAAGCCTAAAGCTTAAAGCTTAAGCATCCTTGCATAAGCCACCTTAATCCCTGCACCTCTACTTATAAGCCCATTCACGATCAACTAGGCCACCGCTCTACCCGTACAAGACACGGATTCCAACAAATCCCAAACCCTGAGACCATACGCTAAAGCCCTAGACCCGTAACCTCTCCTAAAGCCCTTCTAAAGCCCTTACAGAAAGGTGCCCGTCCAGAGCCCTCACAGAAATCTTCCTTGTAGTATCCGTTTTACCCAGACAGCCCTATACCCCTTAATTAATCAATATGCCTTAGATTATATGGGGCTTCATATTACGATTTAAGCTATATTAAGGGATATTGGGCTCTCGGGGTAGTTCCTTTCTGGTGCCCTTATCAGGTCTGGAGCCGGATTGTGGAAGCGCTCTACGAGGCCCGCAGTGCCAGAAGCTTTTAGCAGGTTATGCGGTTCAGGTTTCTTACAGGGGATCGAAAATTGAAGCGGGCACAACCACCTCAACCGACGTGATGTGGGAGTTGAAACAGGCACCCGTTACACCCGATGCAAAAAAAACTGTCCAAGAGCTCTGCCAATCTCCCAACTCTCGGCCAGGACTGCGTGATCTCCTCGGACCAGGCGAATTCCATGGTTAAGGCCGGCTTCTCGACAAAGCCACCCTAAACCCTGAGCCCTACAAAACTGCGTGGTTGAAAATCCTGAATGCTGAACCCACGGAGATCTGGAGAAAATGCAGTACTCAAATCCAAACGCCCAAGACTTTGTCACAGTTGGGCAACATTTTACATGTTTACTGGTACTTATAAATTCAATAAGGACTAGAACTTTGAATTTTGTTACTATCCCAACCACGGACGAGGCAATGGTATGAAACCTCATTGTCAAGACCCCTAGACAGCACTCCTGACTTCGATAACGGCCCTTTGGTGTAATTCTTGTTGCTGTACTTTACAAGATGTCACGTCATATAGAAGCTTAAATAGTTGACAATAGCAACCCTAAAGCCTTAAACCCAAGAACTTCAACCTTAAACCCTGAAGCCCTGCCTTAAAACCCCTATAGAGCCCTTTAAAGGGAACCCTTACAGTACCCTTTAAAGGAACCCTAAAAGAGATCCGGAGAGGCCGGCAGCACCGTTCGCTGGGACAGCAAGGAGAACTTGCAGACCTCGGCGTCTCCTCAAGACCAGTTCTCCAGGTGCCTTTCAACTTAGGGGTACTTAGGAATAATGGTTAATTTTTGGTTATTATAATCCCTAAGAAACAGCTAAAATTATGATGTTTTCTCCAGGTGCCTTGCAAGGGCTGTATACTTAAAGGATCATGGGACTTAGTAACTAGTGTTCCTTAAAGGGCTCCTTTAAAGGGATCTATAGGGGTTCTATTATAGGGTCTACTTAAAGGACCATGGGACTTAGTAACTAGGGTTATAATTAGGGTAACTAGACTTACAACACCAATTAAGGTACTTATAACCTTACTTACTAAGTCCAATGATCCTCCAAGTAACGGTTCCTGTAGAGAGCTCTATAGGGTTCCTTTAAAAGGCAGTATAAGGGTTCGTTGAAAGGGTGCTGTCAGGGTTCCTGTAAAGGGTACTTTAAAGGTTCCTCCAAAGGGCTCTATAAGGGTTTAGGGTTGCTGGGCTTGGGCTTAGGGTTTAAGGTTTCTAAGCGTACGGTTTGGGGCGCGTGCTGAGAGAACAGTCAATCTGGCAAGTGCAATCATATGGGAGTTTCCGAAAATTAGGGGCACCTTATTGTGGGGTCCTTATAATAAGGATCCTACTATTTAGGCTACTACATTCGGGTCCCGTATTTTCGGAAACTGCCATGCGTCGAGCATGAGATCTAATGCAAGCCATTGCTGCAGCTTCTTCTCTTAGTACTCTTTCGTTTCCCGTTTCCAGCGCCGGTACGCTGGCCTTTGGCTCTTACGGTTGTGGCACTTTCTATAGCTTCTGCTGCTCTAACAGCTCTTACTTTTCTTCTCCTGGAAATCCATTGGGTCGTTTGAGGTCTCTAGCATTTTGGGCTTTGCGGGTGGGGGTTCAGCGTAGGAGGGTCTAGCACTGGGTACGTGGGTTGGATGGTTAGGTTTACTTGGTCAAGATGTACCAGGGCTTCATATGAACCCTACGGTTTTCGGTTTCGGGGTCCAGGTGTTGGTGAGTGTGCATAGGGCACGGGGCTCTCGTCCCGACAATGTATGCTCTGTATATGTGTTCTGCTCACTCCTCAAACCTTGCCCCCCTCTGCCCTAAACCGCCCAAATCCTAAACCCGGAAACTCAAAACCCCAAACTCGAGCCCCAAAGCCTGTGCCAGCAGTTGTTGACTTTGTTCCTTCGGGGTGGCGACGATGGTGAGGAAGATCAGAAACATGGTCACTTCATGATTTTTGTCGTGCTTGGCGCTGATGATGATGAGGATGACAATGACGATGATGTCGCCGTGGGCCAGGGCATGATACCACCGGTGGAGGTATTTAAGGTTTACGAAGCATGGAGTCTCTTGCTAGGGCTGGGTACTTACATGAATCCCTCGCAGGCTGCGCTTTGTGGCGACGCAGCTGCGCAATGGAAGCAGCTTAAAGCACGAGCTCTCAGTCTCGGGCTACCTTTTCCCCAAATGACTTTCCTTTTTCAGGACTTATTGAAAAGCAACGCATGATAGGGAGCCCCCAAAAGGTAGGCTTTACAGCTAGGGTTCAGGTCGTGCCGAAGGGAGGAGAAGAGGGGGTCAGGGGTCCGAAGTTCGGCCGCGTGAGCTCATTAGGCATTATGGATGCTTTTGGCGACGATGAGAAGTAGACGAGGATTTAGGGTTTAAGGATGATGTGCCCCTGTCATGGTGTGTTTATGGGCACGACTACACATAGAAGGATCCCACAAGTAGGGTTTTCCGGAGTCCCGTCTTCTAGGCCCCCTACACCCCAAATCATGCTTAGGCACTTGTTTGAGCCCCTATCAACGCAGATTCCTGGAACATCCTAAATGCCAACTCGGAAAGAGCCCTGCTGAGCTCCTCTAGATAATCCTCGCTCCATACTGCTTGAACAGTTCATAAACGCTGAGCTCTTAACCCAAAGCCTTCATCAACCTTAAGCCCTAAAACCTCTTGCAGTACCCCTTCTAGTAACCCGTATATAAACCTTCAACCCTAAACCCTAAACCCCTACAGTACCCCTTATAGTAATCCTTAAGAGCCCGTATGGTAACCGCTGTAGTACCCCTAAACCAGCTCTGGAAGCTGCGAGGGACGTTGCGACCTCGGGGGCAAGGCATCGCTGTCTCTCCGCGCTGGAGGCGGTCGGATGTTGAGGGTAATGTCATAGAATGGAATACGGTATAGTATACTCTACTACATCATAGTATACCATGGTTCAAGGGTGCAGGATCTCATGGGAGTATTCTGTTGTGTGTCGGGGTTGGGATTGGAGAATAAGCCCTAAACCCTAAACCCCCTAAAGCCCGGAGGGGCCTGTCGCTACGTTTTGATCCCAAGCGCCCCTTCTTGGAGGTTCATGGGTAGATATAAGAGGGGGACTTATAAACCCCAAATCCGAAACTCTAAAACCCTAAACCAGCCTCAAGTCCGTTGACCAGGAAGCTAACTTTCTGAATCTGAAGCTCTAAGCCCTACTACAAGGGCATTAGATATTATAAGGGTACTATAGAGGGTGTAAGGAGGCTGAAGCTCTAAATCCATGGACCTTCAACTCCCTCAGCGCGGAGGTCCACGTCCGCCCGCCGGGTTCACGGGATGCCAAAACCGAGACGTAACTTGGCGAGAGCAGCTATAATATAATAACATAACATAACATAATAATGTGCATTATAATGCAATAGTATACTATACTGCACTACTATACTATACTATACTATGCTATCTATACAGGGGTTCAAATTTCCAGGGCCCGAAGTCAGTCTTGAGAAGTTGAGATTACGCGACTTGGGTTTATAGTTTGGCTGTATGGTTCAGAAGTGTGAGTTGAGGGCTTTAAGCCAAACAGCTGAGGTTTAAAGCTTATACTGCTTGAAGGTTGCGGTGTAAGGTTCATGAAGTTGTTCTTTGGGTTTACTTGAAGGCTCAGGGGACATAGTCTAGAGTCGTTACAGATGATGTAGCGCAAGCAGATATGACTTTAATTGCAAGTAGCCCCGACTACAGCCTCTGTAACCTTGCTTAAACCGTTGCAGTAGGGCTTGGGATTTAGGGCTCAGGGCACTCGGTCGTTGATTTGGGTTGAGCTGTTTGGCAGCCAAGAGAAATCTCACCACACTTTGCATCGAACATCGCCACATGACTCGGGCCGGCGAGATTAGACTACATCATCTATACTGTTCTACCGGGTGTGTATGGTAACATTTCTAGTCCTTCGCGTTCATCCATCAGTGCTCAGGTTTCCAGGTTGGCCTAAACCAGAAGGCCGAAGGTATGGTTCGCGATACGCGGACAAGGTACCGGTAGCAATCTTGGTCAGTGTGGCAGCGGCAGCAGCAAAAGTGGTGAGTCGTTCTCGTCGTAGTGGGAGTCGTAGTCGCGCTGGCTTTCGTGCTGGCCGGGTGCCGGTGTTGGCGGCGGTGGTGGTTGTGCTGGCGGGGATCTACATAACATTTGGTGGTGATCGGGTTGGTGCTGGCGCTGTACGGGTGCCGGGTGCTGATGAGATGCTCGTGGTCATGATACAGTTGCTTGCAGCATTTGTTGTAACAGCAGAAGCAGTCAAGGCAGCGGGGAGAGCAGTAGAACCAACTGTTAGAGCATCAACAGAAGTTGGCAGAGCCGTTTGCGATCCGTGGGAGAAGTTAGTTGAGGTTGATCTAGGTAGAGTTCTCATGAACTGAGGCGCCTGCTGCAAAATATTGAGGACTTCACCGTGGACTGCAAGTTGGACCCAATGGCCGCAGTGGGATTTACCCTTTGGGTTGGGCTTTCGAGATTTCGGTTCTCGTTCAGTCTCCCCTCAGGACCCACGACATTCCATCCATCTGAGGAACTCTGAATTCTTAAACTTTGAGCCTGTAGCCGGGGCTCGGTTCGGCGGTTTAAGGTTTTAGGGGTGGGCCAGAGTTAAAATGCTGCGGTTATAGCACCCTGAGACCCTCGGCTTTGGGTTCCGTCGTTGCTTTGGGTTTAGGGTTCAGCGACGGTCCCTCGCCCAAGCCCTTCGAGCGAACAAGTTGTCGAGTAACCTGAACCCTAAACCCTAAGCAAACCTTAAACCCTAGACCCCGAGCCGGGTAGTCCCTGGACAGGGCGGATGACGAAACCCTTCGAAGCCTGAGCCCCGAAGCCGAAACACGACGCGGGACTGACCGTCCAGCAGCTGCAAGGGGGTTCGGTGGAGGCGCAAGACCTTAAAAAGCCACCTGTGGAAACGACGGCACCCTAAACCCTAAACCCCTGAACCCCAAACCCCTAAAACCCTAAACCCCAAACCCCTGAACCCCAAACCCCTAAAACCCTAAACCCTAAACCCCTGAACCCCAAACCCCTAAAACCCTAAACCCTAAACCCCTGAACCCCAAACCCCTAAAACCCTAAACCCTAAACCCCTGAACCCCAAACCCCTAAAACCCTAAACCCTAAACCCCTGAACCCCAAACCCCTAAAACCCTAAACCCTAAACCCCTGAACCCCAAACCCCTAAAACCCTAAACCCTAAACCCCTGAACCCCAAACCCCTAAAACCCTAAACCCTAAACCCCTGAACCCCAAACCCCTAAAACCCTAAACCCTAAACCCCTGAACCCCAAACCCCTAAAACCCTAAACCCTAAACCCCTGAACCCCAAACCCCTAAAACCCTAAACCCTAAACCCCTGAACCCCAAACCCCTAAAACCCTAAACCCTAAACCCCTGAACCCCAAACCCCTAAAACCCTAAACCCTAAACCCCTGAACCCCAAACCCCTAAAACCCTAAACCCTAAACCAGGTAGTCCCCTGGACCCGAAACCTGTCTCTTCCTTCGCTATTGCTTCCTTCTCCTTGCATCTTGCACCTAAGGAGACGGAGGACCGCTTCCTTTTTGTGGGAGTTTCCGAAAATTAGGGTATTTTATTCTGGGGTCCTTACAGTAAGGATCCTACTATTTAGGCTACTATATTAGGGTCCCCTATTTTCGGAAACCCGCCCATGTTCTACCATAAGCCATAAGGGGTGCAGGGTAGGCTTAGTCTCTGAAGCTGCGAACTATTAAGCCCAACGCCTCTGGATGACGAACCCGTACTGTTTGGCGTCGCATTTAGGGCTTGGGGTTCGAGGTCTAGGTTTGAGGATTTCAGGGTTTAGGTTGCAGGTTTCGGGTTTGGGTTTGAGGCAAAAAGTTTTTCTGTTCGGGGTTTAAGGCTCGGGGTTGCGGTGGATCTGGCTTTAGGATGCCAAAACTAATCAGTCTCAATTCGGCCAGGTAGGCTCAAAGCCGGGACCCAAGACTCGTTTCTTGATGAAGCGAGCAGCCTCGAAACTGACTGACAGCATGCCTAGGCCTAGAGCTGACTGGGCAGGAGCTACTGTAAATGTCAAGTCAGTATTGCAACCATCTGGCCAGCGCCGAGAACAAGGCCGTCGGCTGGACTGCGCATTGGAGTCCCGGCAAACGGGATGAAATACGCAAGCATCCGGAACGCGTCGAGAAGATAGTGACGATCTGCAAGGTGCGATTGGTTCTGCGGTGCTCTTTCGCGTGTCAGCTTCACAAGTTCGACCCAGCCGATTTCGTTCGGTGGGGACTCGCGGACCCCGTGACGACCTTCGTAAAGGGGGAAGGACACAGCGGAAGGAAAGCGCTACTATCCACGGCTCCCTACCGTCAAGATCGAGGTTTAATGGCAATATAGATAACATAGATGCCTGAGTAACAGCAGCTTGCCAAACAAAGGTTGGGTGTCTTCAATAACCAGACAGGTCAAGAGGGCGGCAATGCAGGCTCGTTTGATTTCGACTGGTGCATGGGACCCACTATGTGCAACCTTGGTGGTGATGAGCGTGTCACAGATGGTACAATTTCCCTATAGTGTCGTAGTCTTGGAGTTTGGTAAGCGGCTAGATCCTGGTTTCTCTGCCGACCTTCCGTGGAAGAAGAGCCTAAACCCCGAACCCCAAAACCTATCCCCCAAGCCCTAACCCCCAGTTCTGAAACCCGAGCCCTACTTGGAGGTGCATGAGTAGTTATAAGTGGGGTGACAATTGGGGCAACCATAATTATAACCCATATTAGGGGACTTATAACCCCACTTATAACTACCATGAACCTCCAAGTATGCCCTAAACCCTAAACCCTAACCCCTAAACCCCTTGAAAGGAGCCCTTATAGAATCCTCAAAGGAACCCTTAAAGGGAACCCTATCACATAACCCTATGAACCCTCTGCAAGTAAGCCTTAAAATCCTGAGTCCGAAGCCCTACTTGGGGGGTCGAGGGACTTAGTAACTGGTTATTTTAGGGACTTACAACTACCATAACCCCAATTAGGGTCCCTTCTAGGGTACTTATAAGTCTACTTACTACCTACTTACTAAGTCCTTGAACCCTAAACCCTGAACCCTATAGAGCCCTTTAAAGGAACCCTTAGAATCCCCTTTAAAGGAGCCCCCTACTAAGTCCCCTAAAGACCCTCCAAGTTCAGCCTGAGGGATCCTCCTGCGCCTTGTGCCCGAAATCCTAAACCCTAAAACCGTATAGATCCCTTAAAGGGAACTCCAGAAAGTTGGAATATGGTTTTGGGGTAGGATACCTTATAATTTACCATAAAGGGTTTAGGATAATCATATTCCAACTTTCCGGCTTTTACTGTAAAGGAACCCTTATAGTACCCTTTAAAAGGAACCCTTAAACCCTAAGCCCTCACGAAAAACTAGACCCTACTCCCTAAACCCTGCGTTCTAGAGTTCAATACTTGAATACTTTTTTGTTGGACCTTTTCCTTAGAGAAAGCATGATGAAATTACCGTCTCTACTGTTTTCTCCGTGGCTACTTCAAAACTTCAGAAATCCCACATCCTACGCTGCACCCGAAGCCCTATGTCTTAAGCTCTCAATATGCCAGGACCTTCGGCGAGCGCTGGTCACGGCGCTGAAAGAGGACCCGGTTGCGAGCTCTTTTTTTGGAGTTTAGGCTCTCAGGGGATCGGGGTTATTGGAGTTTAGGGAAAAGCTGGTTTAGAGCTTCGGACTTGGGGTTCATGGTTTGGGGTCTAGGGTTTAAGGTTGAGGAGTCTCGGAGAAGAGGGTTTAGGGTTTGGGATCCTTTGGGCTTCAGTCAAAGGGGAAAAGGAGGGGCCCTTAATGGGGACCCCTACCCTATAATGGGCTATTTACAGGGTATATAGTAGCTATATTAAGGGTATATACCTAGGGGTCCTTATTAAGGGTCCCTCCTTTTACCCTTTTACCCTTGGATTCAGGGATCTTTTGTTGCGGAGCCTTCGTGATCCCAGTTGCTGGGATCACTTGACCCTTACCTGGAGGCTTTACACGGGGTGAATCCTCCAGCAACAGCCTGACCAAAAAAAGGGTTAGTACTGTTACCAAAATCCCTTCAGGGTTTAAGGATTAGGGCTTCAGGTCTAGTGTTCAGGGTCCATGTTTCTCCGGCAAAGTCTGCGACGAATGCGAGACCGCGAAACCTGATCTCGACGGGCCCTAGACCCACACGTCGACGTGTGATGCACGACTCCTACCCTCAAACCTAGAACCCTAGACCCTAAACCCTAAACTCTAGGATGCTGCAGACTGCCGCCCCCTGGAAAAAGGAGTTCAAAAAAAACAAACCTAAACGCTATCCTAAACTAAACCCCATCGAAGGACAAGGGCATGCAGTCAATCATCCCCTTCTCTGTGCCTCGGCAGCAGCTGTTGCAGGGCTGCTAAACCCTAAATCCTTGAAGGCCCCAAAACTCCTAAAAAGCCCTGCTTGGAGGTTCATGGGTAGTTATAAGTGGGGTTATATAATTGGGGTAACCATAATTGAAACCCATATCAGGGGAGTCATAATAACTACCCATGAGCCTCCAAGTACACCCGAAGATGAAAGCTCAAGAGACCCCAAAGCCCGAAGATGCCGAAGCCTTTCTATAGCAGCCCTGAAAACTACTATTTACAAGAATCCTCTGTACTCCGAAAGCCGAAACCTCAAAACCTCCTAAACGCACCAAAAGCCCTAGAAGGACTTAAAACGCCCCAAAGCCCCCAAAGCCGCGCGAACCCGAGCCTTACTTACTCCGAAGCCCCAAAGCCTTCCAAAGCCCCCAAAAGCCCCCTAAACCCTGAACCCAATCCCGAACCCTGCAAATCCCTTGAACCCTAAACTCTCCCCTCACGCCCACCACCCTCAAAAAAAGTATTGGCGGGACACACGTGATCGCAGCTCCTCGTTTTTGAAAGAGCGATTTTTCTTGGACGGAATCCTCACATCAACTCCCATTGAAATTGCATATTGTTAAAATGTTCTAACGTAGCAGACCTTTGAGCATCTCCCAATCCAATAATAGTATTTAAAGGCATTGTAAAAGCATATGGGTAGCTGTCAAAATTATGGTCCCTTTTTGGGCCCCCTAAATATTAGGTGCCGTATAATAAGGACCCAAAAAAGGGGACCCTGATATTGACAGCCACCCATACAGCAACCCAAAAGCCGGCCTTTTTGAGGTCTTCGAACTGAGCCCGGGCAGTCGGCTCATCGCCGTGAACGACAGCTGGCCGGTTCTCAAGGAACCTGGGCCGAGCTTAGGGCTCTCAGGGTTTAGGGGTTGAGGGGCTTAGGGGCTTTAGGGGCTCTTAGGGGCTCAAGGAACCTCGGCGTAGGGGCTCTTAGGGGTTTGGGGTTGAGAGGTTGAGGGTTGCAGGTTTAGCTTCCGATCAGGGGTTTGGGGTTTAGGATTTGGGGTTGAGTGTTTTGGGGGTTAGGGTTTAGGGTTGAGGGTGTTAGGGATTTTTGAAGCTTAAGGTTCCGACTATGCGGGTTCTAAGGGGTGGTCTTAGGGTTACTAAACCCTAAGCCCTAGGGTTCTATTAGGGGTAGTGGTAGACTCAAACAGTCTCGGCATGCTTAACACAGAATCCTAAAGAATGACCACTATTATTCCTTAGGCTTGCTCGTTCCGTTATGGGGGTTCTATGATAGATGACAGCGGGCTTCAGGGCTTGGTGTTTTCGGCTTTGGTGTTTTGGGAGTGGAGGGCCTTGCCTGCTGGTTATGAGATAGACTTCGGGTTCAGGGCACCTGGGAGTTCATGGGTCTTTCAGGTGTGCTATCTTCTCACCTAAACTCCTCAACCCTCAACCCTAAACCCCTAAACTCCTAAACCCCTAAACTCCCAAAAACCCCTAAACCCTAAACCCTCATACGCAGGACGAGATGATCGAGGAGCTGAGCAACGCAGCACTGCCGGCGCTGCTGGTTTTCCAGCGTGCCGGCACGTCCTTCCACGAGGCTGGGAGCTTCGACCACCTCGATCCTCAGCGCCCTACAGTTTGGTGTTTCGGGGTTTAGGGTTCTAGGGTTTCAGGGGCTTTGGCATGGTGTAGGCAGGGTCTCGGCTTTAAAATCTAGTCTTCCGGGTTCGGGTTTGTTGGTGTTTCCGCTGTTAAGAATGTTGGATTCACAAGGTTTGTTTGGTGTGTTGGCCAAGAAACAGCTGCACATATTTTCAGAGCTGGGACAGATTCATGTGCACGTCCCTAAACCCTTAACCCAATATCTCAATTTCACCCGTGTGTTGCTGTGTGTTGATCTGCGCTTCTGTCTCTGGCACACTGCGTCACAAGAGTGCACTTTACGACCCCTCGGACAAAAGTTTTTTCGGTCAGATCCACACAGCAATTTCATCGGTTGGTCAAGTCCTCAGCCGAAAACGCCAGACCCCAAACCCTAAACTTTAAACTAACCCCCACATCGCAGCGCCCAAAAACGGAAAGCGGACTGCTTCGCAGGTGGAAGTCGAGCTTCAGCCGCCTGCCAGAGTGAAGTCCATGTCCTTCATGACTGGGAAGGACGCAATCTGGTGTGTCCAGGATTCAGGCGACGTACTAATCGCAGATGTCGTCGTCGTGCCGGTGGTGATAGTCGTAGTAGTAGTAGTAGTAGTAGTAGTAGTAGTAGTAGTAGTAGTAGTAGTAGTAGTAGTAGTAGTAGTAGTAGTAGTAGTAGTAGTAGTAGTAGTAGTAGTAGTAGTAGTAGTAGTAGTAGTAGTAGTAGTAGTAGTAGTAGTAGTAGTAGTAGTAGTAGTAGTAGTAGTAGTAGTAGTAGTAGTAGTAGTAGTAGTAGTAGTAGTAGTAGTAGTAGTAGTAGTAGTAGTAGTATTGGCTGTAAAGTCAACTTTTCAACTTTTGGGGTTCTTCTAAGGTAGTCGATTCTGAAAGTTTAGTAATCGTAGAAGTAGTAGTCGTCGTCGTGGCGGTGATGGTGGTGGTGTAGTCGCAGTCGCAGTAGCAGTAGCAATATCAGTAGTAGTAGTAGTAGTAGTAGTAGTAGTAGTAGTAGTAGTAGTAGTAGTAGTAGTAGTAGTAGTAGTAGTAGTAGTAGAAGTAGTAGTAGTAGTAGTAGCAGCAGCAGAAGTAGTAGTTCTGGTACCCTCAACTCTATACCCGGTTCAGGGTTTACTAGCGAATGAGAGAAACCCTAAACTTCTCAGTTTTAATGTAGAAAACAACCCTATCAAACCCATCAGAAATCCTAATGCCTGTAGAAGCCTTTGAGATGTGAGGAGTCGGAATAAAGAGGTCTGAAGACAGTTAGGTACGGGGGTATTGAGTACTGGCTCCGATATCGAACACTATAAAACACTAACGTAGCTATTGAAGCATCGGCATCTACTCCAACAACACTTCTGTTTAGTCCTCGCCAGCAATCGACCCCGATAGTACAACCTTAAACCTAAGCCCTAAACCCCTACATGTCGACTTTCTGACTTGGGAGGACGTCCCCGGGCTCGACCCAGTCTGCTGGAAGGCCTGGCATGGCGGCATAGCCCCTGGCATGTGGGGGTTCCTTCCTTGGGTATCTTTATGCCGAGCAATAGAGTCACCACTTTCTTGGCAGACAGCTGAATAGACTCATCTTTTGACTCTAGCATCCCCCCTAAACCCCAAATGTGTCAGCCAAAGGGGCGTCCCCTCCAGCAGGGATTATCGGTTTTGGTGTTCATCTTCAGCAAATCTGGACCATAGACCCCAAGCCCCCAACCCCGATACCTAAAACCTGAACCATAAATCCTGAACTAAGCCCACAGGTGGAGGGTTTCGTGGCGGACAAGAAAGGAGGAGGTCGCTGGAAGCAGCTGGTCTGGCAAGACAAGCCATATGCCCCGCCCTTCAAGCGAGAGCAGCCCGGCAGAAATGGGGTTTCGGGTTTAGGGTTTAAGGTTTGGGGTTTAAGGCTTGGGGTTAAGGGTTTAGGTTTTGGGGTTTAGGGTTTATGGATTTGGGGGTTTGGGGTTTAGGGTTTGGGGTTTTAGGTGTAAGGTTTGGGGTTTAAGGTTTGGGGTTTAGGGTTTAGGGTTCGGGGTTGGGAGCTATTTCCAAACACGGTCTCTTTAGGGTTTGGGGTTTAGGGTCATGCAGGGGAGTCTGAACACCGGAGCAGGGGGTGTGGGATCAGTGTAGAAGCCGACGTATCGATGCTGTACTTAGAGGATCATGGGACGTAGTAACTAGGGCTATAGTTAGGGTAACTATATACTTATGTCCCCAACTAAGGTACTTATATCCTTACCTACTAAGTCCCATGATCCTCCATTATAGAACCCTTATAGATCCTTTAAGGATCCCTTTAAGGATCCCTTTAAGGAGCCCTATAGGTACCCTTAAAGGAGCTACTAAGTCCCAGTATCGACTTTTGGCCCCTTGTCCAAGGTGTGGACAAAATGCTGAACTGCACACCCCCAAACCCTGAACCCCAGAACCCTCCTACCTAAAACCTCAACCTTATACTTGGAGGTTCATGGGTGGCTATGAGTATGGTAACCATAGTTATAATCTGCATTGTAACTGCTCATGAATCTCCAAGCAGTCCCAAGACCTTCTCGCCCCAGGACTGACCTGTGCGTCGTCTTCGACGTGGAGCATTGGCGCGTCGACAAGTCGGGTGGCCGGACTTCCAAGGCTGGGTGGTAGGCTTGAGGATTTAGAGTTTAGGGTTTGGGGTGGTGGCTGGGTTCCGAGTGTCCTTTTAGGGTACAGGGCTCAGGACTCTTCTGAGGGTTACTGTATGTTTAAGGGTTCAGAGCTTCGGAGGTTAGTCCGGGGGTGTCAACCTAGATGAAAGATTCAGGAGTTTGGGCTAGGGTTTAGGGCTTTGGGGCGGAGCTCGGCAACCCTAAACCCTAAACCCCTACACCCTAAACCCTAAACCCCTAAACCCCTAAACCCTAAACCCTAAACCCCTAAACCCGAAAACCCCTAAACCTGATGAAAGTGGCAGCTCACAGGTCGATCCTCTGTCGGTGCAGCATGTATAGATGTTGTGTTGCGGGCTCAGGGCGGCTGCGAAGAAGAACCCTTGGGCCATGTGTCATGACGCATCTGGTGGCAACAGCATGCACCTTTGTACAATACCGCATGCAGACACTAGGCAAAGCTTTTGTCATGAGCATCAGCAGCAGTTCGTTCGCGTGAAAAGTTGTGCATCAGAGTGCGCCTTCATTGCACTGCACATGGTCGCTTTGCTGGCATAAGACATTCTGATTGGTTCTTTCCAGCGGCGGTGGGCCGCATTATTAAAACCCCTAAACCCTAAACCCCTTTGTTTTACCGATGGTCCGTTGTAGGGATCCTTGCGTGCATCTCGCCCGGATGGTCTGAACTGAACCCTAAACCCTAAACCCTGAACCCTAAACGCGTAACTGTTGGGGTCATTCGTCCAGCTTTGAAGTCCAGACTGAGAGGATTCCTCCTTGGAGTTTCATGGGTAGTTTAGTTGTAGGGTTTAAGGCTCCCTTGAGGGATCGGTAGGGTTTAGGGTTTAGGGCTCCGTTAAGGGTTATATAGGGTTTAGGGTTTAGGGGTTTTCAAGGGTTCTATAGGGTTAAAGGTTTTGGGGTCTTTTAAGGATTCTATAGGGTTTAGGGTTTTGGGGTCTTTTAAGGGTTCTATAGGGTTCAGGGTTTAGGGGTCTTTTAAGGGTTCTACAGGCTTCAGGGTTTAGGGTTTTTTTAAGACTTCTATAGGGTTTAGGGATTAGGGTTTTAGGGTAGATGTAAGTGGGGCTATACCTAGGGTAACCATGCTACAACCCATATTAGGGGACTCATGAAGTACCCATGAACTTCCAAGGTGGAATAACAGTACGACATAGCTCAAAGGGGGCGTCTGCACGTACTTACGGATCTTGTTCCCAAGGTTCCGTTAGTCTTGGAAGCTCCCCGATGGCGAAAAGGAGAACTAATATAGGGGCCTCAATAATTACCTGTGCTATTTTGGGGTTCCTTATTACAATTATATTATAATGAGCCCCAAAACCCTACTAAATCACTTAATCACGACGGCGTTGAACGGTTGAGGCTTCGGAGTCCGTAGCTCACACTTGCGACATTCCACAACAGTGAGCTGTGGAGGTGGCGAGCCTCACGCTCCAGTCTTTCCTTCCGGTGGTGCAGGAGTTGCTTGGCTGAACCCCAAACCCCCGAAACTGAAGCCCTGGGTCAATGAAAACCCTTAATATGAATCTTGGTTACAGAGCAGCAATATTTTTTTTGGTCCTTGGTATACGTATACTCTACCCAACTATCCCCAAACACTATTCTAAAGGCCCCCCCCCTCAACATCACCGCGGCGAAGCGCCGGCCCTTATGAGTTTCGAAGCTGTTCATTGAAGAGTTCTCGAAACCTTCAACCGTGTAGCTCAAGTTTTTGAGCTAAGCCCTAAACCCCGAACCCTGAACCCTAAACCCCTAAACCCTAAACCTAAACCCCGAACCCTTAACGCTAAGCCCCTAAACCCCTAAAGCCCGAAACCGAATCCAAGGCGCTTGAGCTTCTTCACGGCATCCCTTCGAAGCCTCCTCCGCTCCTCAGAGAAGTACGGCGGGAAGCTCAGTTGTGTAGATTAGAGGCTTAAAAGGACATAAGCATAAGCTTTTTAGAAGGACATCCCTACCTTATCGGGCTTCATTAAGGGGGTTTATATGGGATATCCCAATCCGTATTTTTGCTTATGTGCTTTTTGGGGGCCCTTGTAGATAGTCCAGATGTTTTGGGTGTTGAGCTCGTTCTAGGTATCGATTTGGGATAGCTTTTAGTTTCCTTCATGGGGACTGTTGAAATCGACACCGAATCGACACCTAGCCTAGAACCATAGGAATCTTCAGGATGGGTGTCATGGATGCACGGATGAAGGGGCTATTGGCTCGATGGTTTTAGGTTCAGGGCTGATAGGGTCAAGGGCTGCTGACTCTTGTCATAGCTCATTATGTCTTGCAACTTAAAACGTTGATCCCTTGACCTTGACCCAAAACCCCAAACCCTAAATCCTAAACCCTAAACCTCGAACCTTGAGTCCTAGATTCCTAGACCCTAGTCCCAACACCCAAAAAACCCCCCAAAGCTGCTCCGATCCGTGCCGAACTCAGGCATTCGGGCCGGCATCGACACGCTGCTGGACAGCCACATCGGCAACATTCCCTCCTTGACGCAGGCCTGGAAGGTTTCAGGATGGGGTGGAAATCGCAGCAACGAAGACAATTACTGAGAGAACAGCAGGAAGTACGGAACAGAGTCGTGATGTACCGGCACGAAGGGCTTGAGTGTGGACTTCAGCTCTTGAATACGAGGACCTGGATGAGAAACCACGCACAACGGAATGAAACCCAACGACATCAAACTCTGAACTCCCCTTGTTTCACCTAGAACCATCAGGCACTGATCTGTCCAAACCCCATTTAAACCCTACCTCAGCCTAAAGCGTCACACCACGGAGCAAAGATCCAATTCTTGGGTTTAGGGCCAAATTCTTGAACCCCAAAGCCTAACCCCGCTGTGCGGGTTTAGACTTGTGCGTATCAGGTCATCCCTTGCTACAACGAGACGGTGATCCTTAGTAAGCAGTACCTGCAAGAGGCTGCTTGCCTGAAGCCGTGGCTGTGGCACTCAAAGTCGAGCTATCTTAGGGGTGATACGTTGTGCAGAACTGCGCAACACCTAGGGTTTTGGGCTCAGGAAGGCTCGTATACTGCCGGTACACTTCTTTTACATTCATAGCAACGCTAAACTGCCTAAACCCTAAACCCCTTTAAACCATTCCTTGTCCGCAAACCCTAATCCCTAAACCCCAAACCCTAAACCCTAGATTCTAATCCTTAAATTTGGGCCGCAAGAGACCGGTGTGCTAACCAGAAGCCCCGAAGCCTTCCAGCCCAAGCCGGAGGCGCCACCACTTGAAGGATCATGGGACTTAGTAACTAGGGTTCCTTAAAGGGCTCCTTTAAAGGGGATCTATAGGGGTTCCATTATAAGATGGGTTTTAGGGTCTACTTAGAGGTTCATGGGACTTAGGGTATAATTAGGGTAACTATACATATAACCCCAATTAGGGTATTTTATAACCTTACTTACTAAGTGCCATGATCCTAAAAGCATGACCTAACAGCAGATCTAGGCAGATCTACCGGTTTAGGGTTTTGGGCTTAGGGTTGAGGGCTCAGGGGTGTAACTGCTAACTTCGAAAATACTAGGATGCTCACGGGTCGTTATATAAGTGAGGTCAACGCATAATAGGGACTTACAACGCCACATTATAACTATTCATGAACTGCGGTTGATGATATAAATCCTGCATCACCCAAAGTAAGGAATATACCATAATTCCCATAGTTTAGGGTCCTTAAGGTCATGCAGGATTTATATCATCAACCGTGTCAGTACACATGATACCCGGCCGAATGGTAGCTGTTCGTGCCCTCGGGCTTGCCAGATTCCTTCCCTCGTCTCCGGGTGCGGAGCATCCCGAACCCAGAGAGCCAAATACTCCCTAGTTAGGGAAGGTACCTGAAAGCATGTTATCAGGCCCCATATAATTCAATGAATATTCCTTAAAGCGTATTATGAGGCCCTCAATAATTCAAGGAATATTCCTTAGTTAAGGAGTATTGGGCCGAACCCGAAGCCCCCGCTTACAAAAGCCCCCAAAAGGACGAAACCCCTAAACCCGAAGCCCGAAACCCTAAACCCCAAAGCCCGAAGCCCCAAAGCCCGAAGCCCTAAACCCGAAGCCCAAAACCCGACGCCCTTTTTTAAAGCCCCCCGAGGACGATGGCTTGAACAGCAACCTGGCCTTCATCATCTCACAGTTCCCGGAGGAGCCGGGCCGCCCAGCGTCCCTTTTTAGGGCCCTTAGGGGCCCTTTAGGGGTTAGGGTTTTAGGGATTGGGGCTTAGGCTTTAGAGTTTAGGGGTTTAGGGTTTAGGGAGGGGTGGGTGGGATCTGTTTTTTGCTGGATGGAGGTTTTACTGGATGGGGTTCTAGTAGGCCTTTACGAGGCGGTCTTGTGTTAGGGTTCCGGTCAGACAGAGCATCCATTGTAATCCAGTCCTGCTTGCAGCAACAGAAAGCTCATACGTGGAAGCCCTTGTTAGCCTTCTGAACCTTCTCAACAACCAGGTGGGCATTCTTCTGCGAGCGGCATGACTTCACACCCAAGGCATGCGGGGGTAAGATGGGCGCAGGTGTCTTTGGGGCGTTCAAGCGTAGCGGGACTCCCCTCTACACCAAAGCGGATTGGGACATCTGGGTCTCAAGCGACTCCAAAACAACAACTGGGTTGTATCGTTTTGCGGTTAAGCTTAGATCCCCAATACCCAACCTTTAAACTTTTTGGGCTCTTATAGTTTAATAGGAATCCGAAAGTTGAACCTTTTATTCCCCTGGCTTATTGCGAGAGTAAGTAAGTGCTTGGGGGCTTCGAGTCGGCTCTGTCTCGAATTCCAAGGTTTCGACCACCAGCCAGCTTTCAGGTGATGCCTCCACACACCGACGCACCGTAGTTAACTATGCCGTTTGGGTTTGGGGTTTAGGGTATCCTGAAAACCTAAAGTCGCTATCACTGAACCCTAAATCACAACCCCCCAAGCCGTGAACTCTCAACCCCCTAAACCCTGAACTACCTCCGAAGCACCGTATGAGCTTGTCGGACCTTGCATCACCACTTTGCAAACTTTGGCAAAGGCCTCGCACCCAGTTTTCAGCGGCTGTAGGGTTTTAGGGATTCGGGTTTAGGGCTTAGGGTTTTGCAGGAGGAGGGAGGATGCCAATTCGCTGGACTTCTTTGCGGGTTAGTTCTGACTCCTTGGACTCCGGGGTGTTTCTGTAGCATGTTCAACCTAAAAGCCTACCGGCCCCGGTGGCAGGGCATGCACAATGCCTTCATGGGCCGCGGCGACCACATGCTTACGCCAGCGGTTATCATGGAGGCTGCTAACCCTGTGCTTTGGTGTTCTTGGAGGATCAATCAGTATATTCATTGGGGTCACAAGTAGTTGCAACGATGGCTTCCTCGCCTAACTGTAGCTCAGAGCCCAATCTTCCAATCTCCAATTAAGAAGAGTCATAGGGACCCCTGTGGGGGTAGGGGGAAGGGGGGTATGGGATTATACTTCCGGCCTTATTAAGTCCTTATTGTGGGCATCAAGGCTCTCTACCCCCCACCCCCCTCTCCCTCTACCCCCAGGGTGCCTATGATAGAGCTCAGGGCTTGGGCCGGAATTTTGAGACTGCGACTTCTCAATACTTCGGTCAACGCTGGTGAAAATTCGGTCCCACATCCTAGCTTAATCATAAGGACCCCTAAGGGGGTTTGGGAGGGGGGTGTAGGGGGCCTTCAAGGACCTGATGAAGCCCATTGAAGGAAGTATAGTTCCCTAATTACCCCGTCCCCCCTACGCCCCTTTAGGGTCCCTATGACTTAAGCAGCCACCCCTAAAGCATTATACTCTAAAGCCTTAAACCCGAAAACCCTAAAGCCAAAGCAAAAAAAGCACTTGAAGCCTAAAACCCCAAACCACAAAGCCCGGTGTTCAAAGCCCAATGGGGAACCTCCTGGGAGGTGCGAATGTGGGCCTCGATGCGCTCGCAGACAGTTGCCAGGCCAAGCCGGATGGTTCTTGGAAGTCGGAAAATTCCTGGGTTTTGGGGGTGCCAAGCTTTGCTGCTGTTTTGGGTACCTGTTCCTTCAAGGAACCATTATTAAATGAACGTTTAGATTTCAATCCTTGGTTATTTCAAAGACCAGAATTAGGTTTAGAACGATTAATTCGCATCAATATTCCCTGATACTAGTAACTGGTAGTCCGCTTTTAAGGTTTAGGGTTCCTGGTTTAGGGTTTAGCGTGAGTGAGGGCTCAGCTCAAGTCAGCGATGATGTTGGCATTAAAGGCAAGGCTAGCTGGGCTTAGTAGCTTGTTCTGGGTAGTATGAGCCAGTATGTTTCTACTATGAGCCAGTCATAAGGTCAACAAAGAGGATGTAGGTTGATCTTCAGGCCGAGCTGTGGAAACCCATGCAGCAGATCGGCATTTGGGGAATAGCGGGCCGTCACATCTGATACCCTATACACTCAACAGCCTGGGCAAGCTAAAACCCCTAGGCCCTAAAGCCCTAAAGCCCTGAACCCTAAATGCTGCAAGCTACTGCAGTTCCGAAGCTGCAAAACCACGGCCAGGACTGTCGTTGGCGCGATGCAGTACCAGGAGGTCGGATCATATCCTGAACCTAGGAATGAATAGCTGAGTTCATCAGTCGCACCCTAAACCATGCACTAGACAACACGGCCTTGAACCCTATTCCTCACACCCTAAACCCGAAACCTTCAAATCGGAAAAGAATTATAGAAGCCTAGGAGAAGCCTACCTCTAAACCCTTCCAGAACCCGTATGGCGTCCTTGTAGAACCCTTGTGCAACCTTTCTTAAACCCCTGTCGAGCACTTATAGGCATCTCGCTAAAGCCAGGGCGAGAGCAGGTTGAGGGTTTAGGTTTCAGGGAAAACAAGGACCGAATTGATGACCTGTTCCTTTTCTCTGCTCCTTTCATGGGTTCCTCTAAGGGGTCTGTGCGAGTTTTAGGACGCATAGTGGCCTAGATAATTGCAAGTACCATGCTTCAGGGTGCCTTCGTACGCGAAACTAAAATATCTGGCAATATTCTATTCAAGCGGTTTAGGCCTCTGCTTGCTTCACTGGAGGGACGTGATATATAAAGGTCTCAGAAAGCAACATGTTGAAGTATTCTTTCCATCGGCTATGCAATAAACTTTCCATATTCCCGAACATCCTGCTCGAGTCATGCGGCCATTGTCGATTCTACATGCCCATGTTGGGAGCACATGAAAGCTTCCGCTTGGGGGATGGGAGAGATGAAATACTGTTGATGATATAAATCGTGCACTACCCATAATTAGGAATACACCATTTTTCCCATAGTTTAGGGTCCTTAAGGTAATGCAGGATTTATATCATCAACCGTATCAACAGGATACTGACCTTCGTTACTCCATGTGGCGCTTCCATTACAAATTGGGGGGTTAATTGAAGTGTCTATGTCGACCCGATGGCTTAACCCCTAAACCCTAAACCGAGTCCTGCAGTTGGAAAAAGGAGCCCCCAACAAAAAAACCCTAAACCGAGACGCCAGCGCCTGGGCCGCAGGTGGTTGCAATGCTGCCGAGCGTGCAGTCAGCCGAGAATCCGGGAAAGGCAACGCTGTATGGGAGTTTCTGAAGATTAGGGGTTCCTTTAAAGAGATCTAAGGGTTCCTTAAATGGATCTAGAAGGGTTCTATAAAGGGTTCAGGGTTGAGAGTCCGTCTCCTAAACTGAAGGACCTATAGGGTTCAGGGTTTAGGGTTCGGGGCTTATAGGGTTTTTGGGGCTTTTAGGGTTTAGAGTCCGTCTCCTAAACTAACCCTGAACTGTGATTCTAGTTCAAAAGCTCATGGAGATGTGCACACTGCTGTTAAGATCTTCTCTGAGTTCTTGTTTCTTGCCTTATGTTCGTGTTAGTGCAATGTGTTCTAGGTTGCTGAGTAGGACCCTTTTGCCCTTTTTGTCTTAGGGTCCCCTGATTTAAACCGAATGGTAGGAACAAGGGTACCCTTATTATAAAGGGGCCACTCAGGAACTTTGACCCGAGAAGCTGGCTCGAGCCTACACGTAAACCAAAGAATTGTGATTTAGGCGTATGGGAGTTTCCGAAAATTAGATACCTTTAGAGGGATCCTTTAGGGGTTCCTTAAAGGGATCTATAAGGATTCTATAAAGGGTTTAGGGTTTGGGAGTTTCCGAAAATTAGCTAGGGATAACTTTAAAGGGATCCTGTAGGGGTTCCTTAAAGCGATCATAAGGATTCTACAAAGGGTTTAGTGTTTGGGAGTTTCCGAAAATTAGGGGTACCTAATTTTGGGGTCTATACAAAAAAGATCCTACTATTTATATGAGGGTCCCCTACTATTTTCGGAAACTCCCATATCACAAGCATCGAACAACAATCGAGCGAATCAACTGCAAACGTAGGTATACCATGCACGGACAGATCAGCGTAGAGATGTACATGTATGTACTGTGAGAGGGAGGGTTAAGTGCATGGATCAGCTGAGCGGCCTGTCTATTGATTGCTTGCCTGCTTGCCTTTTTGCCTCCTTGCTTGCCTGCCTGCCTGGCCGACTTGCTGACTAATGTAGAAGCCTTAGTAAGAAACACTGGTCCTATACCAAAATATTAAGATCCACATAAAAAGCCCAAATAAAGAGCCAAGGTTTCTTAATAACCAAACTAGGATCCATGGAAAGAGCCAAAACAAGGACATTAGGTTTTCTGAATCAGGTTCCTACACTACTTACCCTTGGTTAGTAGGGAATGGAGGAATGGGGTACAACTATAACTACTATTACTACCATTCTTCCATTCCCTACTAACCCAAGGTAAGTTTAGGGCTTAGGGGTTAGGGGTTTAATATAGGGACCTTAGTAATTAGAATAGGGTTTCGGGGCCCATTATACTATAATTATAATAAAAGGCTCAAGGTGTACAGGCTGCGGCTTCTCGACGTGGGCATCCTGGGCTTGGGACACAGGGCGTGCGCAGGCGTTATCGACGGTGCGGCGGACCGGGGGGGGGGGGTTTAGGGTTTAGGATTTAGGGTTTCGGGTTTAGGGTTTAGGGTTTAGGAATTAGGGTGAGGTTTGGCTAGTCTAGTGGCCATCCATGCCATGTTTCTCTAAAGGTATAGGTTGCCAGAAGCATGAGAATCCACTTGTGGTGTTTGCTGCCCATGAGCCTCCAGGAACACCCTGGTTAAAGCTTGTTGCTACCGAAGGCAGTCCATAGTTGTGAGCTGCCGTGGGCATCCCCAGAAGACTGAATGCAACTTGGATGACAAGTTCAACCCTACAGAATCCTGACCAAATGTTGAGCAAATGTGTGGAAGCCTGTCAACGTCCCGCCGGCTACGCCGCCAAAGCGCACCAAACGTGAGCTGCTGCAGAGTCTGGCAAAGGAGGTGAATCCGCAAAGTCAGCTGGCAAAGGTCTGCGAAGCGGATGCATATTTGGATGGGTATTTGCTGCTATCAGAAGTGACCGACAAGCTGTCCGCCGACGTCAAAGAAGGACTCACAATGCCGCCAATGACCTTCAAAAAACACACGGACGTTCTCCCAAGACCTACGGACAACCTAAAACGTGACACACCCTGAAGCCCTCAGGCCTTCAACCCCCCCCGAAAGCACGAAATCTAAACATAGTTTCGCTGGGTCCAAAACCCGAAACCTTCAACTGCCAGGCCCACCGAATTGAGCCTGCGCACGCACGGTCTTCCACCCGCCAAACAACCTCAAGTTAACCTTAAACCCTAAACCCCCAAACCATAACACCCCGAAGCTTAAACCCCTAAACCCCTAAACGGCCATGAACCCCTAAACTCTCTAAACCACCCTTGAAACTTCTAAAGCCCAAAGCTCAGATCTCGATTCAAAAGTCGAAGGCTCTCGAAAGTTGCGTTGAGCTGGTCCTGGCGCATCAGACGTATGGAAGCAAGGCCTCCATGAGGGTACTGTCAGGGTACTGAAAAGGCAGCATAAGGGTACGATAACCGGGTTCCGTACCGTACTTGAATTCTGTTTTTGGACCTGTTCCTTGAAGGAACCTTTCTGAAACAAACCATCTGTCCTTTTTCTCCCTGGTCACTTCAAAGTCCGGGAATTGTTTTATTTTACCTCCTAAACCCTGAACCTAGACTTTAGTCCTCCTGCTCTGCAGTATTTGGCGTAAGAAAGACACCGGAGTAATTTCCAACATAGTTCCTTACGGCTCCCATATTCAGCTTTGCTTTTGACTACCGCGGAGCCCTATTCTGTTTCTTAGGACTCCATTATATAGGTGTTGGGCTGTGGGTTTAGAACCCTAAACTCTTAACCTTAAACCCCAAACCCTAAACCCTAAACTCTAAATCTTAAACCCCAAACCCTAAACCCTAAACCTTGAAGAGACTACGGTGTTCGGGGTCTCACGACCCGAGAGTTGCAGTAGATGTAATATAGGGGCCTCAATAATTAGAACTGAGTTCCATTAGGGATCTATATTAGGGTTCTGTAACGTAGGGGCCTTAATAATTAGAATAGGGTTTCGGGGATATGCTATGCACCTAAAGCCCAAACCTGAAGCCCTAAGCCAAGGCCCCGAAGCCCTAAGCCCAAGACCCCAAGGTTAAATTGTATGTATGATGGCTTCTCGAACTTGTTTTGAGACTGCCGTGCTCTACTGGGAACCCGGAAAAGGATTCTAAACCTCGCACCCAGCAGCCCTAAGTATCCTGAACCCAGAGCTCGAGAGTACAGGTTCAGCCCGGTCTGGCTACTTCGGAACAGGGAGCTTGGCAAGTGATTAATGTTGTATCTATGCTATTTGCCGGTGATATGGCAGTTATAAACTAGAGATGCGTTTGCTTCAAACCGGCAAAGCCCTAGCTGCTGAATCCCTGATCCCATAAGCACCCTCAGCCCTAAACCCGAAATCCAACCCCCAAGCCCTGAACCCCCCACTACACTCGAAACCCCAAACTCGTTACCCCCAAAAACCCGAAACCTGTGAACTCTAAACCTTAAGCTTCAAACCCCAAAGCCTTAAAGCCCTATTATCAACCCAAAGCCCGAAACCCTTGAACCCTAAACCTAAACCCCTGAACCCTCCCTAGATAAACTCCAAAAGCCCTAATCTTTAAACCCGCAAGCCCTACGCCCACAACGCCCTGAGAGAACGTAGGCTGGAACCCCGGCGAACGACGAGTCGGTACGGCCACCGGGCCGCTAAAGAGGCCTTTTGAGGCTCTCGTAAGAGCCAGGCTTTAGGGTTGTTCCTTTAAGGGTTCCCTCAAGGGAATCCTTGATGGGCTTCATCAATTCGTTGCAGGAGTTGCTTATAAGGGCTTCCTTTAGGGATCCTTCTATTGCTCCAGTAATTCCTGTAAGGGCTTCCTTGGAGGGTTCCCTTCAGGGATCCTTTCAGGAGTCCTTTGGAAGGAGGGCGGCCAGAGGTGGCCCAGGGTTCGGTTCTACGATTTTTGAGTTTGGGGGGTTGGGGTTTTAGGGTGTCTGTAGGAGGTACTATACGGGTTCCTTTAAAGGAGCTATATGGTTTTAGGGGCTTAGGGATTTTAGGTGCTGTGGTTTAGGGTTTGAGGGGCTAGGGGTGTAGGGGTTTAGGGTTTAGGGGTTTGAAAGTTGGCGGTTTTGGTGATGTAGGGTTCAGGGGCTAAACAGGGTTTGCTGTCTTGTACGGCCTCCTTTAAAAGTGCCTTGGAGGGTTCCTACAAGGGTTCTTCTAAGAGTTTCTCGTTCCTGACATGCATTGGCATACCGAAGCTGAAACCATAAAGAACCTCAAACTACTATGGGGGGCAATTCACGCTAAACCCATACACCCGAAGAGCTGGAAACCTCAAATCCTGAAATCAGGAAGAGGAGGGCGACTACGTTTGGAGTTGTGGGGTATACGCGTGTTCAACAGAGACCTGAAACTTCAGAGAAAGTCCTAGCATCCGGGTTTCGGGGGGTCTGGAGCCCCAGGCTTTTAAGGCCAGGCCCATAAGCTTCATGTCGGTGGTTAGGGTTCCTTTTAAGGGATCCTTTAAGGGTTCCTATAAGGGATCTATAGGGTTTAGGGTTTAGGGAGCTTTGTCATATGGGTGGTTATCAAAATTATGGTCCCTTTTTGGGTCCTCAATATATACGGCACCTATTATTTAGGGTACCCAAAAAGAGACCCTAACTTTGGCAATCCCCCATGTAGAAGAAGCTTGAAGCGTTTTAAATTAGTATAGGAAATAGGTAGAATCATGTCTGCACTAGTACCAACCATGCAACTTTTCGGGTTCGGGGTTCCTAAGTGAAAGTAACCAGCCAGACAAGCTAAGTGAAAGTAACCAGCAAGACAAACTGACCCTTCTCATGATTCCCCTCCAGGTCAGAGCCTTAAAGCCCGCACAACAAAAGGTATTTGCTTGCCAAGTACCGGCACCTCTGCTTCTTCCTGGTCTTTGACTTCGATGCCGAGCCCCAGCAGCATCAATCTTCGAGATTAGGGTTTTATGTGCTCGTTAAGTTAACGGCCCTAAGAATTGTAATGGCAACAGCAACAGCCACAGTGATTCAGTGGTGGTGCTCTTCTTAAACACAGTTGTCATCAGTACCGGAGGAGCCGCAGGAGGAGGAGGAGGAGGAGGAGGAGGAGGAGGAGGAGGAGGAGGAGGAGGAGGAGGAGGAGGAGTTGTAGTTGTAGTTGTAGTTGTAGTTGTAGTCGTAGTTGTAGTTGTAGTTGTAGTTGTAGTTGTAGTTGTAGTAGTAGTAGTTGTTGTTGTTGTTGTTGTCGTCAATTCTTGCTGCTATCGTTGCAGAAACTGCAGTAACCAGAAGTAGCAGCACTTGGACGGTCACAGAGGACAAAAAGCTCGCATGGAGTAGGACAAATTCTTTTGAAGCTTCTCACGTTTTGCAAAGCTTTGCGGGGCGTACGCCATAAAGCCCAAGGCCCACTCACACCATAAGCCCTCAAAGCAAGTCTGTCCCATTTGCAAATCTAATGCCGTAATGTAGCGGCCCAAATTATTAACAATACTATTCCTCAGGGCTCCTTACTAAAATTACACCGTGCTATACCCCAAAACCCGATTCTAGTTCATTAAGGCCCCGATAGTACTGATTGAGTTGTTGTCTTGACTTCCTGGGAGGCTTACATAGGTTGTAGGGGCTAATTGCAGGCATTGGCACATGAAGGCCGCTGTGTTGTTGCCTTCAATCATTCTGTGCGAGCTCATTGCTGAGGGTTCGTGGTGCCGTTGTGCCACTTCGTCTGGAAGCTCCTTTCGATTTCTTTCTGCACAAACGAACACTGGCGACAAAGCTCAGGACAAGTCCCGGCCGGACATCGTCACGGCCGTGAACAACTTCGTGCGAGAGAAGCTGCTTGTCAGGCTTTCGGATGTAGCATTCAGGTGTTATCTCTGGGCTGGTGCCTTCGGCTAGCATTATGATTTTGATTATTACTATTCGCATTATTATTCCTGCTATTGGCATCCTGACTCCTACGATCGTTATTCTTATTAGTACTACTTTTATCGTTGTATTATTACGAGTCTTTTTTATCATTGCTATTCTTGTTCTTCCTCTCACTGTTGTTGTTCTCATCGTATCTGAGGTATCGCTTCGATCGGCCCGTCCGGCATGCGCCGGGAGCTCAGCCGCGGCGGAATAAAGGCTATAAGGGTTTTTCAAAAGGGTACTCTAAGGGTTCCATGAAAGGGTGCTACTATAAGGGTTATCTTAAAGGGCACGATCAAAGTTCCATTAAAGTGTGCCAAAAGGTTCCTGCAAAACGTGCAAAACAGGTTCCTTTAAAGGGGACTATAAGGGTTCCCCCAAAAGGTGCACTAAAAGTTCTCCGAGGAGTACTATTTCCTTTCAAAGGGTGCTACAAGGGTTTCTTTTTAGGGGTACTATAAGGGTTCCTTGAAAGGGTGTTATACGGGTTCCTTTCAATCATGCTATAAGGTTAACGCGCTTTTTTTCGACATTACGTTGGTTGTGTTTTAATCTTTTTTACGTGGCAGCTTCACTATAAGGGTTCCGTAAACGGCTGTGTAAGGGTTTAGGGGTTTAGTGGTTCAAGTGCGTTTCTTTCATCGGGGTAGGCTTTCTGCCGGGGGGGGGGGGTGACTGCAGTATTCCCGTATCGTCTTTGCATAGTTACGCTAGAATGTGCACTTCAAGCCTATCATACTAGCTATTAAGGCCCCGATCGGAAACCCCAGACAACAACAACAAGAAAAAAAAAAATAAATAAATATATATATATATATATAGTACAGCATTGCGACCGCATGAAACTTCATAGAATAAGCTCTTTCGAACTACTAGGGATACAACCTTTAAAGATCCTTCATGGCATCCTTGAAGAACCTTAAACCCTAAATCCTCTCTGAGGTCGGTGTTGGCGCGCTTTCGGAAGGGCGCATACAAAGAGGACGGTATTTTTAGGGTTTAGGTTTTAGGGTTTAGGGGTTTCGAGTTCAGGGCCTAGGGTTTTACAAGGGTTCCTGAAGGTGTTCTTATAAGGGCCCGGCTTCTACATTGGCTCTACAGGGGCTAAGATTTATTGGATTATTGCCCGGGGACCCTGTAAAGGAACTGCTACTCAAAGTAGATAAGGGTTTCCAATATGTGGCCTTCGTCAACTCGAAGTTCGCAAAAAGCCCCTGCTTGGTCTATATCACGGTTCCTAAATATTGCAACGAAATCCTGCCTTGCATGCATCGTGGGGTTCGCGCTTTGGATAACCCTCTTCCATCTGCTAATCCCTTAATACGAAACGGGCAAGTAATATATAGACGCCGCAGTACGTAGCATTATTGTTCCTTGCGGTTCCCTAAATGCTTACAGTATAAGCTTCCCGAAACCCTACTTAAAGGATCATGGGACGTAGTAAGTAGGGTTATGATTAGGGTAACTATACTTGTAACCCCAATTAAGGCACTTACAACCTCACTTACTAAGTCCCATGATGCTCCAACTAGTGCATTACGTGTAAACCTGTTGGCACATCTGTCTTGCATCACGTCGTTGTGTTTGCAAGGCAGCAGCTCTTCGTCTGACACTCCGGAGATGCCGAGTGAAGTTCGAGAGCAACTGGCGAGGAGACGGCGCTACTGCTTGAGCACTTCTGTCTGGTGCTTAGTGGGGAATGGGGGAATGGGTTATGGTCTACTATAGGGATCCATTGTGCTTAGTAGGGAATGGAGGAATGGATCCCTGTAGTAGTCCCTATATCATCCCCAATAATAGTCCCCATAACCCATCCCCCCATTCCCTACTAAGCACCAGACAGACTTGCGGGGCGGCGGTTCTTCCTGCGCTTCTCCGGAGATGCCACGAAGTTCGACAGCAACTTGTGGAGGAGGCTGCACCTGTTTTTTGAGCACTTGCAGGGCGGTGCGTCTGTGACGAGAACTACTCGGAGACTCGGAGGCAATTATAGGTGGGGTTATAAGTCCCCTAATATGGGTTATAATTATAGTTACCCTACTTATAATCCCACTTATAACTACCCATGAACCTCTAAGTAGCGGTACAGCTTCCAGCAGCTTGCGGCACTTGCTGCGAAACGTGCCACCGGCAACGGCAGATGCCCTGTACACGACAAGCCACGCAAACCCGTGGTGCATTGCTTGGGCAAGATGCTGGGGTTCCCTTACTTGTACTTCGCCGCCCGTTGCGGTGGGAGCTTCCCCAGACTTTGAGTATACGGAATCCTCGCTCGAGGCAGGCTGCGACAAGAAAAAGGAGCCGCGCCAAAGCTTGCGTATCCGCGGCCGCATCTAAAACACCTCCGGCAAGCCTTGCACCAGATCGGAAGTGACGATCGTCTTATGAGTTTAAAGAGGTTTAGAGGAATACAACATGTTTGCTTCATGGTCCAGAGTTTAACCATGAAGGCCCTTATAGTCGTTGCTTCATGTCTTGCAGCCTGGTCAGGGTGTGAGGCTTGTGGACACCATCATAGAACCCTGCCCAACCCCTAAACTGCACAGCTGCCATCAATAAAACACCTACCCTAAACCCTAACCCCCTAACCTTTAACCCGAACCCTAAACCCGAACCCAACACCTTATGCCTTTAGCCCCAAAGCCTAAACCCTAAACCCCTAACCCTTAACCTCGACCCTCCACCCGGAGCTTAAACCTTAAGCACTAAAGCCTAAACCCTAAACCGTATAAAGCCTCTACGACGGTTGATGATATAAACCCTGCATTACCTTAATGACCCTTGAGAATTATGGTATATTCCCTTTCATGGGTAATGCAGGATTTATATCATCAACAGTATTTCATCTCTCCCATCCCCCAACCGGAAACTTTCGTGTGCTCCAAACATGTGCATATTTATATCATCAACCGGAGGACGATTTCGAAGTGCCGGAGAGTGCTGTGGAGATCCTGGAAGTGCTGCCCCGGCTCCTCGGCAGAAGATGTGGCGGCTCAGGGCCAAAATCGATGGTCTCTTGGGACTGTTCGGAGATTTCCGGATCTTTCGGGGTATGGGCATTTCCGGGAGATTTCTGGATTTAGGGATCAGGCTGTGGGATGTCTTCCTCTAAGGGTAAAAGGAGGGACCCTTAATAGGACCCCTAGGTATATACCCTTAATTTATATAGCCCATTATAGGGTAGGGGTCCCCAGTAAGGGTCCCTCCTTTTCCCCTTTGATTCCTTCTCTGAAAGCCGACTTTTCACAGCTCAACTCTCGGGCCTTAACCTAAAGCTAAAGCTGCAACTTGAAACCCAAGCCCCAAAGAACAACGCCGAGACCCGAATTGAAGCCTAAGCACATATAGTACCGCTTAGAAGCCCCAAATCTAATACTTTGTCAGCCTAGAACCCCCCGAACAGTGAGACAGAGCTGCGACGACCGTGACGACCAGGAAGACCACGACCGCGACCAGGAGACAACACGAGGAGACCTCCACAAGACCACCGAGAGACCAGGAGACCACCCAGATCCCACCAGGAGAGGGAATAACAACCCATGAGAGCCCTTTTCCCTACTTAAAGGATCATGGGACTTAGTAACTAGGGTTGTAATTAGGGTAAGGGTACTTGTACTGATAGCCTTACTTACTAAGTCCCATGATCCGCCAAGTAAAGCCTACACGATCGCCAGCTGCAGAGGTGCTTCGCACTACTCGTGGGCACGCCGGGCTTCATGACACAGGCAGTCTACTTCGTAGATGTGTTTGTACGAGTTTCGTCAGTTTGATATTTCCCCTTTAAGTCAGCGTTATAAAGCTTCTGTTACGATGTCAGGTCGAACGGTTTAGGGTGTGGGGCTTATGGTTTAATCTCAAAAGGTTTTGTAAGGGGAGAACCAGTGTCAGGAAGGGGTTGAATCGTTTTTAGGGTTCAGGGCGTTTAGGGTACAAGAGACCTCAGTCGGACATTACGGCACTCTTGCCAAGTTGTGCCGGTACAACTGTAGTGTATCACACCTGCCCTTGACCTCTTGCGACCTCGAACCCAAAAGCCAGAAGACACAACCGTAGACCTCCCAATCCAGCCCCATAACGCTAAACTTTAACCTCTGCGCGGAACAATCCTAAACTCTGTAGCTCCTGCCTCTTCTACAGATTTCCAGTAAACCCTGATGTGGAGCTTAGCCATGAAATCTGAGATTTGCTGCCGAAGATGGCATATTTCGGGTTTCCAAGACTAAGGCTACCAGTAAGTAGGACGCAGCTCAATCAGATGCCTGCAAGACTTGCCCAAGAAGCGGAGGAACAGTGGAATGCCGAAGCGCTTCTCAACACGAAAGGCCCCCCCCTATAGAATCGTGATAGATCCCCTCCCTAAGCCCTAAATCCTAAACCCTGTAAAGACAGAACCCGAAAACGCCTTCGACTGCAAGCTTCTACAGGGCAAAGCTGGCAACCAGCTTGGGGCGCTGCGCTTCTCCCGGGGTCACTTCTTGCAGATGATGGATGCATCCCGGCCCGGTGAGTCTGCTAGGAACCCTCAACCCTAAAGCTCAAACCCGGGTTCTTGATAGGGGGTTTAAGTTAAGATACCATACTAGGGGTCTATAGTAAATAGTATTGTTTCTTTATTACCTCATTCTAATCATTACGGCCCCTACAGTCGTAAACCCTGAACCCTATAAATCCCTTACAGGAACCCTTCTAGGACCCTCTAAAGGACCCCTTGTTCCCGAACCCTGAGCCCTTGAACCCTATAAATCCCTTAAAGGAACCCTTCTAGGACCCTTCAAAGGAACCCTTATTCCCTAAACCCTAAGCCCTGTACTTTAAATCCTAAACCCTATAGATCCCTTTAAAGGAACCCTTCTAGATACCTTTAAAAGGAACCCCCATACCCTTAAAAGGAACCGCTATAGTACCCTCTAAAGGGAGCCCTATAGTACCCTTTAACCTCTAGTACCCTCTAAAGGAGCCCCTCTAGTACCCTTTAAAGGAACCCCATGTAGTACCCTTTAAAGGAACCCCGTGTAGTACCCTTTAGAGGAACCCCTATAGCAGCCTTTAAAGGAACCCCTGTAGTAGCCTTAAAAGGAACCCCTATAGTGCCCTTTAAAGGAACCCCTATAGTACCCTTTTGAAGGGAGCCCTTATACCCCCAAGCCCTGTGCTTCTGAGGCAAACATGGGCGCCTTCCTCGGTGAGGCGACCAAGGCCCGAGCTGGTCTTCTGGGAGTTTTTTTTTTAAAGAGGGCTTGGGGATAAGGGCTCCTTTAAAGGGTACTGTACGGGTTCCTTGGGATCTTTTAAGGGTTCTATAGTTTAGGGAACTGGGAGTTTAAAGTGGGTGTAGGGCTCCTTTAAGGGATTCTGCAAGGGCTCCTTTACAGGGCCCCGTTTTAAAGAGGGCTTGAGGGTTTAGGGTTTGGGGGTTTAGGGGTTTAGGGTTTGGGGGTTTAGGGGTTTGGGGGTTTGGGGGTTTGGGGGTTTGGGGGTTGGGGGGTTTGGGGGTTTAGGGTTTGGGGGTTTGGGGGTTTGGAGGTTTAGGGGTTTGGGGGTTTAGGGTTTGGAGGTTTGGGGGCTTAAACGTTTGGGGTTTAGGGGGTGAAGGGGTTTAGGGTTTAGGGGCTTCGTTGGAGCTTTTGGCTTTTTCGGTTTCTGCTAAGGCTTATATGAGGGTTACTAAATACTATAAGGCAACCAGAGGGCTTGCTTTAAGGCTATAAGGGCTACTTAGGGGTTAAAGTTTTGTAGGGTCGGGGAAGAGTTTTTACATGTTGTGAGTGTTTTGTTGGGCGGGTTTTAGGAGTATGCCCCCAGCGACGGCTGATCATCGATAGATGGATACCTATTCTGGCTTAAAGAAACATTCGTTCGTGAGCTTTTAGTTTTGTTTAGCGAGGAAGCTCAGAGGGCTTCAGGTGTTTAGTGGTGTACTTGGAGGATCATGGGACTTGGTAAGTAAGGTTTATAAGTACCTTAACTGGGGTTATAGGTTATAGTTACTCGAATTATAACCCTGGTTACTAAGTCCCATGATCCTTTATGTAGGGTGGGTTCAGGGCTTCGGGTCTCATGGTCTCGTATGGCTCCAGGGGCTCGGGGTGGGGACTGCAGGGTTGCTGTTGGTGTCGGGGTACGGTTTAGGTTTTAGGGCCGAGAGTTTTAGGGTTTAGGGTTTGGGGTTTAGGGTTTAGGGCCTAGGGTTTAGGGTGATCGAGGTGTTGCTTTTTGATTCTCTTCTTGCCTTTCCATCTTCCCCTCAGCAGCTTCAAATTTTGCATTGAACCCTAAACCCTAATGAAGCTGGTGCTCTTGGACCGGCGGCTGCTCGCTTCCGAACCTGTAAAGGTCTGACCCGCCCCCCAAATGGGTGGCTGCCAAAATTAGGGTTCCTTTTTGGGTACCCTAAATATCAGGTGCCGTATCATAATAAGGACCCAAAAAGGGACCATCATGTTGACAACCACCCAAATCCAAAACCCTGCTAAAGACCTGAACCCCAAATCCGTATTGACTTGAGCACCCCAAGCTCAAAGCCCCGAAATCGCTATCTGGACGATCAAAAGCCCGGAGGAACCCCACCCAAACCAACAAAATTCCAAAATCCCCCAACTACCTCAGAACCTGAACCCTACAGACTACCCGGACGATACGAATATGAACTCTCAGCACCGAGCACCAGCGTGATCAAACCGTCACTAACCATTGAAAAGTGATCGGAACCAAATGGCCCATGTAAAACACACCGGCGCGCGCTCAATCCTGGCGCAATGCCACGAACCTTACGGCTGTGCATCTGGAAAGCTTAAACCCCAAAGCCTCCCTAGGCTCCAACAGTTCGCGACAGTGCACCAGAACCGTAGCTCAACCCGCAAAACCCCAAAGCCTGCACCCGAAACCCTAACTTCTGCGTGCTGAGACGGCCGCGACCTTCTTGTGGCCGTGTCCAGCTGCGAAGAATTCTGGCGGGAGCTTTTTCATGCACTTGGCGATGTACGGGTGGTGTCCCCGACTCCCTCTTGCGCAGCATGCCTTGCAGCAGCCAGGGAAGGTGTGCAGTACCAAGGCTATGCCAGGAATCTTCTTGCAAAGCAGATCGTGATGGAGGACTGTGTGCTTCGCGTGGCCATGGCGATGGTCTTGGGTGCTCAGGATTTTGGGCGCATGCGAGTGCTGTCAAGGGCTGCCAGCTTGGGAGGAAGCGACAGCGCAGTCCCTCCATCTATCGTCGAGCCGGTCGCTTCAGGAGCGGCCAGTGCTGCTGCAGGGAGCGACAATGAGAATGACAATGAAGAAATCTCGGGACCCGAGTTTGAGACTTGAGTCTTCAGCAGGAGCAAGGCTCTACATGTCGTCACCCTAAACCCTAAACTTATTCCCCGTTTTCTGGGTGCAGTCACAATCCTGCCTTATTGGTTCAACTCAAAGAGGTGATTCTGGGATATCCCAGCCTTATGGTTTTAGAGAGCCCACTACCCCTGAATTGAGGAATATACCTTAAACCACAATCAGAAGCCCCCCCACAGTTTAAGCTGCATTCCTTTGTTAAGGGGTGTTGGGCTTTCTTAGATATTGGTCCAATTGCCTAAACCCCAAATCCTAAAGGTGCTTTTGGGTCCTATTAATATTGATCCAAAGAAAGAGCCCCTAAACCCTAAACCCTGAACCTTAAACCCCTAAACCCTAACCCCTAAACCCTAAGCCCCTAAACCCTAAACCCTAAACCAGAGGTGCCTTTCATCCTGCGACGGTTTCAACCTCACTGGACCGACAGGAGCCACAGCGGGTAAAGGGGGGGTGTACTTGGAGGTTCATGGGTCGTTACAAGTGGGTTTATAAGCAGGGTAACCAGAATTATGACCCATATTAGGGGACTTGTAACCCCACCTATAACCACCGATGAACCTCCAAGTAGGGCTTTAAGGCTTTAGGGGTTATGGGGTTTGGGGGGCTGAGGGTTTAGGGTTCTGCGGGGCTGAATTCTGAGGGTTCCTTGCAGGGTTCTGAAAAGGTTTTATAGGGTCCTGTACGAATTGCGATGAGGGTTTCTACAGGGTTTCGGGGGGGTCCTTGAGGGGCATTAGGGTACATGCTTCAGGTTTGCAGAGTTAGATTTCAGGGTTAGGGTCAGAGGCTGAGACTATCAGTTCGGTCTGGTTTTAGAGTTTGCATTTTTTTGCCAAGAGCTTCAGGGTTGAGGGTTGGGATTGTGAGGTGAAGCACAACTGAGCCCGAAGGCATGGAGCGTAAATCCCGAGCAGCCCGATCCCTTGGCGCGTTCCCCACGTCGAACTGTCGTTAGTCGCAGAGTTGTGGTCACCGGTCTCATGCGAGTGCACTCAGACGTCTCGAACATACTCCAACTTACTGTGCGAGCCAGCTACTCCTCTTAATGTCACGACGATGACCAACCGTGTTACGGCAAGCTTGCTTCCCGGTCTAGGCACGATGACGACCATCATCATGACGACGACGACGAGGATGAGGATGATGACCACGACGAGGATGATGGCGATGATGATGATGATGATGAGGACGACGATGGTTGTGACAACGACGGCGAGGATGATGACGACGACGACGATGACGCTGATGACGGTGGCAGTAGTTTCGTCATCATTTCATGGCTCGCTGCTTGGTTTCATGCTTCGGCTTGAACTTTCCATGCCACCGAGGACAACAGTACGAGCCCGAATCATTGGCTTTCGAGAAACTTGGAAGCATTCGTTTTTTTCTCGGAAAATGGGATGTATCTGTATAAGGGTAGGTTTCATGGTCATAGTGTGTTTTTATTCATATTATGTGAGTTTTTGGAGTTAGGTTGGGGGTGTCTCAGCATTCAAAGGTCCTTGCAACAAGGATCCCATCACGTTTACCGTTTGCAGACACGTGCCGGCTTGTGTGCCAGCCCCAAGTGGGTGGTTGTCAAAATGATGGTCCCTTCTTGGGTCCCGATTATAATACGGCACCTATTATTTAGGGTACCCAAAAAGGAACCCTAAATTTTCACAACCACCCACTTGGGGCTCAGGCTTTCCGGCAGCAGGGCCAGCTCAGGTTCAAGTAGCAGCGCTTAAGATTTTCAACCCCAGGCCTGAAGCACTACTTAGTAACTAGGGTTATACTTTAAAGGGCTCCTTTAAAGGGATCTACAGGGGGTTCTATTATAAGAGGGGGTTTATAGGGTCTACTGAAAGGATCATGGGACTTAGTAACTAGGGTTACAATCAGGGCTCCTTTATAAAGGGATCTATAGGGGCTCTATTACAAGAGGGGTTTTAGGGTCTACTTACAGGATCATGGGACTTAGTAACTAGGGTTGTGATTAGGGTAACTATAACCCCAATTAAGGTACTTCTAGCCTTACTTACTAAGATTCAAGGATCTACTTAAAGGATCATGGGACTTAGTAGCTAGGGTTATGATTAGGGCAACTATACTTATAACCCCAAATATGGTACTTATAAACCTTACTTACTAAGTTCCATGATCCTCCAAGTACATCCTTGAATCGTAAATGCACACTTAAGGATCTTGGTGTCGGGTCTAGGAACATGTAGAACGCCTCACCAGTCGCGGGGGAGTTGAGGCCGAAACCTCGAAGCCGTTGAGGGTCTAAGGTTTAGGGGTTCAGAGTTTTTAGGGTTTTAGAGACGTATGATTTTGAGAGTTTCGGGATTTCAAAGACTTTCGGAGCTTAAGAGTTTAGGCTACATGACAAAGCAGGCAATTTGGTTTCCCGCGTTTGCATGTGGTCAGATGTAACGGTGGTGATTTTGATGTTGAATGTGGCGGTTGTGCAGCAGCTGTTGGTGTTGCAACTCTTTGTGGCGGTCGTGTTGGTGGCGTTGTTGATATTGGTGATGATTCGTGGTTCTGGCTACTTGCAAGGGTAGTGTTGCGGATGGTCGCCGTCGTGGTAGTAGTACTAGGACGAGCAACAGCAGCAAACATCTGTCAGGGAATTCCCACTGCTTTTTCTGGCTGACGCCCAACAGCACGGAACCATCAAGCCCAGGGCGCAACAGTTGTGAAGCAGGAGGAACCTCCAGCCAAGGCTTTTTTTACGTGACAGAAGAGAGCTTTGGAGGGCTGCTGAAGTTCATGGACTACATCCTCGATCGCACCAACGTCATCCAGGCAAATCTGACGCCAGAAGACGAGAAGACCCTGGCAGGTTACAAGGAGAAGCTCGGACAGTTCAAGCAGGTCACGCAGTTCTCAGACGAGCTGTGGAGTTGTGTGGGAACTCCTCCGTCACAGACAAAGACTTTAACAACCGCTACGCGAAGCACAGGTTTCACAGCCGAGTACTCGGCAGTGCATGGCTCCGGGTTGGACAAGGGGCACACCTGCTGGGCTGAGGAAGAGCCGAAAGCTTAGCAACCTCCTGAAGTCTAACTCGCAACCCAACTCCCAAAAGCTTACTTGAAGGATCATAGGACTTAGTAACTAGGGTTATAATTAGGGTAACTATACATATAACCCCAATTAGGGTACTTATAACCTTACTTACCAAGTGCCATGATCCCCCAAGTAAGCCCAAAGCCCCCAACCCCACTGAAGCTCGAGAATGCTCCGTACAAAAAACGATGGCGAGCCGCTCACGCCTCCATGAAGACCTCACGAAGCACTGCAAGAACACTTCCCGGACCCCTATAGACCCAAAACAGCTGCTGAAGAGCTCTGAATAAATTGTAAATTCGTTTTGGTAGACCCTCCTAGTCCCGAAGTATAGAACCGATATTTTAAAACTTATGTCCAAGCCCATTTCTGATTCTCAATCAAAAGGCGCCTACATTCTGGAGCGCTTATAAATAGATCCCTTATGGTATGCGTCTCGTTAGCAGCTCCCTCCTCCAAACCCCGAGCCGTGACCGTCGTGGGGGCATGGATAACCTGGACTACTTGTTCTACCAGAGTGTTGTGAGGGGAGTGTGGCCGTCGAACCGTTCTAAGTGGAGCCTTTTAATTAGATCCTAAACCCCCAAAGCCTGAAACCCTAATCCCTAAACCCTAAGCCCTAAACCCTAAGCCCGAGAGCCCCAAATCCCAGGAGTTCATCTTCACTGAGAGCCACGGGGCTGTGGGCAGCGTCATGGCCTCGGCCGAGTGGTCTTTCGGAACCATCTGCCAGCCGGGGGCCTCAGTAGGGTTTAGGGCTTTAGGGCTTAGGGTTTAGGGTTTTAGGGATTTAGGGGTTTAGGGGTTTAGGGGTACAGGGTTTAGGGCTTTAGGAATTCGTACTTGGAGGATCATGGGACTTAGTATGTAAGGTTATAGTTATAAGTACCTTAATTGGGGTTATAAGTATAGTAACCCTAATTATAACCCTGGTTACTAAGTCCCATGATCCTTTAAGTAGGGTTCAGGTTTTCGGGCTTTAGAGGGTTCAGGGTTCAGGCTTTAGGGTTTATAGTGCTGATAGAGTTCAGTCGTTAGGGCTTTAGAGGTTTGTGGTTTAGGGCAGGGGCCGTTGCTTCTTGCGTTTTGGGAGGGAGAGGGGGGCGGGTATTTGCAGGTTTCCTTTCAGGATTCTATGGTGATTCCCGTTAGGGCTTCCTTTGACGGCTCTTTTAGGAATCCTTTGCTCAGAGTTGAGGGTTTTGGGTTAAGCGGGTTGAATTTTGCGTTGGCATCCGTTTAGGGTCTGGGGTTTGGGGTTTAGAGTTTGGGGTTTAGCGTTTTGGGGATTCGGGTTTTGTATTCCTGGTTTAGGGTGTCGTATGCTTGCTGCTGTGCAGCTTACGGTCACTGAATACAAGAAAGGTGTTCAGCCAAGGCATAAAAGGCTTCATTAATTAGCAGTACTATGCCCATGCGCTCCTTACTCTCGTTCTTCCGCAAGACCTTGCATCAAAAAGACATCATGCTCCGCCGCAGGCGATTCCTGGCCGGTTTAGGTGCCCGCTATTTGGCTGCATCTCTCTTCGATTCGGCTTTCAAGTTGTGGGTAGCGGGCTTCGGTGGAGGGGCCTTTTTCACCTTAGTCTCAAACCCTTAAAACTAAGGCACTGAGCACCAAACCCTGAACCCCTAAGTAGACCCACCTGTGTCCTGTGTTTCAACCTCACAGACAGGGTTTGGAGGGTTCCTTATTATATACAATTATGGTATACTACACCCCAAAGCCCTATCAAGATAATTAAGCCCTGAACCCTAAACCCCTAAACCCTACACCCTAAAACCCAAAACCCTTTAAAGATAATTAGGCCCTAAACCCTAAACCCTATAAAACCCAAAACCCCAAACCCCAAAACCCTTTAAAGATAATTAGGCCCTAAACCCTAAACCCTATAAAACCCAAAACCCAAAACCCCAAAACCCTATAAAGATGGTAAAGGACCCGGCCCGGCTTCAACCCCCCCCCCCCCCACAGACCCTCTCAGCAGGGTTTCGGGGTTACGGCTGAGGCACTTTGGGAAACGCCCTTGTTTTGTCCTATGGAGGTAAATGCTTTTGGGGGCCACCACACTACAACCCAGTCACAGGGTTTAGAGGTTTCAACCCTGAAACTGTTTCTGGTTTTGGGTTGAGGGCTGCCCAGTGCCGCCCCTAGCGCTGCAAGATGTTTAAGTCGGAACATCACGGCAAAGGAACTTCATCGAACATGGTGTTTGGGGTGTAGGGGTTTAGGGTTAGGGTTTGGAGGTTTAGGGTTTAGGAATAAGGGTTCGTATCTGGCCCCACAAAGTAATGCATCCTACCAACTGGAAACCCAACACATACACATACATGGACACCCATATGGGAGTTTCCGAAATTAGGCGCCCTAATATAGTACCCCAAATAGTAGGATCCTTATTATAAGGACCCCCAAATTAGGTACCCCTAATTTTCGGAAACTCCCAAACCCAGGAATGCACTACGGACATCCGGACTTTTTGGACGGCTTCTGGGCCTCGAATCGGGGCTCTTTGTCGAAAGCGAGCCCCGCCATTAATCTCTCAGAGGACCCCGCGAGTTGCTTTGTTGGAGGCGTACTGAAAGGTTTCGGGGGTGTTGGATTTAATACAACTGTTCTTCTCATGCATCGAAGGTGGCTTATGGAAGCAAGGTAGCCCCACTGGGTTTCGGTTGTGATGCAGCAGGTTTTTTAGGTGTTTATCGGAGCGGTTGGTAGACGTTTCTGCAGGATTTGGTTTTCACAGGGGACCCTAATATGGTATCCCAAATAGTAGGATCCTTATTATAAGGACCCCAAAATGTGGTGCCCCTCGCCTTTGTCGAAGGGTTGAGGGCGATTGGATTCCTACGTAGGCTCGGACCTGAAACCCTGAACCCTAAACCCTAAACCCTAAACCCTAAACCCTAAACCCTAAACCCTAAACCCTAAACCCTAAACCCTAAACCCTAAACCCTAAACCCTAAACCCTAAACCCGGGGTCCGGAAGTAGTTGTGCATGTACGGGTTTCGAGCGCAAAAGGTTTAGGTACTGCGCGGACTTGTTTCAAAGAACCCCGGAAACAGCTGCCTAGACCCCAACACTCCACAAACTGCGTGTCTTCAACTCGTCTGCAGGATATCTTCGCCGGTTTCAACGTGCGCATGCGAGGCCTCTTCCGAATCCCGGGCTTACGAAGGAAGCTTGCCCCAGCGGTCCGTATCTAGGCTACTACGAAGTTTGACACAAGCTAGTATCGGGTCCTTAATCATTACCTATACTATTTGAGGTGTTCCTTATTAGAACTGTAGTACAATGGCCCCGAAACCCTATTCTAATTATTAAGGCCCCTACATTATGCAGCTACAGTAGAAGCCAAAAAGTTGGAAACCCAATAGCCTCAGTCCTTAAGAGTACTGTATAGGGAATCCCAGCACTACTTGGCCTTAATCCGGTTTCCAACTTTATGTTCCCTACTACTTGGAGGGTCGGGGGACTTAGTAACTGGTTATTTTAGGGACTTATAACTACCATAACCCCAATTAGGGTCCCTTTTAGGGTACTTATAAGTCTACTTACTGCCTACTTACTAAGTCCCCCGACCCTCCAAGCATGCTCATGACAAGCCGCGAAGCCCGAAGCCTCAGATCCCTAAACCCCATCCACCCCAGGAGTCGGTAGACCTATGAGCCAGAGAGTCCAATCGACACGGAATCTCATATAGGGGCCGTATACCCAGAGACTCCAGTATTCCTTAATTCGGGAATATACCTTAAATCATATTATGGATCCTACTATAATTTAAGGTATATTCCTTAATTACGGGATTTTGGAGTCTCTGGGTAATAACTATCTATACTATTTCGAGGGTTCCCTATCTATTTAGAGTACAATGGGCCTTAATAAGGCCCCATATTGTATGCCAAATCCATGAGCATTCTTCTCCTTTGGAACCCTTCAAAGGGTGTCTGACCTCGAAAGCACCTAACACAGAGAGCTTTCAACGTACAAGTCGGGAAGCTGAGGGTTGTAGAAGGTGTTTTATAGGGTTTGGGCTCAGGCCAAAGGACGTCGGGCTTGGCATGCCTACCAAAGCCCCGAACCCAAGAAGCCTTCAATGCAGACTCATGATTAGTACACCTCCCCATCCCTCGACAAGGATCATAATTACTGGGACCCTGCGTACAACAAGGATCAAACCTTATGCCCTAACAACAAGAGCCATAAATCGAGAAACTCTTTACCCCAGAGCCAGAAAGCCCTGAATCCTAAACAACAACATAGGGAGCGCCAGAAGAGCACTAGGCGGCACTACAGCCTTAAAGAGCCCCCAGCAGCTTAAAGGGCTCCACGGAGCCCCGAAAAGTAACGGAAAAAGCGCGGCGGGCCCTTAGATGAAATCCGAAACCCTGAAATCCTGAAAACCTAAACCGCCTAAGCCCAAACCCTCAAACCCTGAGCCCAAAAAATCTGAAACCCGAAACCCTAAAGCTTTAGCCCTTGAGAGGCCTACTGGGTAGCGAAAAGTGGGATTATGGCAATTCTGGTTGCCCTACGTATAGCCTCACTTGTAGGTACCCTGAAACCTAACCCTTCAACCCTATAGAACCATTCATGGCCCCACGTATAACTAGCCATGAGCCCCCAAGTGATCCTGGACCGCAAAATCCTAAACCCTAAACCCTTCAAGGAACCCTAAGCCAATATGTTCCGAACACTAAAGCCTAAACCCCAATGCCCATGAACCTCCAAGAGGGCACGGCCGTGCTTAAAGGATCATGGGACTTAGTAACTAAGGTTATAACCCCAATTAAGGTACTTATAACCTTACTTACTAAGTCCCATGATCCTCCATTATAGAACCCTTATAGAGCCCTTTAAGGAGCCCTTTATTATAGACCCCTATAGTACCCTTAAAGGAACTGCTAAGTCCCATGATCCTCCAAGTGGGGAGGCGAAGCCTCCAAGCACGTGGATGCCCTGGCCTGGGCCACTGGGCCCTCTTTACCTAGGATGCCCAGTTAGGGGTTTAGGGGTTAGGGTTTACGGGTTTGGGGTTTAGGGGTTTGGGGGTTAGGGGTTTAGGGGTTTAGGGGTTAGGGCTCAGTAGTACCCTTATTCCCTTTTTGTAGTCCTAGGTTCTTATACAGTTACCCAATACCAAGAAGGGAGCCCTTTTTATTCCCAGGTTACTGGGCATCCTAGTTACTATGGTTAGAAGAGGTTTTAGGGTTCATTTCAAGGGTATCATAAGGGTTCCTTTAAGGGATCTATAGGTTTTAGGGGTTGAGGGGTTTGAGGTTAAGGGTTTGGGGTTTACTTGTAGGGTTTAGGGTTTGGGGTTCAGGGTTTAGGGTGCAGGGTTTGGGGGGTTAATGCTTACTGACATAATACACTGCAGTATACCTTAATGTGATATAACAGTACAGTGTCATGTCATACGCCATAATATGCCTTTTTTTACGATATTGTACCAGAACATACTAGAGTAACCATAGGCTACCATACTATGCTGTGATATGACCCGGGAGGCTGGCCCCGTACTAATCTTGGCTTTCTGCGGGTTCTATACCGAGCCCAATACTCCTTAACTGAGGAAGGTATCTTAAATCATAATACTAGGCCCCCGATAGCTCGCGGGATAATGATTTATTACACCTTAAACCATTATATCAAGCCCTCTATAATTTGTGGTCTATTCCTCAATTAAGGGGCATTGCTCTCTGCGAAGATCCAAGGAGAAAGGTCGAGAGTCTTCCTTCAACGCTGCCGCCCTCTTCTACACCAAGGACCCGGGGTTTAGGGTCGTCTGTTCTGGTCTGTAGGGAATTTAAGCTGTAATTGTAGAGGAACCCTAAGGGGAGACTATTACAACAGCTGTTTGACCCCCTTTTTTGTCGACCCTGAAGGCGCTAACCTCTCGACCGCATCCCTCGGTGCCAAGTCCTTCGCACAAGCTTTAACGTCGCCATGATTCCCAAAGCCGAAACCTTACAGCCTCCACCACAAACGCTAAGGCATCAACCATGATCCCTGAAGCCTCTATCAGGGGCCTCACAAGGTGGGATGGAGGTCGGTAGGATGAAGGATCCCTTATACAGAGGCTCTTAAATGGGGATCATCCCACCTGTCTTTATCCCACCTTTGGAGCCATGTGGGTGGTTGTCAAAATCATGGTCCCTCTTCGGGTCCTTAATATAATGCGGCACCGAATATTTAGGGTAGCCAAAAAGGGACCATATATAATTTTGGCAACTACCCATGCGACTCCAAGCCAGCAGGTCAGCAAAGGCAACGTGGGCGTCATGCGATCCCGGGACCTGAAAGTGATCACGCAGAGCCCTTGCTGATTTCATGTTGGGGTTGGGGGTTTAGGGGTCAGTTGACTTAAGCCTAAACCCCAAACCCTTGCACTTTGACATAAATTAGGGTTGGGGGTGTTAGGGGTTAGTTGACTTAAGCCTAAACCCCAAACCATTGCACTTTGACATAAATTAGGGTTGGGGGTTCAGGGGTTTGTTGACTTAAGCCTAAACCCCAAACCCTTGTGCTTTGACATAAATTGGAGTTGGGGATTTAGGGGTTAGTTGACTTAAGCCTAAACCCCAAACCGTTGCAATTTGACATAAATCAGGGTTGGGGGTTTAGGGGTTAGGTGGCTCAAGCCTAAACCCCAAACCCCTGCACTTTGACCTAAATTAGGGTTTGGGGCTCCAAAATCCATTGAATTCCAAGTCAGTGTTATGCGGTCTGATAGCCCTGAAGTCGTGCAAGCCCAGGCGTGAACTGTATCTCTTCTACAGCGAACTGCCGCCCCTGCTTCATCCCCAACCTCAATCCCTCAACCTCTCGACCCTTGAACCGTTAAACCGGTAAAGCCTAAAGCCTAAGAACCCTGAAGCCCAAAGCCCCCGAAGCTCTCAACCCCTAAGCCACAACACCTCCGCCCCTGAATCCGTAAACCCTGAAGACCCGCAGCCCTCGGCCTTTAAACCCCCAACCCATCCACAGCTGAGCTCCTAAATCCGCGAACGCCTAATTCTCAGAGTCGAAAATTTTCCACCCCCCTTAAACCCTGGGGATGGGGGTGGGAGAGATTGACAACAAACCCTTTGCATGCTCTAGGATGCGTTCAGGGGTCTGTGTTGTATGTCTGCGATTGCGGGTCGGCAACGCAAATATGCTTCCCAGGCGGCTTCATCGCCACGAAGGCCAGCGGCGAGGTCCTGATGTGGAGTGAAGACGTGGAAGATACCGCCAGTACCGCCAGCTCGGAAGACTCCTCAGATGTGTCGGAGCAGGATTCCCAGAGACTCCAATATCCCTTAATTAAGGAATATACCTTAAATCATATTAAGGATCCTACTATAGTTTAAGGTATATTCCTTAATTAAGGGATATTGGAGTCTCTGGGTTCCTCACAGAGCGACACCAGTGTGGCCGAGGCGGCGGCCCCTGCAGGCGAACAGGAAGAGCCGGAGGAGCTGCAACAGCAGGCAGCAAGTGATCCATGGCCTACGCTCCTGCAGCAAACCATGCCCTTCGAGGCTGGTGGGCGCCAAGGGTCGCCTTAAACCCTAAGGTTTTTAGATTCTAAAAATTGTTCAACCCCTCCTTAAACCTCGAACCTCTGAAGCTCTGCTGCCGGAAGTCCTCAGCCCCCAAACGTAATGTAGGGGCTTCAATAATTACCTATTACTATTCTTGGGTTCCTTCTTATACTTATAGTATAACCGGCCCTAAACCCAATTCACAGTAGTAAGGTCCGTATATTATCCACAGTCATCCCGGAACCACATCTCGACGGCTCTTTAGGAATAGGATCTAGAGTTTGAGCATTGTGGCCGGACTTTGCTTTGGGTTTTGGGTCGTATGCTGCGAGTCCCCAAACCCCCAAACCGTAAGCCCTGAGCAGTGTAGGGTTTCGGGTTCAGGGTGTACTTGGAGGGTCGGGGACTTCGTAACTGGTTTTTTTAGGGACTTATAACTACCATAACCCCAATTAGGGTCCCTTTTCGGGTACTTATAAGTCTACTTACTACCTACTTACTAAGTCCCCCGACCCTCCAAGTAGGGTTCAGGGTTCAGTCTGAGGGGCTTAGGGTTCAAGGTTTGAGATTTTGGTTTGCCCTGCCGCCCAGGAACCTGAATATTGTGCGGCGCCGAGGGGTTGAGTGTTCATTTTGGGACTTCAGACTTGGCATGTTGGTCCGGGGCGGCCCTAAACCCTAGACGCGAAACTGTGGAGAGGTTTCAAGTTGTTGGGTTCCAGGTCAAACTCTACACCCCAAGCCCTAAAACGTAAACCCCAAGCCCTATAATGAGGTTTAGCTGGTGCTGTCGGTGATTTTCAGAGGGTGCTGCTGGGTTTCAGGGGTTTAATTGAGGTTACCACAACACATATTCGTTACTGTAGATCAGTATTATGGTAACTTAAACTAAGTCCCTGAACAAGAGTCCAGGTGGTCTTGTCGTTTTGTTGTAGCATTCAGCCTACCTGGGTTCTTGATCCGGAGCCGCTAGGGTTTAGGGTTTAGGGTTTTAGGGTTTTAGGATTAGCCAAGGGCTGATGCGTGCTGTACCCAAAGGTGCAATGGGAACTTTGGGTCGGTGGGTGGGAGCGATGAAATACCAAGAAACCACGGAATGACCGTGGAGCTGCGTGCGCGAGTCTGTCCGGCATCGGGGGGAAGCTCTAAACCCTGAACCCTAACTGCACTTTAAAAAAACCCTAACCCTAAACCCTAAACCAAGGAGGCGGGCAAGAACTTCGGTCCGCAGGCCCGTAACGCCGGCAAACCAACACCCCCGACGCAATCTTATTATAAGGGCCCCAAAAAAGGGTACCCCTACTTTCGGAAACTCCCACCTGAGCCCCCAGCGCAAACCCAAAGCAGAAACCCGAAGCCCCCAAAGCCCGAAGCTCAAAGGGCTCTAATAAACCAATATCCAGGCAGAAGAAAGAGTATAGTATAATATACCCCAAACCCTATTCTAATTATTCAGGCCCCTACACTATAAAGTTTACGCCCTGAGCCTAGTATCCCTAGAAGAACCCTTTCAAGGAATCCCGGTAAACCCGCGACGCCCCAAAGCCGATATGGGGAGTACTAGGTTCCCGGCTTAGTCCCCGAAAACCGTACGGCACCGTTGTAAAACGGACCCCAAGAAGGGACCCCAACTTAGAGAACTGCCCACATAACCCCTACTGGAAGGATCATGAGACTTAGTATGTAACGTTATAAGTACCTTGATTGTGGTTATAAGTATAGTTACCCGAATCATAACCCTAGTTACTAAGTCCCATGATCCTCTAAGTAAGCCGGCAAACCCCAAAGCCTAAACTAACCCCAAAGCCAAAGGACATATCCCCTGAACCCTGTAAGCCCCAAGCCCTAAACCCTAAATCCCACACCCCTAAACCCCTAAGCCCTTACAGAGAGAACTACCCGAAACCCGAAAGGAGCTCAAAACAAAAAGCCATAAACCCCTAAACCCCTATAGAGAACTACCCCGAAATCCTAAGGTTGATAACTTTTCAATAAGGACCCCTAGGTATATATCCTTAATATAGCTATTATATACCCATGATATAGCCCATTATAGGGTAGGGCGTTGCCCATTAAGGGTCCCTCCTTTTCGCCTTTGATAAGTTGACAACTTCTGGGCCTAAATGATTACCAATATAATTCTTCATTATATTTATAGTATAATGGTCCCCAAAACCCGGTTCCAATTATTGAGGCCCCTACAGTACCCCAAACCCCTGAGGTTGATAACTTCTCTAAATCCCAAACCACAGACCAAAACCATAAACCTAAACCCCTATAGAGAACTACCCAATATCCTGAGGTTGATAACTTCTCCTTCTACTTCGCTTCTGCGCCTCGGACAAAGAGAGGAGCGAGGGTCAGCTCTGGCCGTCCGCAGCTTTGGGTTTAAGAGGGGGAGTTAAGGGGTTTTAGAGGGGGTTTAAGAGGTTTATAGGGTTTAGGTGTTTGAGGGGTTTTAGGTGTTTAGGGTGTTTAAGGGGGAGTGTAAGGGGCTTTCGGGGGGTCAAGAGGGGGTTTGCGGGGTTTCAGGGGTTTAAGGGATTTAGGGGTTTAAGGGGTTTTAGGGGTTTTGGTGGCTTAAAGAGCATTTGGGGGTGTTTAAGGAGTTTGAGGGGGTTGGTTTAGGTGTTTAAGAGGTTTGGGGCTTAAGGGATTTAACGGGGCTTTAGGGGGTTTTAGTGGGTTTAGGGGTTAGAGGTTAAAGGGTTCGAGGCTTTTGGGTTTTTGGGGCTCTTCTCTTCCAGATGCTGGGAGGTACTGGGGTCTTGGGATGTTAGGGTTAAGTTTAGGGGTTTAGGGTTTAGGGATTAGGGGTTCAGAGTTGAGGGTTTTAATCCGGGGGTTTCGCAGTTTTGGGGGGTTTGAGGGGTGGTTTCAGGGTTTAGGGCTGCAAGGCTTTGGGGGTGGTAGGGTTGCAGGGTTCGCTGCCGTGCAGACTCCCCCATTCGTGGCTTTAGCCTCCTGGCCCCTCAGGGTTTTAGGGCATGTGGGAGTTTCCGAAAATAGGGGACCGTAATATAGTACCCTAAACAGTAGGATCCTTATTCTAAGGATCCCTACATAAGGTACCCCTAATTTTTCGGAAACTCCCATGTCCCCCCTCCAGCGCCTCTCCCGAGCCGAACGGGATCCTCCACAGGGCTCTAAGGTGTTCATTTTTCCAGGGGTCCTGCAAAGTGTTCCTTTAAAGGGTCGGTGAAGGGGTTGCTACAAGGGTTACTATGGGGGTTGGAAGGGTTGAGGGTTATACGTGCCCGGAAGACCCTTCCGCAGACTTCTTGCGCTCAGAGCCTCACGCCCTGAACCATAAGCCTGATACCCTGAAGCCGTACCCATCACCACCTCTTCCGCAAAGCATAACATACCGAATCGGACAAAGAGTATGTAGAGATGTGTTAGTGCGTTCATCTAGAGCGCCCATAGGCCCTAATAACGTCTCATAAACCCCGAATCTCTAAGCTTGACGTTGGGTCTGTCAAAGGTGGGCTTCTACCTGAACAACCTGCTCCTCGACCTTTAAAGAATCGGCGAGGGCCGACAGGGTCTGTGCTTTGAAAACGGCTGGTACTGGTTTTAGGTGTTCAAGGTGTTTCAGTCTCGCCGCGATGTCTACCGGAAGAACAGATCAACTCCAGCATGCAACCTGTCTGACAGTTCCACAGCCACGACAACCAAATGAACAAGGCGGGCATACGGTTGCCTAAGCGACAACATGAGAAAGTTTCGATTAAGCTCAACCAGCGCTTTGACGTTGCAGATGACTCAGTTGAAGGGCCTTCCTCCATAGGGTGTAGGTACTGCTACGATGACGTCCTTGATATGTCTTCCAAAAAGGAAAAGGCCGCTAGACCCCAAGCCCTAGTCTCAAACCCTGAAGGGGGCCCTAGACCCTGAACCGCAATCCTAAACACTTATCATAATCTCTGAAGGCCCTAAATCCTAAACCTTCAACAACTATCCTAAACCGTAACCCTTAAAAACAATGCCCTCAACCCTAAACCCTTTAACAACCTAGATCCAAAACCGTAACGGTTTGAAACAGTCCCCTAAACCTAAACCGTAACCCTTTGAAACAGTTCCCTAAACCCGACACCTCTTAACAACCTAGTCCTAAACCGCAACCCTTTGAAACAGTTCCCTAAGCCCTAAACCCTTTAGCAACCGAGATCCTAAACCGTAGCCCTTCGACACAGTTCCCTAAACCCCAAACCCTTTAACAACCTAGATCCTAAACCGTAAAGCATTGAAACAGTATCCTAAACCCCGAACCCTTTAACAACCAAAATCCTAAATCGTAACCATTTGAAACAGTTCCCTAAACCCTAAACCCTTTAACAACCTAGATCCTAAACCAGCAACCCTTTGAAACAGTTCCATAAACCCTACACCCTTTAACAACCTAGATCCTAAACCGTAAAGCTTTGAAACAGTTCTCTAAACCCTAAAACCATCTAGCAACCTTCCGAGACCGTATCCCTTTGAAACCACTTCCCTTAGCCCTGAACCTCTCAAACAACCTAGATCCTGAACCGTAACGGTTTGAAACAGTTCCCTAAACCCGAAACCCTTTAACAACCTAGTCCTAAACCGCAACCCTTTGAAACAGTTCCCTAAGCCCTAAACCCTTTAGCAACCGAGATCCTAAACCGTAGCCCTTCGACACAGTTCCCTAAACCCCAAACCCTTTAACAACCTAGATCCTAAACCGTAAAGCATTGAAACAGTTTCCTAAACCCCGAACCCTTTAACAACCAAAATCCTAAATCGTAACCATTTGAAACAGTTCCCTAAACCCTAAACCCTTTAACAACCTAGATCCTAAACCAGCAACCCTTTGAAACAGTTCCATAAACCCTAAACCCTTTAACAACCTAGATCCTAAACCGTAAAGCTTTGAAACAGTTCTCTAAATCCTAAAACCATCTAGCAACCTTCCGAGACCGTGTCCCTTTGAAACCATTTCCCTTAACCCTGAACCTCTCAAACAACCTAGATCCTGAACCGTAACGGTTTGAAACGGTTCCCTAAACCCGAAACCCTTTAACAACCTAGATCCTAAACCGTAAAGCATTGAAACAGTTTCCTAAACCCCGAACCCTTTAACAACCAAAATCCTAAATCGTAACCATTTGAAACAGTTCCCTAAACCCCAAACCCTTTAACAACCTAGATCCTAAACCGTAACCCTTTGAAACAGTTCCCTAAACTCTAAACCATGCAACCACCTAGATCCTAAACCGTAACCCTTTGAAACAGTTCCCTAAACTCTAAACCATGTAACAGCCTAGATCCTAAACCGTAACCCTTTGAAACAGTTCCCTAAACCCTAAGCCCTTTAACAACCTAGATCATAAACCGCAGCCCTTAGAAGCAGTTCCCTAAACTCTAGACCATGTAACAACCTAGATCCTAAACCGTAACCCTTTGAAAGAGTTCCCTAAACCCTAAACCTTTTAACAACAGAGATCCTCAACCGTAACCCTTTAAGACCATTTCCTAAACTTCAGAGCGGAGTTTCCGAAAATAGTGGACCCTCATACAGTACTCTGAATATTAGGATCCTTATTATAAGGACCCCAAGTTTTCGGGAACTCCCGAAACGGATTGCTGTAATCAGGACCCTCCCCCCTCCTGTCCGCCCGATGACTTCCCAAGCCCGGGGCCTAAACCCTATAAGCCCTGAACCTTAAGACCTACACTTCTGAATCCTAAACAGTTTAGGGTGTAGGGTTTTGATTTCTGTTAGAGGGTTTAGGGTTCAGCCAATTGAGTCTTCTTCCTGCACGATTGCATGCCGCAACTCCTGGAGCCAGCCAGGCTCATTGATGCGTCTGCCACGCAGGGGGCCCTAGCAACCGAAGCTGAGGACTGCTGCCCTGAGCCCGAACCCTTACTTGGAGGATCATGGGACTTAGTAAGTAAGGCTATAAGTACCCTAATTGGGGTTATAATTATAGTTACACCAAAAATTGTGGCCCTAAGTCCCATGATCCTTTAAGTAATCTTGCACCCTAAAGCATACGTCCAGGATCAGGGACTAAGTACGGGGGCGGGCATGGGCTTTGCTTGAAACCCCAATTCAGGTACTATCTCCTTCGGGGCATTTGTGTGCACATGTTCCGCATCCATTGCCTTGCATTGCGCGTTTCGGCGCCGGGATTCGGCTGCAAGTAGGTAGGCTCTACGATGCCACAGTGCAACCCGGTATGTCGAAGAGATCCTCGTGATTCCGTAAACCCATGACAAGGCCCATACACCTATGACCCGCATACACCCTAAGTCTCAAACCCTATAAACCCCGAATCCATAACCCCCAAATCCCTAACCTTTACCCATGAATCCTAAACCCACCGCCTTGTAGGCTTGAGATGAACGCCCGTACAACGCGTTGCATCCTTTGCGCACATGCGACATACCAAAGGTTCAGAAGACTTTGTAACACGGGTTGCTAAAAGGGCTCCTTTAAGGGGTACAATAGGGGTTACCCTATGGGTTCTATAAGGGTTTAGGGGCCTTAAACAGGTTCTTGGGACTTAGTCACTAGGTTATTGAATAACGTAGCCATCGGTAGTTGCTGATTACCTTAATTAAGGTACTTATAACCTTGCTTACTAAGATGAGTATGCGGAACACGAAACATGATATGAGATAGGGAAAGACCCCAACCCCTAAAGCCACCGAAGTGTCGGATGTAAAGATCCAGGGCCGTCAGAGTGTAGGATCTCTAAGATTTCGCTGCCAGGATTGAGTCCTCAAGGACTCCAGGGGCTAGAAAGGGTTTTGTTTAGGGTCGTGGGTTTAGGGTTTAGTGTTTTACAAAACGGCCTATATCATATGACTTATATGACCCTGTAAAACCTTATGAGGCCTTCATGTTTTCAAGCACGGAATCCTGCAGTCTTTAATCCCCAAAGCCCTGAACCCTAAATCAAGAGCGCACCGGTCACGGTGACGATCAGAGCCTTTGCAGACGCGTTGGGACGTCTGGGGTCCATCAATCAAAAGACGGCGCGCATCCTCGCGTCTCTTGTGGGAGTGGCAAGCAGTATGTATCGGAAGGAACACCACGCCTTCAGTATGGTGTTCGACATGCTGCTCGCGACGAACTACGTGACAAAGACACAGGACACGAAGATCATCGCTGAGCGACAGCACGTGGGCATTTGCGCAGAGGCAGTATACGCCTTAGCGAAAGCGAGCTCGATGTCCGAGACCCTGGTGGAGGCTTGCCTGGCTCTTACCCCTCAAAACCCAATGAGCGAAGATTCGGATTGATTTCGAATCAAAATTATCCCATGCGTGAAGCAACAGTTCCGACAGCGCATGGCAGCCACTAAGGTGTTAGGGGACCATGTTTATGTGCCGAACAGGCACAACTGATGCTGAATTTTCAGCAGAAGCATGGTGACCGAGTGGTCAAGGAGACATCAGGTCCCGAAAAAACGCTTCTCCAGCACCCTGAAGCTCGTACAGCATGTGTTGCGACAATCTTCGGCAGCTTCTCGGAAGTGATTGCATTATAAACTCACCATGTTGTTTCCGGTTTCTCCGGACCAGATTGCTTACCCCTCGCAGGACGCGGTGTGTGTGTGTGTGTGTACCCATAGGGCCCCCAACCTTCAAGCCGAAACCCTAACCCCCCAAGCCCCGTAATTACCCTAAGCCCTCATTCCTGAAATCCAGCCTTCCTAGGTGTAAACCTTAAACCCTACACTACCCCACAACGCCCGAGGGTTTACGTGCTCCTGTTCATCCTCCTGGCGCTCTCCTCGAAGTCCTTGGTCGACGTGGCCTCTTTGGACTCGATGTTGGCCACGGAGTGGACGCCGGGGTGCCTACGGTTCAGGGTATAGGGTTGAGAGCTTAACAGTCAGGGTCTAGTTGAGCAATATTGAACCACAGCATACTATGGCTGCTATGGAATTTAAGGATGGTTTTGGAGACTACTGGGGGCTAAGGGGGTAGGCCTTAAAGCCAGCGCCCCAACAAGTTCAGGTTGAGCTCACGCAGACCCTTTAATGCAACAACGCCAGGAGAGCCCTGCACCACTCAGTTCACTACTGTTCAATCAGTTACCGGAAGCTTCCCTGCATGATCTACAGAACTCTTGCCGATGGGTCAGAATTACGGCATGTATTTGTTCCAAAGGTATAGTGACCCGAAGCCCGTACACCATAAACACTAATCTGTGAAACCCGAAATCCTAAGCTCTTAACTTTAGAGCCCTCAACCCTTAACCCTACACCCCAAGGCCCTAAACTCCAAAGCCGAACCGGATCGCTACAGGTGTACCGTGCAGAGTCCCACCCATTGCAGTATCCCGTACCCAGATCCCCGGGAGGATCCAAAAAGTAGATCCCTTAATGGAGGTTCCTATAAAGTACCCTTAGTAGTATAGGGCCCCGAATTAGGGGATCTACTTTCTAGATCCTCCCGGGGGTCTGGGTCATTGCAGTATCCCGTAATTGCACGAACAAGCTCACAGCTTCAAGGTGCGAGAGAATCTTTAAGGTATATACCTTCATTACTGCAGACGCACGATTGGCTTTCCAACCGGTACCTCATGTATGCCTATGACCGCAGAACAGGCAAGCCCTGGTGTGGTTCAATCGGTCATATGAGTTGAGCCTACGTGAAGAGGCAAGACGTGATTCCCGTCTTCAACCAGGACTTGGTTGATCGCGCAGTTGATGCTGACGCCAACTGCATTGTGGACTACATCGACCATTGCTACCCCATTGACAATGAAAACCTGGGGCCTGGGGTGGATCGAGTTCGTTGGATATTGGAGTATCTGGGTTTACAGACCCTAAATCACAAACCCTTAAGCCGAAACCCTAAACCCGAGATGCGAAACTCCAAGTTCTGAACCTTAAGCCCTAAGCGGTAAATACCAGGCACCCAGCCCCGAACCCTAAATCCTGCACCTGCTTGGAGGATCAGGGGACTTAGTAGGTAAGGTTATAAGTACTATAGTTACCCTAGTTATAACCCTAGTTACTGAGTCCCATGATCCTTTAAGTAGTCATCCCGGACCAAACATTCTCAGTCATGGGGGCTTTGGTGGAACCCTAAAAGAAGTGTGAGGCCACCGGAAAAGCCTTCTATGCAGAATTCCCTGTAATCTCTATAAGAGCACAAAGCCGACAATCCTAGGGGCCTTCAGAATTCGAATAGGGTTTTGGGGGATATTCTACTATAGGTATAAGAATATACCCCCCAAACCTTATTCTGATTCTTAAGGCCCCTACGTGAACATTATGGGAGGCTTCAGGGAGGGGGCGTCAAAGGTTCCATTGCAGTTCCCTGGGGATTTCTTGTACCTCAGCCCCTTGAACCACCCTCCCTCAAACCTTAAACCCTCAACCCTAGGGCCCAAAAGCCCTAAAGCCGTAAACCCTAAGCCCTCATACCCTAAACCCTCGAGCCCTAAGCCCTAAGCCCTAACCCTTAAAGCCCTGACACCCTAAACCCCAAACCCCTGAGGGTTCCTCTAAGCCAAGGCTGTCCATGGGGACCATCGCCATGTTGCCGAGGTTCATGGCGTCGGGCTCAGAGGTTTACGGTTTAGGACCTAAGGTAAAAGCCAGAAAGTTGGAATATGGATTAATGGCAGGATCCCTTATAATTTACCTTAAAGGGGTTACGATAATGATATTCCAAGTTTCTGGCTTCCACTGTAGGGCTGTGGGGGTTCAGGGCTCAGGGCTTGGAGATTAAGGCTTGGGGCTTATGGTTTAGGGCTTTGGGTTTAGTGCTTGGGGTGTAAGGCTTTAGGTTTAGGGCTTAGGGCTCAGGGTTCATAGGGCTTAGGGCTCAGGGTTCGTGGCAATCCGCTCAAGCGGCAGTTTGTGTGCATGTCTTTTTTGCCAAGAAGGATTGGTGCAGGGTTTAGGTTTGCCGGTTTTCGAGTTGGAGCTATAGGGGTGCCGTACTACTTGTTGCCTCAAGGGATCGCCAGATGCTTCGTTCCATAGGAAGCCAGTGGCCGCTTTGCAGTTACTCAATTGGGGCTGAAGTGAAGCCTGAAGCCGTAGTAGCTAGTTTGGTAAGGGAAGACCACACCCAATCGTCTTGACTACTGTTTCTGCCTCAGCCCGAAAGAAACTAATGCCCTAAATCCCACAGCCCGAGAGCCGCCAAAGAGTTAGTTGGAGGGTCGGGGGACTTAGTAAGTAGGTAGTAAGTAGACTTATAAGTACCCTAAAAGAGACCCTAATTGGGGTTATGGTAGTTATAAGTCCCTAAAATAACCAGTTACTAAGTCCCCCGACCCTCCAAGTAGTTGGGGTTGGGGGACTCTCGGGCTTGCAGCCTAGAGTTTTGAACCCTACCCTACAGTACGCCCTCCCACCCTGCAGCCTAAATGCCTTGAATCCCTGCAAGCACCCTAGCCCCCGCTCCTCGGAACCCACACCCAAAAGCCCTCAAACGCACTACGAAGCAAGACTCCCTCCTAAATCCTCAGTTCAGGAGTAATTCCCTGAATCACCTTCAGACCCACCAATCTCCGAATCCCGAAACGCCGAGCACTGAGCATCGAAATCCCACACTCGACCCCATAAACTCGGCTAAAGCCCTAGTCCCGCCCCCCTGAAGCCCGAATCGAAATGGCAGGATGCACCAGAAGGGTCCTGCGAAACACAATCCCAGGAGTTGACATGACATTTCAAGCTTTATGACATCCTTGAGGGCCTTGGGACCCACCTGTCTAATAGGCTCAGGGCCCCTGCATTTCGGTGCTGTAGCAGATCCGGGAATGGCTGCGTTTGGCCCTGGCTTTGCGAGCTCAGAACGTGATCGCGGCAGCTCTCGCTGCACCACTGCAGCCGACAGATGCGGTCGATGCTGTGCACATGGGGGCGACTCTCGACGACAGTCCCAGTGCCGACTTGGACACCGATGATGACGACCAGACTCAAGGGGTTCTATGCCTAGTTATCCTATGCCTCCCTGGTACTTTCTGTGTGGTTCCTTTAAGGATCCCTGGTACACTCCCTAGCTATCCCTATGTCTCCCTGGTACTCTCGATGGACTTCCCTTAACGACCCCTCGTACACTCCCGCCTTAAGCTATCCCCCCCTTGCGGATCCTATTTCAAAACCTTATACACTAAGCCACAAACCCTCTAAATCCCCATGAGGCCCTATGAAACACACCAGACAACCCAAGAAGCAAACAACAAAGCACTGCGGAAAGTTCCAGGAGTCCTAAACCCTAAACACTACAATCCTAACCACCCTGAAATTCGAAGCCCATCTAAATCCTAAGCCCAGCTAAAACCTAAGCCCATATGGATGGTTGTCAAAATTAGGGTCCCTTTTGGGGTCCTTAACAGAATACGGCACCTAATATTCAGGATACCCAAAAAGGGACCATAATTTTGACAACTACCCAATATAAAACCAGAACCTGTGGACCAATCTACGCCAAAAGCTCTACGCTTTCAACCCTCAGCGCCAGACCCATCTCCCAGCTGGGTCGTTGTCAAAATTAGGGTCCCTTTTTGGGTATCCTAAATATTAGGTGCCGTATTCTATTAGGGACCCAAAAGGGGCCATAATTTTGACAACCACCCATCTAAACCCTGGGCGCAAAACTCCAAACCCTTCACCCTAAATCCTAATGCATGGAACACTACAGTAAACTATCAAACCCTGAACCCTGGACCCTATACTCCAAACCCCAATCCTTAAACCCTGCACCTTAAGCCCAGAACCCTAAACCCTAAACCCCACACCTCAAGCCTTAAACTGTCAAACTTAGGAGTTGACCTTGGAGTATGGGCCGCTGGAGGGTATCCTTCGCTTCGTTCCCTCGGCCGGGGATCCTGGGACGAGCGGGATTAAACTCAGGGTTTAGGGTTTTAGGGCTTAGGGTTTAGGGTTTAGGGTCTTTAAACTCACATCAATCTCCATTTCTCGATTTGGGGTCTTTCTTAATGTCCCTTATTGATGTATTGAGCTCTAATTGTACATAATTTGGGATCCTAAGAAGAGGTGCTCACACGCCTTTGTTGTTGGGTTTACACTTTAGTGCTCTTAGGAATTGAGTTCTAGGTTGTTCTTTTTTTGGCACAGAGAACGAGGATCATTAAGCATACTGATTTTCTTATGGCTCTAACTTCTATAGCGCTTAAGTACTAGGGTTTAGGATGTAGAGTTCAGGATTTAGCTTCTTCTTATCGTTGCCAAATACAACGTCATAATGGTTCAGTATCCAGGTTTGGGAATGCCGGGTGCCCAAGGCAAAAAGAACAACACTAAGTTGCAAGCGTTGCCATTTTCGTCATGACGACGGCAGGACATGAGAACAGAGCATGCGGTTTCGAGTCCTAAAACGATGCATGCGGGTTGCTGAGGTGCAGTCTGCTCTTTCCATTGCGAGTTTGTCCTTGGGATGAAGCCTAGACAACCTGCACATTTCCTTCAGGGTTCAGGGTTTCGGGAGCCGGAACCCTCAAAGCCCAGACCCTAAACCCGTAGCTTCTAAACTGCAAGAAGCAGAGCAACCGCAGTCAGCGGATTTGTTTTTCGGAGCCGGGCCCCCCCAGAGACAGCCGAGTCATTGGGTCAACATAATTCGCAATTACGGTCCTGTTGGGGACAGCAGGTATCGATTTAGGATCTCATTATCAGTAGTTTTGGGGACTGTTGAAATCGACTCCTAGATTCCTAGATGTATAATTAGATCATATGCTGTCAAAGTCCTTATATATGTGGTCTTAGGGTTTAGATTTAGTGCACAGGGAAATCATGCCATGATGGATGCCGCAACCCCATTCTGATCGTTCAGGCTTCTAAACTTTACCCATCCAAGACTTGACACCTGAACCCCAAGCCCTAATTGCAGGATCCGTGGACTTAGTAAACAAGGTTACAAGCTTCTTGCTTGGGGTCGTGAGTGCTTCGAACTTACGATGCATTGCTCATAACCCTACTTACTTCCTGTCTTGCAAGCTGCAAGTAGATCCCCAACCTCCCGAGCCACGGAAACTTGAGCCGCAAAGCCTGACAACAGATCCCCGGCTGCATGACCATGTTCACCTTCATCAACAAGTCTGCAGCTCAGAGACCAGAGTGGAACGTGACGTGAGGTTTAGGGTTTAGGGTTTATAGGGTTTAGGCTTTAGGGTTTATACAGGGTTTAGGGTTTGGGGTTGAGGGCGAATGGGACGTGACGTGAGGTTAGAGACGGGTGGTTGTAGAAAATGCAAAATATAGATTACCGCTGAAGCCACGTACGTATAAACGTAGGTATGTGCGTACGTATATGTTCGTAAGTACATACAATATACATACGTAACGAACGTCCGTCCATCCATCCGCCGTCCGTCCGTCCATCCATCCATCCATCCATCCTTCCATCCTTCCATCCCTCCATCCATGCATCCATGTATCCCTGCATCCATGCATCCATGCAGCCAGCCCGCCAGCCAGCCAGCCAGCCATCCAGCCATCCAGCCATCCAGCCATGCAGCCATGCAGCCATCCATGCATCATGCATCCATGCATCCAAGCATCTTTGCATCCATGCATGCAGCCAGCCAGCCAGCCAGCCAGCCATCCAGCCATCCATCCATCCAGCCATCCATCCATCCATCCATCCATCCATGCATCCATGCATCTACCCAGCCAGCCAGCCAGCCATCCAGCCATGCATGCATGCATGCATGCATGAAGGCCCGCACGTGCCGGCACATGTGGATAGAAGCCTTATGCTTTCATGTGATCCTAAGTCGTTGGTAGGCCGGAAGTGGCTTGTTAATTGGATTTGAGGGTTTGGACGTTCCCGCCATCTGACTGTTGCAGTAGCAGGTCCCAGAGCAACAGAAGCCGTACTTGTGTGAGCTTCCAATCTATATGCTGTTTTCGACGCCCTAGAGAACAAGAGCGATGATGTCCAGTGTCTGGAGTGTCGCAGTTTCCGGTGTCTGACATGTATAAAACTGGCTGCAAACCCCTAGCCCCAAACCACAAACCCTAAATCCCAATCCTTAAGCCCTAAACACCAAACTCTAAATCCCTGAACTGCGTGGCTCAGGTCCATTGCCTCGGGTGTGCAGGCGCACCCGGCATTGCGATAGCAGAGTTTACTTAGAGGATCATGGGACTTAGTAACTAGGGTTATAATTAGGGTAACTATACTCATAATCCCAATGAAGGTACTTATAACCTTACTTACTAAGTCCCATGATCCTCCAAGTAGGGTTAGACTTTGAGGCCTGGAAACGGTGGCGGAGGGCTTCATGGATAGAGGCGATCCCAAAGGAACTGTCGGGTCTTCCATGATTCGTATGCTTGGGTTTTTGATGCTTAGTTCGGAAAAACTTTTAAAGTGCAACCCTGACGGAGAATTTGTCTTACTACCGAGCGCCAGTTGGAAGAAGCTTTGTCACATGTAGCAGATAGATAGTAGAAGCTTGCACTTGCAAAGTCTTGGCCGAGAACGCTTCGCGACTTCGCGGTGTAAGGTCGAGCGCTCATGACTGCCCAAACCCTGAAAAACCCCAAGTCCTAAACCCTAAACCCTAAATTCTAGACCCTAAACCCGAGGCCCTAAACACCCAGCCCTGAAATGACCCAGGCGAGAAACCGTCGTCATTTTTTAGGGTTCTGGGTTTTAGTGGTTTCAGGATTGAGGGTTTGGGGCTCAGCTTTTCGGGCTGGACGGTTAGGGGTTTAGGTTCTGGGCTCTTAGGGTAAATGTGCTCCAACCCTACAACAGGGCCTTCAGCCCTAGTAGACATTACCCTAAACCCTAAACCCTAAACCCTAAACCCTAAACCCCTTGTTTTCCATAGCTTAAAAAGAGCCCTTAGAGTTCCTTCAAAGGAACCCTTAAAAGGTTCCTTTAAGTGAACCCTTAAAGGGGTTTAGGGTTTAGGGTTTAGGGTTTAGGGTTTAGGTTTTAAAGGAACCTTATATCAGAGGAACCCGCAAATATTGCAGGAAGCCGGGTTCAGAGTTCGGCGGTTGTGCCACCAGAGCAACACCAAGAGACCCCTCACCCCTGAACCATACAGTAGAAGCCAGAAAGTCGGAACATGGATTTAAGAGGATTAGTGCTAGGATCCTTACCTTAAGGGCATGAGGAGTTTAATGTTCCAACTTTCTGGGTTCTACCATAAGGGTCAAAGGAGGGACCCTTAATAGGGACCCCTAGGTATATACCCTTAATATAGCTAGTAAATACCCATTATACAGCCCATTATAGGGTAGGGCGTTCCCCATTAAGGGTCCCTCCTTTTCCCCTTTGAGAAACCCTACCCCTCAATCGACAACAGGAGACCATGGTCACCGGCGAAGCGTGGCTAGCCAAGACTTCGGCAGAACTTTGCGGTCTCAGCAGCTTCGTACTTGGTGTAGTACAAATTATACTGTAATGTTGTATTGTATCATATATTTCATAATCTACCATACTCTAAAGCAGGTGTAACATAAACTTTACTGTAATGTAGTATATCGTCACATCTTGCAATATTACCATATCATAATTATGTAGGAGCCTGATTAAGGAACCTTGGGCCTCTACCCCCCCCCCCCCAAATAGTAGGATTCATATAAGGAACCCTAATAAGAGCCCGTGGTTTCTTAATCAGGTTCCTACATCACAGCGTGCTATATTGTGTGGTGTTCTTCCAGGATCTGCTAGTCTGCGGTGTGTGAGAAAGCTGGGGGTCAATGTCTAGGGTTTAGGGTTCAGGGGTTAGGGGTAAGGGTTTAGGGTTTGGGGTTTAGGGTTTAGCGTTTAAGGTTTAGGGTTTAGGGTTTAAGGTTTAGGGCTTAGGGTTTAGGGTTTAGGGTTTCTCATCATGACTTGGCGTTCTCCTGGTGGGCTCTTGGGACTTTAACTTTTTAGGTTTCTATATCAACTATAATTAGGAGGCTACAAGTCGAACTTCTAGTTGGGAGGGTTCAGAAGTCAGCCAATAGTTAAAGTGTCTACCCCGTCCCGTCAAGGATCTGAGACTTCTGGCGTAGACCCAACCACAACTAACACAGCGGCTGGAACAACTTTTACGAGTATTCCTTTATAGCCCTTACGCTGTGATAGTGTAATCTACCCCAACCACTGTTCGAATGATTCAGGCCCCTACAGTAACGGAACCCAATCCGTGCCAGGTCCTACATAGCAACTGGCCGCCCCAACGTCTTGCCGGCACATATCGGACACGGCTTTCGCCGACTACCAGCTTCACTGTGTTTTTGCTTTCGTTGTTCAGGGCTTTAGGGTTGAGAGGATGGGCATGCGTGCGTTGATGGTGCCTTTGCTGTACAGCGACCTTTGTGTGTGTTGTGGGGTGCAGAGCTCTGCACACCTCCTACATGGCAGGCGAACACGCACTACAGCTGGAAGGAGTGTTATTTCATTCACTGCAGGGGCCTCGACGTGGGGCACTTCTGCTTGCCTTGACAAAAGAGCTGTCAGTCTTGCTTCTGGAGGTTTACCGTGAGTAAGACTGACAAGATAAGCATCAGCAACACAAATACTTTTCTTATTCGTCGTCATGTTGGGAACTCAGACCAAGTACCACCGCTAGGACGGCTCGCTACTACTACTCTGGCTCCTCCTACTGCTACTACCACTGTGATTAAGAGAACGACTTGGACTTCGACGACAGCGAGGACGACGGCTGCGACTGCGACTACGATAACAGACTACTGCTGCGACCACGACCGTGAGTAGGAACCGGGACTTGGACTACAGGACTAGGACTAGAGCGGCTGTTGCTACGGATCCCACTGCGACCAGCGCCACGAACGTCGCCACAACGGCAAGGGTCGTGATCACGACGATGACGAGGACAGGACGAGAACGACGGCGATTTCCAGAGCGATTGCGCGGACGAGGATCAGGACGAAGACGGCTGCTGTTACTATGATGATCAGTATTTGCAAAGGTTTGCTGCGAGGTCCTTCATGCTCACAGCCTCGCAACACTGAGGTTCCAGCCACTACTATCCGGCGCTCAGGATCTTCATAGGCAGCTTGGGCATGTTGCGGCTTCGGGTTTGTAGGGTTTTCGGCCAGATTGAGGCATGTTCGCAGGATGCTTTTCGCAAGGGGTAGTGGCTTAGTGCTGCTCTGGCCTGCCACATCCAGCAGCCCAGAATCTGAACCTGGTTCCAAGATTCTGCTTCCGTGCGAGTGCAACCGGGACTGCAGGAATCGATGTGTAGGTCTGTCAAACCCTAAACCCCTAAACCCCCAAAACCCTAAACCCTAAAACCGAAACCCTAAACCCCGAAACCCCTAAACCCTAAACCCTAAAACCGAAACCCTAAGCCCCGAAACCCCTAAACCCTAAACCCTAAACCCTGGATGCGACTTGGGCTTGGTTCTTGCTCCTCGCATGCTTCAGGCTACTCAATCTACGTCTTGGTGTCGCAGGCACGCTGCTCTCACAAAGATCGATGACCCGAGCCGCACCAAGCCTTGATGTCGCCCATTTTTCTGGATCTTGCCAAAGGAAACCTACAATAAGTACTATCAAAAGAACTTATATACCCCAATACCATTCGAAATCTCATGGCCCATGCATTATTGCCTTCATGTTGGCTGAACAGTAAACCAGAAGTTTCGAGTTTAGTGGTTCAGGGTTTAGGTAACCCATACAAGCCCCAAGTAGCATCAAAAGTTAGAGAACAAGTAAAGAGCCTGCATAGCTGGGAAAGGTTGAAACGCATTGCCTCCCGCCCATTGTTTGCTTGAGACCTGAAACCCTAACTAGGATGCCCAGTAGTACCCTTATTCCTTTTTTGTAGTCCTAGGTTCCTTATAAAGTTACCCAATACCAAAAAGAGAGGCCTTTTTATTCTTAGGTTACTGGGTATCCTAGCTAAGGCCTACAGGCCTTCTACAGTCCTGAACCTGAGCTCTTCTTAAGAAAACCAAAGTTACCATAAGAAGGAAACCCCGTTAGCTACTGTAGATCCCTATAGGGCTTATTTAACCTCCTTAGCAAGACCCCAGGAATGGCTCAGAGTCATTGGAGGCCAAGAAGGGCTTCAGCAAATGGGTTTTGTTCGTGGGAAGCAGGGTCCTGATAGTTAGGATCACGTTAGGGAATCCGAACCCTACATCCTTCCACCCTAAACTCCACACCCTAACGGCCCTAGTTCTTAAAAGGACCTCTATAAACCCCTACTCCAAGCAGTATAGAACCCTTAACGAATCATTGGGGCCTCGGCATCCGGAGCTAAACCCTAAACCCTCAACCCTAAACCCTAAACCCTAAAAAACCTACCTCAGCACAGAAAGAAGCCATTGCACTTTAAATAAAAAAACCTACCTAAACCCTCTATCAGGCCCAGGGCTTCTCGACACTTCCGATGATGGTCCTGCTTGCGTCGGCGGTGATGTGGCGACTTCGCTGCAAGAGACGACGAGTTTGAGGTCGAATAGTTGATTCTTGGCGTTCTTCTGGTTGGCTCTGAGGACATTGTTTTTTTGGGTTTCTCCTTAAACCATAAAAAGGGGGCTAAAAGTATATCTTTTAGGAGGGGTTCAGAGGTCAGCCAAGGATTGAGAAGATGTAACCGCAGTTTCCCAAACCAATGCACTTCTCAAGATGATCAGACTTATGATGCAGAGGCACGCAGACAATAATATAGGGGTCGGAAGACTACGCCCGGGATTGGAGCTCAGGACTAAGGGTCTCGGGTTTCGGCTTCAAGTTTAAGTTTTTGTGGAGTGAAGCGGGGGCTCATGTGAAAAGGTTTACGCTTCAGGGCTTCTTTCGGAATGAAGGGGAAGGGACGGGGTCCCAGGTTTTCTAAGACTCCCCTTTATGCGCGTGTAGGCTTCAAGGGTTCTGGCAATTCGGGTGTTGGGCCTTGAAATCCTGCACCCCAGACCCCAATTTGGGACTCCATAAGCTTCAAAACCTTAAGCCTGAAATCCTGAACCCTAGACCCTAAGTGAAGAAAGTCGTGAACTTGAGGACTGCTCCCAAACACAAACCCGGCAAGCCCGAACCCCAGAAGGCCCACACCAGACTCACCACCTTGCAGAGAGCTGAAGTTGTTCATGCTTACTTTGAGGTTTTCATGGGTGGTTATAAGTGGGGCTATAAGTCTCCTAATATGGGTTATAAGTATGGTTACCTTACTTATAACCCCACACATAACTACCCATGAACCTCCAAGTACCTTGCAGAGAGCTGAAGTTTTAATGCTTAGTTCTTAAAGAGCTTGGGCTTGAAATGCAGGTTAAGAAAACGAACCTCAAACTTAAGTAGCATGCCCCCATGAAAGGTCTGTGCGATCACTGTACACTACATGCCACAATTTCGTCGCAGATCCCATATAGTTGCCTACTACTTTACTGTGTGCCGAACCTACATTGTGGACCGTCGGTACAAGATTTTAAGAGTTGGCAAACAGGTTGATTGCGCCGATACTCTTCTGCCCGCAGCCCACGCTGCCGCGGCCTCAGATCTCCCCTTACATGGTCTTGACGCGCCCAATGCCCCGAAGCCCTACTTGGAGGTTCATGGGTAGTTATGAGTGGGGCTATAATTAGGGCAACCAGTAACCCATATTACGGGACTTATAACCCTATTTACAACTACCCATGAACCTCCAAGTGGACCATGAGAGAACTGTAGACTCACAGTCTTGGGAACAAGTAGGTTTTGTTTGTTCTTTGTGCAATTAAGGGCAACTTTATCCAAAGCAAGTTAAAGCCCTGAAATCACCCTAAACCCTAAACCTATAAACCCTAAACCCTAAAACCTAAGAACCACTTGCAGCTTCTGAGTCGGCGGCGTGCTTCGGGACGGTGAGCTTCGGAGTTTGGGTGCAGATAGGGTTTAGGGCTTTAGGGTTTTAGGGTTTTGGGCTTAGGGTTCAGCGGTTCAAGTTTTTTCTGAAGTTTTTCGGGCTGAGGGATAGGACGGCGCCTTCTGGGGAGGTAGGCCTTGACCGCTTCATTGCAAGTATCTCTACAAACCTAGGCCGGCAACTCTACGTCAACCCGTCAACCCTCAACGGTGGACCCTGAAAACTACCAAACCACATCAAACCCATTCAAGACATGCCTTCTAAGATCACCAGACTTAGGTCGTAAGTATTTTGATTCGGGTCATAAGTAGTTCTAGTGTGCCCTACGTGCAACCCTTAAATGCCCGATTGAAACCCTACTTAAAACAGAAGAGAAGCCTACGCCCCCTAAACCCTAAACCCCTAAACCGTCTCTCCCAGGGCATCTCTAGGCCAGCGCCTGAGTTCGTTTGAGCTCACACAGGGTCCTGTTTGGCCGGAGGGCTTTGGGGTGTTGTTTTGGTCTAATGTAGGAACCTGATTAAGCAAGCTTGGGCCTTTATGAGGGTTCCTTTCATGAATCCTACTGTTTTGGGATTATAGGCCCAGGGTTTCTTAATCAGGTTCCTACATTAGGGTTTAGGGGCCTAGGCCCAGGTGTCTGTCTTTGTTTATGGGTATTCTTCCGCTTCTTCTTATGAACATTATTGTTAGTATGATCGTTTTTCTTTTTTTGGAGAGGCTTGTTCTGTTCTGGATTTTGTCATAGAACTGAAGGGGAACGGGTTTTTCGGCCTGAACTTGAGCGTATCAGCTCTGGCGTTTGGTTCAGTATCTGGTGCTTGTGGGGTTCAGGGTTTAGGGTTTAGGGATCAGGGATTGTCCAAGTAGTTGTTACCTTTGACATGCCCCGTATTAGCACAAAACTAGGTGGTACTTTGGGATGCTTCCCCATTTCCTTGAATGGTTTGTAAGAGTAGGTTTTTTGAATGAGTTTTGTGGAGCCCTCTGAAGCTACAAGCCAGATAGAGCATCTCTCGAGCTTACAGACATCACGTAGGGGGGGCCTTATTATTTAGAATAGGGTTTTGGGGTTCCTTGTTGTAGTTACAGTATCATACACCCCCGAACCCTATTCCAATGATTAAGGCCCCTACTCTAAACCCGTATAGTCGTCCTTATAGTAATCGTTATAGCTCCCTTATCAGGAACCCTATTCTAATTATTAAGGCTTCTACATTATAGAACCCTACTGTAGATCCGGTCCAGAACCCTTGAAAGGAACCCTTTAAAGGAACCCTATTCTAATTATTAAGGCCTTTTAAAGGCCCCTACAGTAGCCGTCGGAGGCCATGACTTGAGCGAGTTCTGGCAGTTTGCCATTGCTGCGCCCGACTGGTCCGCGGCGCCCTCAAGGTTGAAGCGGACGTTAGAGTTTAGGGCTTCAGGGTTTTGGAGTTTAGGGGTTTAGGGTTTAGAGTTTTAGGGGTTCAGGGTTAAGGGTTTAGGGGTTTCGGGGTTAGGGTTTTAGGGTATCAGGGTTTAGGGTTTAGGGTTTCAGGGTTTAGGGGTTCATGGTTTAACTAGGGTTTAGGGGTTTAGGTCGAAGCTTCAAGCGGTAAGCTAGGGGCCTAAATGATTACCACTACTTTTCCGGGTTCCAGTGTTATTAGCATAATGTACTCTACCGCTAGGAATCTCATCGGCTGCCGGTATTTTTTCTGATCCGCCTTGGTGGACGGAAGTATATGTAGTTAATAACCTTGTTATTAGTGTGTCTAACTGTTGTTAGTATTGCTACTGTAATGTTCAACTTTGTTGTGCTTTATTTGCTTTCAGCACTTTACATCCAGCCTCGACCTGACAAAAAAAACATGTTGCCCTTAATTTGCAACCGCTGCCAGCACCTTGAAACCGAGATCCTGTTTTCGAAACCCTGAAACCCTAAACCGTAAACTTTCCGGGAAGCGAAAAGACATTTCTGGCAAACGCCCTCACTTTTAGGGCCAGGTTCCCACCGAGAGGCTTGGTTGAACCGAAGCTTAAGCCCGAGCCCAGACGCGACACCCCTAGACTCAAAATCCTAAACCGACATAAATCCTGCATTACCCATAATAAGGAATGCACCATAGTTCCCATAGTCCAGGGCCATTAAGGTATCAGCCCTGTCAGCCCTAAACCCTGTAAACCCCTTAACCCTATAAGCCCTAAACCCTACTTAAAGGGTCATGGGGCTTTGTAACTAGGGTTATAATTAATCAGGGTAACTATACTTATAAGCCCAATTAAGGTGCTTATAACCTTACTTACTAAGTCCTATGATCCTCCATGTAAAGCCTTAGCGTATCACCCCAAGCCCGAAGTCAAGTCGCAATCCTACTCGGAGCATCCGGGGACTTGGTGAGCGAATGCTGGACTTATATGTCCTTGGCGTGTTTTATGATTTTACTATATATGTATACATACATACATACATACATATATATATATATATATATATATGTATGGGTGGTTGTCGAACTTAGGGTCCCTTTTTGGGTCCCTCATATAGTACGGCACCTATTAATTAGGGTACCCCAAAAGGGACCCTAATTTTGACAACCACCTATATATATATATATATTTATGTATATATATATACACATACATACATACATACACACACACATTATACTATACTAATGCTATGCATGATATACTTTACGTTATCATACAATACCATATAATACCATATAGTATACTATTCTATGATACAGTTTAAGATAGTATAACTTGATGTAATGTCACATAATATACTAGAAACCCCAGGCCCCAGACCACACGTAAAGTCTAGACCACAGATCCTAGATTATAGACCCTGTGCCCCAAACCGCTGAACTTGGAAGTCACCCGAAAGCTCCGAGGTTAGAACTCTCAGCCGGCAGCTGGGGTCCAAAGACACGGAGGCTGTTCCGAGGGTGTTTGAATTTGGGGCAAGTTGAGGCAAAAGGTTACATGGTTTCGAGATTTAGGGTCAAGGATTACGGTTCAAGGTTCGGGGGTTGGGTGTAGAGGCTGTGAGTTTAGGAGACGGAGAGTGTTTGGAGCCAAGACTTGAATCATAAAGTGGGCGTATCTTCTGGTGAGCCCTAAACGGCCCTAAACCTCAGGCCCCAAACCCTTGCAACTCCGATCTTACCTCAGGAGCACCTCCGCACCGGCTTGCGAGATCCGCGATCCACTCTCTACGAGCGGCTTGGTGAATCTTCATTTCGGCGATGTGAGGGTAGACGCTTAGGTAGATACGGCTGGATGGGCACATGCAGAGGTTTTGCAAGGATTAGTCAGCCACCTGAATGCTACCTGTCTGGCTGGACAGAACAATGGCATCGTATAGTCAAGTTACACTAGAGTCTCCCTAGACCTTGTTCAATGAATCACTGATAGGCAAGGATTCTTCCTGCAGGCATTACGTCTTCAAGCTGCTGGTGTATGACAAAAGAAGCGCGACCACTCAGACTGCCACCTCATCATGGTTGCTGCCACCACTGCAGTTCTACTCCACACTGCCCATTGACGTCGTTACCCTGCATTTTCTTAACATTTCCATAAGCGCACCCGGCTCAGTGCAGCTTTCATGTACCTTTCGTAAACCCTGAACCTGAAGCGATAAACCCCAACGCCTGAAACGTAAAGCCTAAGTTCTAAACCCTAAACCCTAAACCCTAAACCCTAAACCAAAAAAAAAGACCCCTCTATCTTAAGCCTTAGATCCTCAGCTTGAAACCCCAAGCCAGGAAGCCTGAATCCTAAAACCTAAACCCTCGAGGTTTTGGCTGCTGAAAGCTTTGGAGCACAAGAAGTTCTCCTGCTTTCAGAGGGACGGGGCCTCGGGATGTTGTTCGGGTTTAGGGTTTCAGGCTCAGGGTTTAGGCTTTCGGGTTTCAGGATTCGGATTCAGGTTTAAGGTTTAGGGGTCAGGGTTTAGGGTTTAGGGGGTTTGTTGGGGATCTTGAGGTGCTTAGGCTTTTGGGGTGCTTTGGCTTCTTGAAAGCATTTTAAGGAATCCTTTGTGGGGATCTCTAGGCGTTCTAGGCGGGTTTTGAGAACGGCTCTTAGTTTTGAGGTTTAGGGTTTGAGACTTGAGGGTCCCCGAGAATCGGGGGTCGGGTGCAAACTACAGGTTTAGGGTTTAGGGTTTAGGGGTTTAGGGTTTAGGGGTTTAGGGTTTAGGGTTTAGGGTTTCAGGCTAACCACACGGGTCGTATGTTTTGGGATATAGGGGCCTCGTGCGATAAGTGTTCCCAAGCCTTATTTGCGAGTTCGCCTCTAGCAGGTGTACGTGGGAAGGCCACCGGCTTCTAGTGAGGGCTGGGAGGGTTTGTATTTTCCCTAAACCCACGAGTTAATCTTTCCTAAGCACAAAGCCAGGAAGCCCTGAGCTGGAATCGTACTATAGGGGCCTAAATAGTTGCCAACACTATTTGGGGTTTCCTTATCATAACTACAGTATAATGGGCCCACAAATCCTGTTCTAATTATGAAGGCCCCTATACTACACCCTTATAGTAGCCCACCCCTTTAGAAGGAACCCTTTAAAGGAACCCTATTCTTATTATTAAGGCCCCTATATTATAACCTTCGAAGAATTCCAGCGCTGCCAACGGCCTACAAGTCCAGAAGACCTCAGCGTCTTAGCCCTGCAACGAGCCTTGGAGCTGCTTGTAGGGCTGCCCTAGTCTCTGACTTTCGGGGGTTCAGAGTTGAGGCTTCAAGGTGTAGGGTTGAGAGCTTAGTTCAGAGTTCAAGGTTCAAGGTTTAGGGTTAGGAGTTTAGAGTTTAGGGTGACCTTGATCTGCATCCTAGGCCTAACACTCTAGAGCCTAACACCCTTATTCCCTAACCCCCGGAACCCATGAAGACCCGAAGTCTCGACCACAGAGCTCTGAACCCCTCCCGAGGTCGGCTTTCTCTTGTTGGAGATACTTTGCCGCCAAGCTTCACCACGAGAGTAAGGGGGATGGTCTTTGGGTTCAGGTCTTTGTCTAGGTTGTGAAGAATGGAGAGGCACAAAGAGTCTGCTTGAGTGCGAGCATGCAGTTTGGCATGATCCATACTTGCGAACATGCAGCCTTCCTGTCATGACCCTAAAGCTTAAAAACCCGAAACCCTAGACCTTAAGCCCATGCACCAAGGTGTGGTCTTTCTCCTTTCGGTTGTGTACAGTCTGCCTGGCAGCATTATCGGCTTCGCTCGGCTCAGCTATTCGCAGCTCGATGTGTCACGTAGCACTGATTAGGGTTTAGGGTTAAGGGTTTGGGCGTTCAGGGTTGAAGAGTTCCCAGAGACTCCGAAAGCCTTTAAAGCAAAGGTGGGTCGATCTGAAATCATTTACAGGATCCCTTGTTGATTTAAGCTATGTTTCCAGAATAGGGAATTTTGGGCGGTCCAGCTGTTCAGGTTGTGATTATTTGGCCGGGGCTCAGGAACGACCTTTCAAGAGCAGCGCCCCGCGCCCTCTGTGCCAGGTTCTCTGTTGGACGACATTTGGCTAGTTGCCTGAGCCTTACAGTGGCTTTGGGTTCAGGGTTTAAAGGGCTTAGTGATTGCAGGGTCTAGGGTTTGGGGTTAAGGGTGTTCGTGGCATTTCTAGCGAACCAGCATATGGTAGCCCTTACAATCACTAACCCTTCTACAACCCAACCCCCAAGCCCAAAACCCCAAACCCAAAGCCGAAGCCCTCATGAGTGTAGCCCTTGTAAACCCCAGAGGTCACAACCCTAAACCCTAAACCCTAAACTCTAAACCCGAAAGCCCCAAACCCTAAACCCTAAACACTGCTTAGAGGTTCATGGGTAGTTATAAGTGGGGTTATAAGTAGGGTAACAATTGCCATAATTATATATAATATAACCCATGTTAGGGGACTTATAACCCACTTATAACTACCCATGAACCTCCAAGTAGGCCCTAAACCCTGTACCCTTATAGAATCCCTATAGATCCCCTTAAAGGGACCCTTAAAGGAACCCTGATAACTACCCCTGAACCTCCAAGTATTGGTCGCTACGTCCTGCAGACCCAGAGCACTGGAAGCCCTTGGATTAGGGTTTAGGGTTTAGGGCTTGGGGTTTCGGGTTTAGGTCTTTGGGTTTTGCGGGTTTAGAGTTTATAGGGTCTGGGGATGCAGCGGCCGCGGAATGTGCAGAAGTCTTCAGCAGGTCTAGAGTTTAGGAAACCTGAGCCCTATACCTTTCTTCTTCTGCAGATTACGGGCTACTAGACAAATATCTCCCTCAGCGCTGAGCCTAGGAATTGTGTGTTCCTTGCAACTAACAACAGGCTGTTCAGTGGTACACTTTTTTACTTTCAGGTTTCTGGGTTCCTATTATAAACTATGAAGCCCCAAAAAGTATATACTTTTCTCCAGTGGGTTACGGAACAGCCTAGACTAACAGGGAGGGCACCGCCAAGAGACCTAAGGCCCTAAGGCCGCTAGACCACCTAAGCCGTGTTGCGAAGTTCCTCGTAGTAGAGTACCCATAGGCCCCAAAGTAGTTCCTTTTCGGGATTACCTTATAGGATTCTTAATATGAACCCCCAAAAGGACCTACTTTGGGGCCTCAGGGTAGGCAACCTTTAACCTTTTTTGGGGGAGTATAGTCCCTATAGCCAAAACGATTCACGCCCTTAGCTCCCCATGATACCCGACAAGAATTTTTTTTAGTTCGTGCAGCTGAGATACAAAGATGAAATCCGTTTCAGAATGCCCCCACCGGTTGGGGCCTAGGCCCTAAACCTTTCAAGCCCAAGACGCAAAATCCCTAAGGCCGTGAAGCCCCAAACCCAATGTCCCTGCACTCCCACATCCCAAAACCCTAAACGCACAAGCGCCTAACTTGGTACCCTAAACCCAAAACCACTAAACCCTAAACCCCAAACCCCTTCCGAGATACTTCTCTACAGTATCCACTACCTGCCGGGATTCCGAGCTCTGTTGTCTGGGTGTGCGTCATAAGGGTACTCAGAGAGCCGAATACCCATTAATTGCTGAATATGCCTTAAATGATAGGGCTGATAGGGGGCTTGACATGTTGATTTCAGGTATATTCCTTCCTTACGGGGAAAGGGGCTCTTTGGGTTCCATAACGGTACTACAGGGGCAGCATACGAGTATTACAATGGGTACTATAGGGGCATTATATGGGAACTACAGGGGTTTGGGGTTTGGGCTTTCGGGTTTTGGGTCTGAGATGTAGAAGTTTCAGGTTTAGGGTCACGTTCAGGTTTTAGAGTGTGGTGTTGAAGGTTCAGGGCCTCATGAACATGTAGGCCTCTCCTGGTTCAGGGTTTCGGTTTTAGTGTTTTGGGGTTAGGGTTTGGAGTTTAGGGTTTAGGGTTTAGGGGTTCAGTGTTTTGGGGCAAGGGTTTGGAGTTCAGGATTTCGGTTTTGGGTGCTTCCCGGCTCCAGGTTTCGGTGTGCTGCCTTTTGACTTTACCAAGGTCAGCTCCTTAAACACTTACCCCAACGGTTCAGGGTCTAAGCTTCAGGGTTCAGGGTTTCGGGGTTTAGGGTCTAGGGGTTTAGGAGTTTAGTGGTTTAAGGGTTTAGGGGTTTAGGGTGTAGGGGTTGAAGCTTTAGGGTTCAGGGTTTAGGCCCTAAACCAAAATTTCCCTAACCATTACCCTATTCACCCTAAACCGTCAAAGGTTATAACTTTTCTGAGCAGCTCGTTTCTGGAAGCGGGCTCGATGTCCCGACTGAGTTTCAGGGCGAGCTCCGGGTGCAAGGTGCAAGCAGGAGGTCCGAAGGCCACTTGGAGGATCATGGGACTTAGTAAGGGTTCTTAAAGGTCTCCTCAGAGGGATCTATAGGGTTCCTTAAAGGGATTTATAGGGTTTAGGGTTTGGGGGGGTCGAAGGGTCATGGGACTTAGTAAGTAAGGTTATATACCTTCATTGGAGTTATAAATATGGTTACCCTAATTATAACCCTAGTTATTAAGTCCCATGATCCTTTAAGCATGAAAGCCCGAATCCCAGAAATCCCGGTTTCGGGTTCAAGGGCAAGGATTGCCTGTACTGTTCCTTAAAGGGGTGGGGTTCAGGGTTTAGAGATTCAGGGTTTACAAGGGAAAACGGAAAAGGGTGTAGCCCTCAAAACATACACCGGAAACCACCTTTCGGAAGCAGGCGTGCTCTTTGAATTGGGGTTGCTTATAGGCACACTATTTTGGAGGTGGAGAGGACGGTGGCCAGGCCATGTCCCTGTTGAAGACGATTCGCCACAACGCCATCTCTCAGTTCGTCCGGACATTCACAAAGAAAGCCTTCTTGGTGATCCCTGCGCCGGGAGCGCAAGACCGCAGAAGGCCGTATAACGGCCGCGCAGAAATTCGGGTCCCTCAGGAAGAGCATGAATTTCATGTCATGCCCCTGGATGTGCAATGGTGAGGCCTTTGCATCGGGCCCTTCACCCTTGCCTGGATTGCGGGCCAGAAGCCCGATTAGCCTCCGCGGTCGGCCTAGGACCGCGGCATGACGATGCTCAACGCGACACGAACCATGCGATAGCCCACTGGTGCGTCCTTTTCGGTCTCGCCTGTCTTGCCGTCTACAACGTGGACGACGTCGAGACCAACATACCTCCCGCATTCTTGGGCCAGTACGAGCGGAAGATCGGCGTGAGATTCGCTGGGATGTCGAAGCAGTCACAACACCAGAATATGAGTGTTCTGTAGAAAAATGATATACTCCAAGACCCTATTCCGATGATCAGGGCCCCTACTTAAAAAATCATGGGACTTAGTAACAAGAGTTATAATTATGGTCACTATACTTATAACCCCAATGAAGGTACTTATAACCTTACTTACTAACCCATGATCCTCTAAGTATATTCAAGGGTTTAGGTGTTAGCCGGTTTCGAGTCCCGAGTTAGAACAGCGCGGGGTCGAGGGTTCGGAGCATATCAATCGGGTTGTAGGTCACGAATTTTGAAGCGGTTTAGTGTTTAGGGTTCAGGGCTCAGAGGCTCAAAGGGTTGAGGGTTTAGGGGTGGAAGTAATCAAAGTTGAAGCTACCGTACTTATGACCCGAGTTACTACATCCCTGTTCCTTTGAAGCCTCTTGAACCCTCGCAGACCCTAAACCCGAACTTCGAAAACATGGAGCAGGCTGATGGAGATCTGGCGACTGCTCTATCGGCCGACAGCATCCTGTCAAAATGAGTAAGGGTTTGGGGGTTTGGGGTTTAGGGTTGAGGGTTTAGGGGTTTAGGGTTTAGGGTCTGTGGGGTGAAGGGGTTGGGGGTTTAGGGGGGTTTAGGGCTTTAGGGCTTAGGGTTTAGGGGTTAGGGTCTGTGGGGTTTAAGGTTGAGGTCTGGGGTGCGAAGGTTGCTTGATACAACAGGGGGCCTGCAGCGGGGGGGTCCTTGTACAAGGATTATACAGTTTGAGTTTAAGTCTGGGTTTAGGGTTTAGGGTTTCGGGGTTTGGGGTTGTTCTTTTGGTGAGTCGATTCTTCTTGTTTTTTTGGACTTGGGCGTTCAGGCGCGGGGATTGCCCACGTCTTGGTGTCTGACAAGGACTCTACGTATCATCCTAAGGAGTTATCAGGTCTCCCAACCCTTTTGCTCTTTTTGTGGCCTTAGTTCCCTACAAAACTGCCCAATACTGTACCAAAAGGGAGGCCTCTTCATTCCTAGGTTACTGGGGAGCGTGCGTTAGCGCTTGGAGCCTGAGCGGTTTCTGACTGAGACAGCTACTGCTCATTGCCACTGTGACTGATGCTGTCGCTTTTGACATTTCTACTGCACTGGGGATTGTAAGCCTCAGACCCTAAAACCCTAAACCCCAAACCCCTAAACCATAAACCCTAAGCCCTGCCATGAGATAATGTTCCCAATGTCGTGGACTGTAGTGAGTATTGCCGTGTCCATGGCTCTTCCCTGATGCTTTTTATGCGCAAGTTCTAGATTCTTGTGTGGGGGTTTTCCCGGTAGAGGACTGAACCCTAAATCAAGCAGAGGACAGGGGACTTTGTGTGTAAGGTCAGAGTAAGTGCCTTAGCATTCACGCTGCAAGGAAGCTTCAGTATGCTTACCTTGCTTGTCCCCGACACCCTAAACCCCTAAACCCCTCCACCCTAAACCCTAAACCCTAAACCCTATGACCCTACTTACTGAATCCCCTGGGCGTCTCAGTATGCAGTAGAGCTTTCTTGGGGCCGAGAGCCTCAGGTTCGGATTCGGAGCCCTCGTAGCTTTTTCCTACGTTCTGCACGGATCGGGGGCTATAGTGGGGTTTAGGGCTTATAGGTTTAAGGTTTAGGGCTTATAGGTTTAGGGTTTAGGGTTTACAGGTTTAGGGTTTGGGGTTTACAGGTTTAGGGTTTAGGGTTTACAGGTTTAGGGTTATAGGTTTAGGGTTCAAAGGTTTAGGGTTATAGGTTTTAGCATGCGGCGTTAGGGGTGACCGCAGCGTTTTTGCAGGTTTTTGCGTGTTTTCAGGCTTCGGGGTCTGGGGTGGGGGGGGGGGGGGGGCTTAATGACGAACCTGTTCTACTCTTAGCAGTTCTACTGCTGCTGATGCCTGCTGCCCTTTAGTGCTTTATGTTCGGAGTAGCTCTACTACTGCTGATGCCTGCTGCCCTTTAGTGCTTTATGTTCGGAGTAGCTCTACTACTGCTGATGCCTGCTGCCCTTTAGTGCTTTATGTTCAGACTAGCTCGACTAGCTCTACTATTGCTGATGCCTGCTGCCCTTTAGTGCTTTATGTTCAGACTAGCTCCACTACTGCTGATGCCTGCTGCCCTTTAGTGCTTTGGCACACAAAGCGAGCAAAGCGCGCTAAACAAGTCGCCTAGAGTTGCGTGAAGACCTGAAGCTCGTAACAACAACCACAGTTCTGCGAAGCCTTGAAGCTCTAAACAAGCAGCAACAAGAAGAAGAACGAACAACCACCACCACCACCACCACAACAACAACCACAACAACAACCACAACAACAACCACAACAACAACAACAGAACAAAACACAAAAAAAAACAACGTGAAAAAGTTTTCACTTTAAGGTGCTCGAGCAGTGTGTTGCCAAAATGCCACGCCAGCCAGTGTTTTCTACACATTGGCCTTCAAAGTCATGGAAAAAACGACACTTTTGACTAGTGGCTCCACACACTTCCAAACAGAAATGCGCAAAAACGCCGAAAAAAACAGCATTTCCAGAAACACACTGCAAACCCTCAATGCGCTGTCGCCGCGCGGTCGCGGTTGACGCCGCAACCAGGTTTTAGGGTTTAGGGTGTAGGGTCTATGACTGTGAACCTCGAGACCTCTTTGCCTTGAAAGTCTCAAGCACCCCAAACTACGATTGATGGTATAAATCCTGCATTACCCGTAAGAAGGAAGGTACTAGAATTCACATAGTCCAGTCTCATTGAGCAGAATAAGGAATTTAGCATAACTTCCATAGTCTAGAGTCATAGGCATATACCACTAGGGTCATTAAGCATAATCAGAAATATACCATAACTTAGCCTAGGGCCATTAAGCATAATAAGGAATATACCATACTTCCCATAGTCTTGGGTCATTAAGCATAGTCAGGAATATACCATAACTCCAATAGCCTAGGGTCATTAAGCATCATAAGGAATATACCATACTTCCCATAGTCTTGGGTCATTAAGCATAATAAGGAATACACCACAACTCCCATAGCCTAGGGCCATGAAGGTAGTGCAGGTAATATACCATCAACCGCATGTCCATGCAGGTTCTGACGCTGCTGACGACGGTGATGTGGCTGCTTGTGCCGGGCTCTCAGACGTTGAAGGGCTTCGGGTTTTTTCAGACCCGAAGCTGGCTCTAAACCCTAAGCCCTAACATAGGGGCTTAAACATTTTCCAATACTAATTTGAAGGTTCCTTATTATTATAATTTTGGTATAACATAATTAACCCCCAAGCCATTTTCGAATGATTAAGGCCCCTTTGTTAAACCCTGACCGTAGCCCTAAATCCTAGGGCTTTTCGCGCCTTTCTTGAGCTTGCTTTGGCGTTTTGTCTCTCAGGCCACTGCATACGCGAGTCCTGAAGTGCTAAAGCCATCAAGCCTAAAGCCCTGAGTACTAGAATAGGTGACCTTTAACCAGTTTGATTTTTGATACGATCCCACACTTGGGTAACATTTTGCAGTTTCGTCGGTACCGTAGCCCAAGAAGGAAGACAAGTTAAAAGAATTGTAATGCAATCCCAGCCCTGGGCTAGTAAATCCCTACATAAACCCCGAAGCCTGATCCCTAAACCCTAGACCCTGATCGGTTTTCTTCTTTAGGTCCCTAAAGCAAAAACACTCAGCCCTCAACCCCAAACCCTACTTTCAGGTTCATGGGTAGTTATAAGTGGGGTTATAAGTCCATTGAATGGATTATGATTGTGGTTACCCTAATTATAACCCCACTTATAACTACCCATGCGCCTTCAAGTAAACCTTGAACTGTACCCGAAGTCTTCCTAAACCTCAAGGCTTATAAGGCCTAGACCCGAATCAGACCTAAGCATCTAAATCAGAAGCCTAAACCCTAAACCATCCTAAACCTTACCAAACCCTCAACTTATCCTGATACCCTAAACCCTAAAAACAAACCCTAATCAACATCAAGCCCTACACCATCCCAAACCTTCCTAAGGCCTCCTACGAAGGTACTTTTTCAGAAGTATTCTTGGGGCCACCCAAACTACAACCCAGTAAACCCTGAACCCGAGATCCCTTGGCTTTCTTGGCCTTGCTGCTTTCATCGCTGCTTTCATCTCGCGCGAAGAGGGCCTCAAAAATCCTTACGCCTCAGACCACATCCCCTAGACCCTAAAGCCTAAATCCTGAACCCTAAACCCTAAACCTTAAAACCTTAAACCCAAAACCCTAAACCCTAAACATTAAAACCCTAAACCCTAAACCCCACAACCCAGTAAGGCCTGAACCCGAAACTCGAGGCCAGTCATCATTCAGATGCCGCTGCTGAACTCGCCGGGGGTCTCAGGAGCAGGGAGAGTGCTCCAGGAATGAGAAAGGCTTTCTCAGATCCCCAATTCCCAGCCTTGAAACTTTTTTGGGTTCTTGTAGTTTAGTAGGAATCGGAAAGCTTGGCTTTTATTTCTGTGGCATATTGAGGTAGTATGGTTGTGTCTCTGTTTCACTAGGGGTTTGCGAAGTCTTATGTGTTCTTTTTGTGTGGTTTTGTCGGGCTTGATAGGGTTTTAGATTTTGTAATCGTGTAAGTCTAGGAATTCTTGAGTTTTTAGCGATAGTATGCCAGTTCTAGGCCCATGAAAACTTTATACTACTCTTCTGTACCACCTGTTCACATATTCTCAGGGCCATTATGGTAGATCCTAGAGGGCACAGCTACCAAGGCCTAGTTACAGATTTAAGGTTTCAGCATCTGAACCTTTTGTTTTTGACGGGCGCCACGGCCTTAACCTCGGGAGTAAGCAAGTACATAAGTGAGTAATTAAGTAAGTAAGTAAGTAAGTAAGTAAAGTAAAGTAAAGTAAAGTAAAGTAAAGTAAGTAAGTAAGTATGTACGTAGGTATATATGTATGTATGTATGTATGTATGTATGTATGTATGTATGTATGTATGTACGTAGGTGTGTAGGTGTGTAGGTGTGAAGGTATGTAGTTGCGTAATGCAATGCGATGCAGTGCAACAGAATGGAATGCAATGCACTGCGATGCAATGTCTAGATATGTATGCATGTATGTATGTATGTATGTATGTGTTCATACATGCATATATGCATGTATGCATGTATGCACGTATGCATGCATGTCTGTGTGCATGCATGCATGTGTTGGTGTTTATGTGGTTGGTTGTTCCTTTGTTTGCTTGTTTGTTGGTCTGCTTTTTTGTTTGTTTGTTTTGTTTGTTTGGTTGTTTTGATGTTTGTATGTATGAATGTATGTCCGTCCGAAAGCGAAGTCGAATACAGATGCCTTACCATATGCAGCTACAAATGTTTGCATGAGTGTACACAGGTTCACTTCATCACGTGATACACTTGGAGGGTCGGGGGACTTAGTAACTGGTTATTTTAGGGACTTATAAGTACCATAACCCCAATTAGGGTCCCTTTTACGGTACTTATAAGTCTACTTACTATTGTACCTACTTACTAGGTCCCCGACCCTCCAAGCAGGCACTCAGTTGCCTCCCATTTTTCGCAGAGACCTGCCTGTCGAAAACCCGAAGCTCGAAGCCGATCCAGCTTCGTGTCGCGGTACTTCTCCTGCCGTCTCCAAGCATCTTCATAAATACTTGTAAGGGGCGCCCCCAGACTACTAACTAGTACTCCTTGCACCTCAGACCACATCCCCCAGACCCCAAAGCCTAAACCCTAAACCCCAAACCCTGATCCGTAACCCCTAAACCTTAAACCCCAAACGAAAATAGGCCCCAAGAAACCCAGACCTCCAGCTGCTCATGAGGTTCTTCCTCCTCCTGATCTTGGTAGTGACTCTCCAGGCACTGCACCCCTCCCTTACACCCAAGACAGCCCTTCAGGGTTTAGGGTTCAGGGTTTACGGTGTGGAGTAACCCTAAATCCTACACCCTAAAACTCTGCGTTCTTAGCGGCCAGAGCACCCCCCGGTCTGCTGCAAGTAGCTTAAAGACCCTAAGCCCTACCTTTACCCTACATAGCCTAATTTTGGAAGGAGATCTATGAGGACATTTCAGTACGGAACCCCCCAACAGGGTAAGTTTCTTAGGGTTCAGGGCAGCCTCAACACACCCGTAAACCCGCAGCCCTGAACCCTGAACCCTAAACCTGAAGCCCTGAACTTGTACAAGTGTCTTTGCAGCTTGTTTGTGCGTTAGGGTTTAGGGTTTGGGCTTCGGGTTAATTGCCAAAACTATTTCGGTGTGCCGTACCCCAAAAGCCTGTTGAAAAAAAACTATTAGGCCCTTACAGACGTACTCAGGGGACTTACAGCACCACCTTCTCAATCCGCTGCTCCTCGATCAGACTGTGTGGGGCACAAAGCCCACGCATCATGCTGTGCTGGAAATGTGCTTGCAAGACTCGATTCCGGCCGCAGTTTCCGAAAATGAGGGACCCTAATATAGTCCCCTAAATTGTAGAATCCTTATTATAAGGACCCCAAAATATGGTACCCCTAATTTCTGGAAACTCCCAAATGTCTTGCAAGACTCGATTCCGGCCGATACCTCGACGTATGGAGACGAAGATATGATGGAGATCCCTGCTTGCATGCTCTTTTGTCACTATATGGAGTTCCAACAGGCGTAAAACTCTCCGATTGCAAAAGAACACGGTGGACGAATCGCACCAAGTTGTCGTTTGGAATTGGTTGGGAGCTGAAAGACATGCAGAGGCTTGAGTGAACTTGTGTAGCCGCTTCACGAAGAAGCATCACGACCTTAACAGGGACTGGCAAAGGAAGGCAATATTCAAGCTTGACAAAAAGAGGTCTTTGCTAATCAGCGCTCCTACAGTATTAGCGATGGTATCCTGGACTGGACATTCTAGTGATTAAGCCCATATAGCAATCATGGAAGGGTGGGGCCCAGGGTTGAAAGTTGGGGGTTTCGTTTTGTGTTGAGCGCGAAGCCACTAACCGCACAACCCTAAACCTTAAACCCTAAACCCCCCATCCCCCCCCCCCCCCCCCCCCCAAAAAAAAAAAGAAAACTAAACCCCAAACCCGAAACCCTAAACCCTATCACTTAGCGCCCGAACACCAAGCCCAGATCTTGGGGTAGAGGGTTTTCCTTGGTCTCGGGATCATTTCAAAGTTCTACTTCAGGGTTTAGGGTTTAGTTTTGTTTTTCCTTGTTCTGGGTCCTTTCAAAGTTTTACTTCAGGGCTTAAAGGGAACTCCAGAAAGTTAGAATATGGTTTCAGGGTAGGATACCTTATAATTTACCATAAAGGGTTTAGGATAATCATATTCCAACTTTCTGGCTTTTACTTTAGGGTTTAGTGAATAGGTCTCCCAAAAAGTCTCTAGGTCGGAAGATGCCATCATGTAACACAGGGGCCTCAATAATTGCCTATACTATTTGGGGGGGTTCCTTATTATAATTGTAGTATGATGGGCCCCAGACCCTATTCTAATTATAAAGGCCCCTATAGTGGAGCAGCCCTCACATGAATTACGAAGCATGTTGAAACTCGAAATAACACGCTCAACCCTGAATCCTATTCACGAAACCCTGAACCCAAACCCGGGACCCGAACACCGAAACCTAAACTGACACCCCAAATTCTAGACTCTAGACTCTAGTAGTGTGAATGGGGCTATTCCTGCGTTCTTGTGAGGGAGCTGAGCTTTTTTTAGATATCATAACACCAGACCCCGCTATGATGACTTAAGCTAAACCCCCTGCCTTAACTCGAAACCCTAAACCGTGGAACCCCTAAACCCTAAACCCTGAACCCCTAAACTTACCTCGGGTTAGTAGGAAATGGAGGAATGGGGTGCAGTTATAGCTACTATTACTACCATTCTTCCATTCCCGACTAACCAAAGGTAAGTAAAGCGCTAAACGTCGCGGAGCCCTGCAGGCCGTCCGGTCGCTAGTGCTCCTGCTGGTCTGGGGCGTGCTCGGAGCTTGGACCTGGCGCACAACAACAAGTCGTAACCCAGAGACTCCAATATCCCTTAATTAAGAAATGTTCCTTAAATTATGGTCGGATCCCCAATATGATTTAAGGAATATTCCATCATTAAGGGATACTGGAGTCTCTGGGAATAACTACCAATACTATTCCCTGGGATCTGATAGGGTTCCTTTTTGTAGTTCTACTATACAGGACACAAACCTTATTCTCATTGTTAAGGCCCCGACATTAGACGCTGAATTCAGCGCACGGACGGTTGTTGGATTGTTGTGATTATTCTAAATTATGTGGCAGTGTTCCTCGTCTTGTTGGTAGTGATGCTGCTAGTGTTATGAGTGTATTGTCACGACTAGTTTTGTGGTTAGCGCTACTACTGGCAGTTTTTCGTGGAGTAGTATCATGGCCACTGTCAAACCTATGGCGCGGAGGCCCATCGTCAAAGAGACTGTGGGCTGGCTTGTTGAGAGGGCGGCGAAGGTAATATAGGGGTCGGAATATTTTTTGCTGGTACCCGAAACTCAGATCAAGTCATTGGGGCCCCAAATTTCGCACCGTAAATCTGTGAGTGAGTGCATGCATTTACTGTGTAACACATCGACATGTCATTACTTAAAGGATCATAGGACTTAGTAACTAGGGTGATAATTAGGGTATCTATACTTATAACACCGACTAAGGTACTTATAACCGTACTTACTAAGTCCCATGATCCTTAAACCCTAAACCCTAAACCCTAAACCCTAAACCCCTAAACCCTAAACCCTAAACCCTAAACCCCTAACCCCTAAACCCTAAACCCTAAACCCTAAACCCTTGTTTCGCTTGTAAATTCGGGAAGCCTGGGCTCGAGTTCGTCAAGGCTTTAGGAATTAGGGCTTTAACGGCTTAGGGGTGCAGGAGACCGGTTTAGGGTTTAGGGTTTAGGGTTTAGGGTTTAGAGGTGTAGGAGTAGGGTCACATTCAGGAGATCATGGTGAGGTCAGGGTGCTATATGCATCTGGAGGTCCTCTCGTAGCCCAAACACCATAAATCAATCCTAAACCCTGTCGGAATACTTAGTAATCTAATTTTCCTTACGGGTTCATTTAGACAATATACCACCCAAGGAGGCCTCTATAATTTGTTTCAAGCCTGAACCACCCAAAACTCTCGAAAAAGGCCTCTGTTTATGGTTTAGCTTTTAGTACTTAGAGTTGAGGGCTGGGGTATGCCATGCTAACTGATTGATTACAACAAGAAGGCCGAAGTACAAATCAAGGGTAATGTTTCAAGCTTCTATAGTGTGGGCATTGCCCCTCTTCTGCAGAGGTTAGATAATTTCTATACCCTAATTCTGTATCGCACTGAGTTTGACCCCTAATTTAAACTGTTACAGGGTGTGGCAGTACCCAATCTATAGTAAACCAGAACCCTTAAAACTCGAAGTCTAGACTCTAGACGCTGAGCCCCGAACCGTTGCAAGCTTCTCAACTTAGGACGCTGCACAGCCTGTGTGGCAGAGGGTGTACATTCAGGATTTAGGGTTTCGGGTTTGGGGGTTGTATCGCTTGACTTCCAGGCAGTTCGTGGTACAAGTACCCCCCCTGGAGTTTCGCAAACTATGACCCTACTTAATTATGACAATACTGACAACACACTTCTGATTCAGTCCACTGATTCCTACGCCTAACCCTGCCCTAAACACAGTACTTGGAGGATCATGGGACTTAGTAAATAAGGTTATAAGTACCTTAGTTGGGGTTACAAGTATAGTTACCCTAATTATAACCCTAGTTACTAAGTCCCATGATCCTTTAAGTAGACCCTATAACACCCCTCTTATAACAGAACCCTGGTAGATCCCCTTTAAAGGAGCCCTTTAAAGTATAACCCTAGTTACTAAGGCCCATGATCCTTTACGTAGCGCAGCTGTGAGGTTGAGGCCAAACTTGGACTATGATCCTTGAAGTAAGCCCTAAAACCCTCAACCTTAAGCCACAAATCCTAAACCCTAAACCCTAAACCACAATCCTTTAAGTAGGGCAGCTTGAGGTTGAGGCCAAACTTGGACTATGATCCTTGAAGTAAGCCCTAAAACCCTCAACCTTAAGCCACAAATCCTAAACCCTAAACCCTAAACCACAATCCTTTAAGTAGGGCAGCTTGAGGTTGAGGCCAAACTTGGACTATGATCCTTGAAGTAAGCCCTAAAACCCTCAACCTTAAGCCACAAATCCTAAACCCTAAACCCTAAACCACAATCCTTTAAGTAGGGCAGCGTGAGGTTGAGGCCAAACTTGGACTGGAAGAAGATGCCAGAGAACTCGGAAAGCGAGCGAGCTGCCAAGCAGGCGCTCCCGAAGGTTGTCCTTGGGTTTAGGGTTTAGGGGTTTGGGGGTTTGGGGTTTGGGGGTTTAGGGTTTAGGGGTTTAGGGGTTAAGGGTTTAGGGGTTTAGGGTTTAGGGGTTTAGGGGTTTAGGGTTTAGGGTTTAGGGTTAGGCGGTTTACAGCTTTGCTGGGTTCTGGGGTACCATGCTCGAATACATGTTTTTGGACCAGTTCTTTAACGGAGCCATTATGAAAGAAGAGTCTACTTTTTTGTCTCCTTGGTTACTTCAAAGTCCGGTTTGGGTTTCGATTAACCAAAAGCAATAAACCGCAAGCCCTGGCTGCGTGATAAAGGAGTTTGGCATCGTAGTGAGGGAAGGCTCTCCTACATCCTCAACTCCCGATACCTCCAAGTCCTCATGTCGGAACCTGATTAAGAAACCCTGGGCCTATAACCCCAAATAGCAGGGTTCATATAAGGAAGCCTAATAAAGGCCCAAGGTTTCTTATTGTTCCTACATTACCTCCCAACACCTAAAAGGGGGATCGACAGACTAAGGCCCTTGACATCATAGCTCCACTGGGTTTAGGGTCTAGGATGCCCCGTAGCAATACCTGGATTCCCTTTTTGTAATCCTGGGTTCCTTATAAAGTTACCCAATACCCAAAAGGGAGCCCTTTTTATTCCTAGGTTACTGAGCATCCTAGGGATTGTCGTGTTGAGTGTTGGGGCCCTCGACTCTCGACCTCTTCCCACCCACTTTTCATCACAAGGTTACGGGGGTAGGGGGGAGGGGTAGGGCACAATATTTCCTGAAATAGGCCTTATTAGGTCCTTATTGTGGGCATTAATTCCCCCTACCCTTCTAAGGGTCCCTATGAATTCATGCCCGATGGTCGGAGGCGACCGCTCGACGGGTTCTTCAGTACGACATTGCGGTGGAGTACTTGTGCCTTGGCAAGGGCTCAACTGGTTTCCGGGTCCAGTCCAGGATTGTTTCGATTCTGCTATAATATGGGTGGTTGTCAAAATTAGGGTCCCTTTTTGGGTACCCTAAATATTAGGTGCCGTATTCTATTAGGGATCCCAAAAGGGACCCTGATTTTGACAACCACCCATATATGTCACAACACACCATTAAGGCCCAAAAGCCCCAAACCCTCCACCCTTATCCCCCATTTTTCTCCGGAGTGGCCCCAAAGCCCCAAACCCTCCACCCTAACCCACCATTTTTCTCCGGAGTGAAGGGAAGCCCTTCACTGCTGACGAATCCTGACAGGAATCTTACCATAAACCCTTATAGAAGCTCTAGGGTTTAGAGTTTACAGTTTAGAGTTTAGGGTTTGGGGTTTAGAGTTTGGGGTTTGGGGCTTTAGCGGTTTGGGGTTTAGGGTTCAGGACTTGGGGTTTTAGGGGTTAGGGGTTTAGGGTTTAGGATTTGGGGTTTAGGGGTTTGGGGTTTTGGGTTTAGGGTTTGGGGTTTTAGGGCTTAGGCTTGGGGTTTTCCATGTCTTTGCAATCTGCTCATTGCGCAGGTACGTCAACCTCATGGGCCATCAGCTTTGCTCTCAGTGCGACGGACAATGTTGCAAACCGCAACTGTGGAGTACTCCCTAAACCCTAAACCGTTAATCCTTCTAGATCCCGTATAGAAACTCTTAGAGTAGCTACCCTTATAGAAATTGTATCGCTAGTCGTAGCCTTGATAGTAGCTTTACTCATCAGTTGTGGTCTCAGTGCGATGGACAATGTTGAAAACCCCGCAACTGTACAGTGACCCCAGTTTAGGGTCTAGGGTTTTAAGGTTTTTGGATTTTGGGGTTAAGTTTCGGGTGTAAGGCTTTAGGGCTTTAGGGTTTAGGGTATGCTACCCATTTTGGGGCTCTCGGGCTTCGGACGTGTTCTGTTAGATCATTCTGGTGGTGCGAGGCCATTGAATGCAGCGCAGTCGGAATTGCAAGATCTCGCGCCGATTTCGTCGATGGTAGCTGTGCATGAAGCCTTGTTTTGGAACCCTAAACCCCTAAACCCCTAAACCCCAAACCCGCAACCCCAAACCCCTACACCCCTAAACCCCTAAACCGCAAGCCCTAAACCCCGCAACCCCGAACCCCTCGACCCCTCAGGCCCCTTCAAGACAGGAAATGGGATCTCCCGGCTTCAACACCCCCCCTCTCTCCAAAAAAAAGCGTTACTTCAAGAATCATGGGACTTAGTAACTAGGTTTATAATTAGGGTAACTATACTTATAACCCCAATTAAGGTACCTATAACCTTACTTACTAAGTCCCATGATCCTCCAAGTACCTTTAGGAATGTTACCTTTAGGGTTCAGGGTTTAAAGGTTTAGGGTTTAGGGTCAAGGGCGATACCATGAGGGTGACTTTAAGAGATGCGATAATAGGGGACCCTGATATAGTACCCTAAATAGCTTATTATAAGGACCCCGCAAAATAAGGTACCCTCAATCTTCAGAAACTTGTAGAGGCCTTATCAATTGCATTTACTACTTTGGGGGTTCCTTTTTATAATTATAGTATAATATACCCCAAAGCCTCGTTCTTATTGGTAAGGCCCCTATAGTAGGTTCCAACATTCCTTGAGGCTTCATCTTTACGCTGCTTTCGCGATTCTGCTGATGAATTTCGCCATGGACCTACCGTGAAAAGTTGGTCGTGAAGCCGGGGTTTAGGGCTTATACCCTAGACCCTGAACCCTAATCCCTAAAACCTAAACCGTTGTAGTATTCAGGTGTGAACGGCGGGGCTTAAAAGGTCCGGGAGATTTCGGTGAAAACTTAGATGAGGAGACTTTGTCAGAAGGGTTTACAGTGCGGCAAATGTACCCTCCTTAGGCCTTAGGAATAATTTCAAGTTTTGTTCATATAAAACCCAAGAGAGTATTAAACGTAGTATTTTAGTTATGGTTCTGAGGGGGGCTTAGTACCAAATATACCTACAATCACCTCGTATGAACCGCGATATCCTTTAAGCATTGTAGCCACCAATGAACCTTGAAACCCCTAAACCCTAAACCCTAAACCTTGAAGTAGTTTCAGTGCGAAAACCCTGTCGTCAGACTGACCACTCGACCCGCGCCCTGCGGTCATCAGCACCTGAATTTGGGCTATAACCCAGACCCCCGGGAGGATCCAAAAAGTAGATCCCTTAATGGGGGTTCCGATAAAGTACCCTTAGTAGTACAGGGCCCCAAATTAGAGGATCGACTTTCTAGATCCCCCCGGGGGTCTGGGAAAGTAAGATGTCATGGCTGTCGTCAGCCCACTGTAACGTTACCGTACTGTCAAATCAAGTTTGTTTTTACGCACTCCGGAGGCCAGGAATCTAGGAAATCAGTGGTGAACTTATCTGCTAAGTTAGATCCCTCTGTTGTAAAATCGCGATGCTTAAGATAACTGCGCTAGCACCACGAGGATGTGCCAAAAGTCGCACATGTGAAGCGGCCGTGCACCTTCACCGAAGTAGATGTCATCCTCAGCAATGGCCCTGTTCATCCTGCTATAGGGGCCTCAATGACTCGTAATGTTGTTCCCGTATAGTCTTTGCATAAGCGAACATACAAAAAGCTCCCAAGCCCTATTCTGGTTTCTGCATGTTGCACCTTGATCTCTGAGTTATTATTATATATTACTGCATCCGACCCGAGGTATTGCCGTGTTCGCCCTGTCCTAGCAAGATGCAAGCTAAAACGCCCTAAAGCTACAACACCAATTCCCTAACCTGAAAATACCCTAAACTCTAAACTCCGAAGCCTCAAACCGTACAAAGCTCTGACGTTCTAAAGACTCCGCCCCACTAAGGCCGTTCAGTTCGTCCTCGTTTTGCTGGAGTTGCTCTACGGGTTGCATTCCTGGGCGCTCTTGCCCGGAACTTGGATGGTTTCAGGGTTTGGGGTTTAATGAAGGGGTATTGGGGTTTGAGCGTTTTGCGTTGAAGGGTTTAAGGACATCAGTAGCAGGGTTTGCTGCTAGGAGTCCGGGTTTTAGTGCCAGGTCTCCAATCACAAGGAGGGCGTCCACATGAATAGAGTCACAGGCTTTCAGGGAACCCCAACCCTTCTCACAAGCAACACTGTAGACTGAGGCCGCAGAAGAAAAGAAAAGACAAGCGAAGAATGAGCTGAGAGAATCAAAGAGCAGACAGCTCAGGAACTGAACCCTAAACCCTGAACCAATGGTGCGAATCTTTCGTGTGCTTCTTTGTACCCGGCTTTCAGGATTGGGTTTCAACTTTGAGGTCTACGGGGCTTAGGGTTTAGGGGGTTTAGGGGTTTAGGGTTTAGGGGTTTAGGGTTTAGGGGTTTAGGGTTGATCGAAGGCTACTATATAGAATGGTTTCGAGTTCAGGACTGGTACAGGAGTACTGTAAGGGTAGCTTTGTGTTTCGGCGCTTGGAGCCTATAGGGTTTAGGATTTTTAGCGGTTTCAGGTTTAGGCGTTTTGAGTCCAGTAGCCCCTGTAGCCGAATGAACAAGTTTCAAGCTCGGCTCGGAATGTGAACCTAAACCTGACATCCTAAACTGTGTCATAGGTGGGTAACATACTACATTCTTATGGTTACTTAAACCCAAGAAGGACTAGACGCTTCAACTGTTTTATACTACCTCAACCATGGACTAGTAAACCCTACACCCTAAACCCTACACCCTAAACCCTAAACCTTACACCCTAAACCCCTAAACCCCTAAACCCTAAACCCCTTAAGCCCTAAACCCTAAACCCCAGCGCCCAAGTACGGCAAAGCTCACACAACGTCCCAAAAAGCCAAGCCCGAGTCTCGGTACGGCCGCCTTTTGGAGCTGAAGAAATCCCTGACACGCGCGCATTCCGCAAGCTTTGGGTTTCAGGTGCAACGGATTTTGTGGGTTTAAGGTGTTTTTTGTTGTTGTTTTTTTGTTTTTTTTCTTTAAGGTTTGGGTAGGTTTGTTAAAGGTTTCTGTGTTTTCAGTGTCTTTTGAAATTGCGTCTCGGGTCTAGGTTGATCGGTTTAACCTTTTAGACTTTCCGTTGTACTTCCTTGGGCGAGCTTTCCTCGATCCTCGAAAGCTCGCGAGGAATCCGCGTTTACGAAGCCGGCGCTGCTGCCAAACACGGCGGGGATATGAGCTGGGCACTCGGGGGAGGGAGGGTGAATTCTCCTTTGTAGTATGTCTCCTTTGGAGGCTACCTTATTATGTACATTCTCCCACATTCATTTCTTCCTAGGAACGTTAGTTGTGGTAGCACAGCTGTTACGATGAAGGCTGCCAAGTGAGATGGTGACACGGACGGCAGCGATGTGTGTTCACTGCTGCCTCCTTATGCTGATGCTTCGCAAGTGGTGTTTCCACTGGTTCCGACTTTCACTCACAGGAGTAGCTTGATGTACGCACGCCGCCCCGCATCTAGGGAACTCCAGTATGCTCGTGAATCGACGTCGCAGAGATATTTGGGAGTTTCCGAAAATAGGGGACCCTAATATAGTACCCTAAGTAGTAGGACCCGACCCAAAATAAGGTTCCCCTGTTCTCGGAAACTCCCACTCCCACTTGATGGTCTCGATGATCTGCAGGACGGTGTCAACTAAGCTTCTACTTTTGAGCTTCCCGGCTTTTTTCCAAAGGTATGTAATGGCCAAAACAGAAAGGAGAAGCAAAGTGCACCAGCGGCTGTATGGCAAGATTGGCGAGAAGATTGAACTGCCAAACTCCGCACGAAAAAGAACCCAACTCCCGAGTTCTAATACCTTCACTTAAAGGATCATAGGACGTAGTAACTAGGGTTATAATCAGGGTATCTATACTTATAACCCCAATTGAGGTACTTATAACCTTACTTGCTAAGTCCCATGACCCTCCAAGTAAACCTTTGAACCCAAGTCCAACTGCAACTGAAGCCCGCGACCAAGGCCAAGCTGAACTGGCAGTCGGTTTCTGAGGTTTTGAAAATGCACCTCGTGTCGCGGCGTCACAGAGGCCAGACGGCCAAAACCAGACACGACGCCTAGGACGCTTCTGTGTGGCCTGCGACGCTTTTCATGCTTTGCATCGCTTCCCAGCCGGCAGAAACGCCGCTGATTTTCGATTCATAGATTGTGCTAGGTTGCCGGCTCCACGAGAAGACGCTAATGATCCCCACCCAAACCTTAAATAAATCGTAGGTCAATACTCCTAGCGAAACTATCCAAGAGCATCCGCAAAACCATCCTAAACCTCTAAACCTTGAACTCCAACCCTCAACCCGAAGCCCATCGATCGTGAGACGCAACCCAAGTCTGAAATCAGAAGCTCTCCGGCTTTCTGAACGCACGGACTGCAACCTGACGTCGAAAACAAAGCCCTGAGGGTCCATGGACTCATGGAACGCTCCTTTAAGGAGTTATTCCCGTAAGGGTTTCTTTAAGGGTTCCTTGAAGGTTGCTAAAAGGGTTCCTTTAAAAACAGGGGTTTAGGCTTTACGGTACGAGGGTCCATGTACTCATATAGTGCATACGGAATTAGGGCGCATGGGTTTCGGGTTGCTAGGGTTTTTGGGTTTCTATTTATAGTTCAGGGGTTTGGGGCTTTCTTCTTTTATTGAATCTTGCAAAATTCTCCCACGCATATTCTCAGTTGCTCAAGAAGCTAACGACTTGTCGCCTGATGAAGCACCCGGAGAGTGGTTATGGTTCATACATGTGGGAGTTTCTGAAAATAGGGGACCCTAAAAAAGTATCCCCAAATAGTAAGATCCGTATTATAAGGATCCCGAATACGGTACCCCTACTTTTTGGAAACTCCCATACATATGAGGCCGGAGCAGCAACTTAGCCCTGTTCCCAAAACCTGAACCATACTTGGAGGTTCATGGGATGTTTTCCGTGGGGTTATAAGTAGGGTAATCATAGCTTTAATTTATACCCCATATTAGGGACTTATATCCCCACTGATAACTACCCATGAACCTTCAAGTAAAGCCTACCCCCCCCCTTTTCAAGCTCTGACATGTGCGCTTTGAAGCTGATACCGCAAAGTCCTAAGCTCGAACCCCAAGGCCGTAAGACGTTGAATCCTAAGACCCTAAGACTATCGTACCACTAATAGTAGCCCTCAGAACTAGCCCCGAACCCTGCGCCCTAAACCCTATATCCTAATCCATCAAGCTTTACACCGATCGCCGTCTGCGAATCCAGAGCTTTAGCTCAGTTCCACCATGTTCCGAAGTTCCAAGCAGACAGGCTTTAGGCTTTAGGCTGTAGGGTTTGCGGTTTAGTAGGGTTTCGGGTTTGGGAGGGTAGGACTGGGGTTTGGGATCTCAAGTCGAGTTGCGGGCACGCGAGCCCCCACGTCGAAGTCCTGAATGCCCCCGTTCTTGAACATCCATCCTTGGAAACCTTTGAGCAGATGCATCATGGGGGTTTCCGAAAATTAGGGGTACCTTATTTTAGGGTCCTTATAATAAGGATCCTACTATTTGGGGTACTAGATTAGGGTCCCGTATTTTCGGAAACTCCATCATAGCTCGTCTAGGAAAAGAGTGTGGTGTGGTCAACTTGGCGCAACCCGGAAAACTGCAAAGAAAAAGGGCCAAGCCACAAAACTCGCTCTTCACAGGTTGCAGTGAAAGTTTGCCATGCGCCGCACAACAAGGTGCTCGTAGCAATGGCCGCGGGTCTCGATGCTTTCATCGCTGCTTTGCGAGCAGTTTCGTAAGCCCGAAACGTCAACTGAAACCCGGTCTAGATAGTGTGACCTTGAAATCTCAGGAAGGTCCCCACGTTTAGGACTCAGATTGGGTTTGTGGTTTGGGGGCTAGCTGAGCATCTCTTGACACGTCTGTATCCCCTTGGGACTTCTCGTGCTTTCAGGGGGTTAAGGTTTCGGACTTTACGGGTTCAGGACTTTAAGTGGCCCTGCTCATTCAGAGGGGTTTGTGGGCTGCAGCTGCGCGAGAGAATCCTGAGTGCTAAGTGTTCGTGAAGAGGATCAACAAGCGAAGTGATTCTACAGTATCATTGGGGTCATATATAAGTACAGTATAATATGCCCCAACACCCTATTCTGTTGCTGAGGCCGCTGAACCAGACCCTTGATTATAGAAGCCCCAGTTTAGAGCCCTTCAGAGGAACCTTTGCAGGAACCCTGCTCTATGTATCTAGGCCCCTATATTATAGATCCCTGTCATAGATCCCTTACAGAACCCCTTAAAGGTGCCCTGAACAGGGACCCTACTTGAAGGATCATGGGACTTAGTAACTAGGGTTATAATTAGGATAGCTATACGTATAACCCCAAGTAAGGTACTTATAACCTTACCTATGAAGTCCCATGATCCTCCAAGTACTCTTAGTTGATGAACTTTCTGACAAGTGTAAATCAGCTATTGGCGCATCGGGGAAGGCTATCTTGAAAGAAGCTATGGCAGTGGATGGCGCGTCTGATTCATTGTCAGAAGTGCAAGAGGAGGCGGATGTCGCAACCCGGGCGGACATGATAGACAAGTATGATGATGATTTCGACCCTGCAGCGTTGCCTGTCAAACCTCCTGCTGATCTGGCTGTGTTCGTTCCAGCCTTGCACGAGCCTGGGGTGCCAGGCAAAGCAGCAGCTGCTCGTACTGAAGTGACTGCTTCTGCCCTGCTTGTCACAGCATCTGCGTGTCCTGATATGGGTGGTTGTCAAAATTATGGTCCCTTTTGTAGAACCCTAAATATTAGGCACCGTACTATCTTGCGGTTCAACAGCACACGCGCTGAAGATTCGCAAAGTGTGGTTACGTGAAATACTTGAAGGCACAGACCCCGAGCATTGTGCGCGTGACGTCAAAGCATCAGCCGTGATCGGACGCCTGACGGCAGGTGCAAAAACAGTGGAGCTTCGCAGCAAGCCATGTCCATCGGACCGCATAGGATGCAAGATCAGTTTGATGGAGACAGGGACCAAGCTCATCAAGGGAACCGCCATCCTGGCAGAATCGCGTGCGCTTACCGTCGAGGAACAGATCATTTTCGGCGGCGTCCTGCAGGCGCACCGCTGTGTACTTCAAACACTCAGCACCCAGACTGGTTCGCAGGCATTGAAGTACGAGGCCAAGCAGACTTATGCGCGGGTCTTGCAGGACGTCCGCGTCCATCCGGAACCTTTCGAGGCGAGTGCCACAGCTTGTAGGAGGGAGTGCGGAGAACAGTACTCGCACAGGTGCCAGCGTGGGCGGCGCATGGAGCCGTGGTTTGGCTACGACGCGAGCATTGCCTGACCCTAGCGCGCACGCCACCCGAAGCTAGGACTCACAGAGGCAAGGGCAAACGGAAGCATCCTGCAAGTGTCACCCGACAGTCACAGTAACAGCTTCACGGCAAACAAAACAGTCGCCGATCCGTGCCTGCTCCTGCATGCTTCGCTTCATAGCCGCCAAGACGCGCATGCCTCCAGAACCGACACCGGGCTGACCTCACTGAGCCTACTCAGATTCCCAATCTGGCTGAAGATGAGCGTCCGGCTGTAGGGGATTTGGCTGTACAGGAGTTGGCTAAGCTTGCGTGATGAAGGTAACGGAAAAGGCAGCCTGCAGGAAAGGTCGAGCTAGGTTTTCACCACTCCGAAAACGAAGAGGGGACTCAGTCTACCATGGATGTGTAACTTATCGGCTCCAATTCTCCAGTCGACTTGTGCACCCGCGCTCATTCTGTACTCGTGCGGCACTTACGCGCTGCTGCTGAAGACTTCCGTCAAGCCAGCTATCACTTTGAAGCCATGTCTTGAATCACGTTGCTTTCTCAGTGCATGTCTCTTCTAAGGTTGCGTTCTCCTCGGAGACACCTCTTGCCGTAACGACCTCAATCGGCAAGCCGCCCGACCTCAATCGGCAAGCCGCCCGACCTCAAGTGCTAACTGCTAACTTCTGCCCTGTGACAGGTCCAGCATGCCCTACATTGTGTGGCGTGACACGCAAGAGGCCAGTCTAGAGATCACTAGAGTCTGCAAACTCCTCAGAGGAAGACTTCATCTGGGCGGAGAGCGACTGGCTGGACCCGCAGGCTCGAAAGCCTTCCACAAAGAGCTTTCAACTCACAACACGTAAAAGCGATGAGGATTATAACTTCGACATCCACCGCAGCCAGGCAAGAAGCCGCCGCTCAAGCTGCATCACGATGCTAGCATGGACCGTGCGCCAGGCCCCCCCTGTGCTCCAAAACTTCCAGTTCGTGGGTCCCACAGGGCCGAACAACTGGCCGGGCGATGCAGGAAACCCTTGTCATGCTGTCCGGTTGCGCTGCGCAAGACCTCCGAGGCACGTCAAGCGGCCGAGGAGGAGCTCGCGCACAGGGAGGAGTTTGCAGACTGGCTTGTCGGAGTCGAGATCTTAGCACCAAGTTTTCCAGCCCAAACATCCCGCAATCTCTACCCTGAACGGGGCCAGCCGGAGTCACCATCTCGAAAACGCGGCAGATGCTCGCCATGGCTGCCACGCCCAGGTCGGAGGTGGACCCTCTCGAGGCTCTCCCCGAACCTGACGGAGAGTTGACCAAGGCGATGCGTCCATGACACAGCTGCAATGCATGTTAAAATGCATTTTTGGATTATAATTTTGACAACCACCCATATGAAGGCCCCGACATTAGAGGACGAGAGGAGGTCGAGGACCCGGAACTCCGGACGCCCCAAACCGTTGGGCCCCAGAACACTGGGCCCTAGGCTTAGTTAGGGCTGTAGCGGTTTAGGGTTAAGGATTTAGGGTTTAGGAGTTTAGGGTTTAGGATTTAAGACTTAAGGGTTTAAGGGTTGGGGGGCTTTAGGGTGTAGGATATAGGTTTTAGGCTTTAGGGGAGGAGGGTTTAGAGGTGTAGGGTTAGTGTTGAGGGTTTTGGGCCTAAAGCCTCTTTTTGCCTGCACACTGCAAGCCCCATTTCCTATGCCTAAGCTTCTCCCCAAGACCCAACCTTCAAAGTTTTTGGGTTCTTGTAGTTTAGGAGGAATAACCTTTTTTCTGCGGCTTATTGAGCTAGTAAAGATCCCAGTCTCCGAAATCCCAAGTCCAAAAAGCCCAAAGACCCAGACACGAAGCCGTGAAAACTTGGGTTTAGGATTGAAGGTTGTCCCCTAGACCCAGACAAAACAAAGACAACCAACCTCTACATCCTATATCCTAAGCCTCAAGCCTCAAACTCTAAAGCCCCCCCAAAATGCAGGAACACTTACACTACCCCTTATAGTATCGTTTACATTATCCCTCATCGAATCCCAACAAGCCCAAGGTTGAAGCCCCTGTGATCCGGCATGTGCTGCGTGCCCAGCCGCACGCAGCCGGTAAGGGCGCACCAAAGGTCTTCAAGGTGGCCTGGGTTTGCTTTTAGAGGTTCTTGGTTTTAGGGGTCTAAGTGTCTTGGATTTGATTTCAAGGCTTTCAGGAATTGCGCGTTTCTGTTAGGGCTTCGGGCTCTATGGGTTTAGGGTTTTACGGGATGTAGGGTTTTTTCGGGTTGAGGGGGGGTCTAGCCTTTGGGGGTCCAGGGTTTGGGGCTCAGGGTTCAGGCCTCACGGGTTTACAGTTTGGGTAGCATGACGAGGGAGACCCCTTAAGGGGCACCCCTTCCGCACCCTACTTCTGGCTCTCTTAAAAGGGACCTTATTGAGAGGGTCTATATCCCCGAGGGTCCCCCCAATCCTAACTCCCACAGTTCAGGGCTTCTCTCACTGAGCTCATGTATGGCGGGGCCAGGCGCGAAAGTTCTCAGGATGAAAACCCAAAGAAAGATGGCATAAGCGTAGATCATAGACCCAAAACCCTGCTCTTGTTCGTAGGAGCCCCTCTACCACAAAGTCCAAGCCTAAGTTCCTCAACTCCTTAGACGGCCGAAAAACAACCCACTCTCGCCCATGTACTTGTCTGAAGGGTCTTTGGGTTGATAATTGGGGTATATTGGGGTCTAACAACTCCGAGAATAACTTGTAACCCTACCAACGCGGACACGAGACCTCGATCCTTACGCCATGGCATTCCCAGAGACTCCAATATCCCTTAGTTGAGGAATATACCTTAAATTATAGTAGGATCACTGATATGATGTAAGGTATATTCCACTATTACAGTAAGGGATATTGCGCTGTCTGGGTTCGCTGTGCTTCGATGAGGTCACATCCCCGGAAGCTCGCATTTCGTTAAGTGGCGCGCGCTGTCCACCTCTTCGAGCAGAGTCCAGAGTCCAGGGTGTAGTTTAGGGTTTAGGGGGTTTAGGGTCTACTTGGAGGGTCGGGGGACTTAGTAACTGGTTCTTTTAGGGACTTACAACTACCATCACCCCAGTTAGGGTCCCTTTTAGGGTACTTACAAGTTTACTTACTCCGTACTTACTAAGTCCCCCGACCCTCCAAGTAGTTTAGGGTGTAGGGTTTAGGGTTCAAACAAATACAAGTCCTTGCAAACCTCACTTGGAGGTTCATGGGTAGTTATAAGGGTAACCACAACTATAACTCGTATTAAGGGGTTTTATAACACCACTTTTAACTACCCATGAACCCTGAAACCTATAGAACCTTTAAAGAAAACCCTTAAACCCTAAAGCTTAAGGAACCCTTAAAGAAACCCTAGAACCCCACTTTTAACTACCCATGAACCTCCAAGCAAGCCGCTGCCGGGCAGGAGTTCTTCTCATCCCGGGATGGTGCGCTGCGGGCCGGGCACCCTCGAGGGTTGCAAGGTTTAGGGGCTTAGGGGTTTAGAAGTTTAGGGGTTTAGGGGTTTGGGGTTTAGGGTTCGGGGTTGATATGTGGTCTAGGGTTCCGTGAGGGGATTGTACGGCATTTCAGGCTTGAGTCTGAGCCAATTTGGGGCTAGCATGCTGGACGTACTGAAAGGATCAGAGGCAGCTATTAAGCAGGGTTATGGACCTAGTAAGCAGGGTGGAAGTAGGGTAACCTTAGCTGACCTTACTATCGCCGTGTAGCCCCAAGTAGGGTACCTATTTGGTGTTGCCCCGGCCCAGTAACAGTTCAAAATCAGGGTTTAGACTAAACACACAGGCCAAACAGAGCACAAGGAAACGTGATTCAGGTATGCTTCGCGCAAGGACCAGAAAAACACACAGCCTTAACCCCAGCCAAAAACACTCTGCCATCCCGGCCCCCAACCCTCAGTCCACAGCAGCCAGGCTTACACTATTACTATTATAGTTACTATTGCTATTACTTTATGACATCTCTTGTAGAATAATGCAGACTGTATAACAACCCTGCATAACACGAAAACCCGACGATGGTGACTGTAACATTATGCCACTCCGTGCTCATGAGTATATGATTTTAAGACTACAAGACTAAAATACTTTGTAGTACATTACTATCCATATTCTAGACCGTATCTGGGTTTCGAAAAAACACCATAAGACATAGGTTTGGATGTTTGTGCTTTTTGCGGTGCTATTTGTTGTGCCTGTGTTTGCTAGCTTGTGTTGTTTTTTGTGTTTTTCCTTGTGTTTTTTTTGCATACGTGTGTGCTAGTTTGTGTTTTTTTTGCGCCTTCATGTTTTCTAGTCGCTTAGGAAGATCGAATTCGATCTCAGATTTGCTCTGTCTCTGTCCAACCCAGCGTATGCCTGGCGGCAGTCTCTCTCTACTCCTCGTCCACCCTTGAGATAGTGACTCATCTGAGCCTATCTGGCTCGTAGGCCTGCCGGCAGGCTGTCTCTACTCCCCGTCCACCCTTGAGATAGTGACTCATCTGAACCTATGTGGTTGCTAGACATTCTTGGCGTGGCGTACAATGCGATGAAATTCAAAAACACATGGAAAAGCCAAACAGGAGAGCACAAACATACCCACAAAAAAAACGCAAAAAACAAAACAAAAAGGCACAAACTACGAAACTCACTCACAAAAAAAGCACCGCAAAAAGCACAAAACACAAACAAAAAAACACAAACTCCCAAACACACGCACAAAAAAGCACAAGGAAAACAAAAAAAAAACAACACAAACTAGCAAACACCGGCACAACAAATAGCACCAGCAAATTCTGACTAAACTAGTTTTCCAGAACCGGCCTCCTGGCCGACCCCCTGCTTGAGGCAAAATTTTCATGGAGCTGGAGCCAGCCCCACAGATCCCGCAGGCCACCTCACAGGTCCCCCATCCTCATGTCTCTGGGGCAGCTGTGTCTGGCTTTGACGGCCCCCCAGACATTCGCAATCTACTTTTCGCTAAGAAAAAAAGCACGCGTGCGCGCACAGGAGTGCACACCATCACGCTTGACTCCAAAAA